CAAGTTACTACCAAGTAACTTCTTGGATAACATGCCTATATGAATGCGGGTATCCCACCATGAAGTAGATGCATGCCATATCCGCGCAGAAAGCCATGATAACCAACGCAGGACGATTTCTTACTTAAGCAATACCAAGCTGAAAAAACTTACTACTGATAGGGACATAATAATTCTAGCTATACCTAGGTATGGCCATGTTGAGAACAACACCAACAGATTGACCTGTCTACGTGTAACTGCCAACGATTTGTATTCGTTCATTATACTTGTGTTGTATAATTTTACTACTGACGCCGATTCTGCAATAGCCATTGCTAGTAGTTCTATCCGATACCTTTACTACTTCTACTGCCTCTGCTGCTGCTGCTGTTACTTATTCCATTTGCATATATGATGTTCGATACTCAATAAATAGTAGAGTGTAAGCAGAGTGGGCTGCACCGCAATAACATCGTGCTGGTTTAAGTTAGCCCATAGAACACCTTCAATTCATGGATATGCCACTTCAAGTCGTGCAATAAATACATGCATATGGAGATATTTCTATATATTTTTGTCTCAACTGTGCACCTCCTTTCGCTTTGCAGTCGCTAATTTCTCTTTTGATACAGCTACCTAGGTATGCAATTGGCTCTTTATAAGCCAGCTGTTGCAGCAGTGTTCCCACTTTTGAGATCAGTAGCGTATCGCCCAAGCTAAAGCTGCAGATAATTAGCATCTGCATCAACTAGATTCACTTTCGCCTTGCTGAGCGTTCTCGCGGTCATATGACACACCAGCTAGTTGCTATGTTCAACTCGTCTCCATTGCCAAAACCTTTCAGGATATTTGTGTCTGGTTAAGCATACAGTCGTATCAAGTTCATGTACTCTTGTACGGATTACTAGTACTTACTAGTAGTGTGTTCTTTCACTGGCTTGCTGTGGAGAATTCAAGGTTCGAGCTACCGTACCATCTGTGGGCACGTGCCGGTAGCTGCATTAGGAAATTCCCTTTTAGCTGCAATTGAGACAAAACCAAGTTTTTGCCTGCGGCAATGCCATGACGGAGACAGAAAACGCTGCGTGAATCAAGGATGGTCACCTCCTCTCTGCATCCCTTGCCTCAGAGAAGAAATTGTCGGCGCGTCTGAGGGTCCTCCGAATTGCAAGCTCTGAACGCCGCAAAACACCACCTCGACCTCGATTTTCCGTCACGCCGCGGACATCGCGCGGCATCGTCGTCATTGACTTTGGCTTCCGAAGCTGCAGCAATTTCCGCCGCAATCTTCAGCAGCCATGGCTCCCCCAACACAGACTTTCAACCTAGACGTTGAGGCCATCTCTGGCATTTGCGGGTAGGTGTCAATGTTGCATAGTACTAATTCAACGCTGACTTTTTCCATCTAGGTCTATATCCATTGCCTGCTGGGGTTAGTGACATCGCCGTCGCGCAACGACCTCTTCAATGCAACAGTAACTGACTGACTTTTATCCAGTCGTCGTATTCTCTCCGCAAATCATACAAAACTTCCAACGAAGCAGCGCCGATGCTCTGTCGATTCAATTCATCATCATTTGGCTCTTGGGAGATGTCTTCAACATTCTCGGGGCGGTTCTGCAGGGAGTTCTCCCTACCATGGTACGCTGCCATCTGCTCGCGTGACCGCTACTTGAAGCTGATTTGTCCGTATTTAGATCATCCTGGCGATATACTACACAATCGCCGACATTGTGCTTCTGGGCCAGCTCTTTTACTACCGTGGATTTACCTGGCGCGACGAGCCGACCCCTCCATCCCCGCCCAAGACAAATGGAAACGGCAACGCTTCTGCGCCGGCAGCTACCTCCGCCAATGTGGACGAGTATACAGCTCTGATTGCCAGAGTAGAAACTCATGGTCACCACAGCCACCATGACCGCCGTGGTCGACGTGGATCAGATTGGTCTGGCTTTTCGCCAGCAGTACCGCACATTCCCGAGCCGCCGACGACCCCGCAACCGCCACCGACAGCCCTGCAAACTACTGTTTGGAATTCTATCGTGATCCTTATGGTGTGCGCAGCTGGCGTTGCAGGATGGTTCCTGGGCGAAAAGGCCTCTGGCGAGAAGTCTCCTTCCAATAGTAGTGATAATTTGGAGTTCAATACCTTGGGTCAGGTCTTTGGATACTTTTGCGCCGCTTTATACATTGCTTCTCGGCTGCCGCAGCTTATTCTCAACTGGAGGCGCAAGACGACGGAAGGCCTTAGCATGCTCTTCTTCTTGTTTGCTTGTCTGGGAAACGCCACCTACGTCTTGTCTATTCTTGCATATGCACCACACTGCGGCGAAGAAGCCTGCACTCCCGAGGAAGCAAGACGACTCTATGGTCGTTACATTCTCGTGAATCTGAGCTGGCTGGCTGGCAGCGCTATGACGCTCCTGTTGGACTTTGGTGTTTTTATCCAGTACTTTTTGTACAAGGCAGAAGATGACATTTCAGACGATGAGAACTGTGGCGATGACAACAGTGCTGTTGATGAGCATTACGATCATAGGCCGCTTCTAGATCGGGGCGATTAAGGACTCGTCTCAAAGTTTGGCTTGATGTGATCAAATTTTGCCTTGATATAAAGTCGCTTCGTTGAGAGAGAGGAAGAAAGGGGCCACTGCCATCCTTCATTGCTGTAATAGCGTCTGGTATAGGTTTTCTTTTTTTCCATTATTTTATTTTATTTTCTTTTTTTCCTCCAACTTTTTGCGGTCTTATTTTTGTCTATCTGCTCTTTTTAGAACTTTGCCAGGAACAGAAAAATTGATGAGTATGGAAACATTCGGGGGCAACATATGGGCGTTGGCAACATCGCGATCAAGGAGGTCAACAGGACAGCCTATTGGGCAGGATTTTGTACAAATACAATGGATTGATATTTCTGGCGAGAATTCAGTAACTTGAGATAAGGATAAAAGAAGAAAGGAAACGAATGCATATCTGAATCTCAAAGCAGGCAAAATGATTGACTAGATATGGTGGAGGGATGGAGCAAGATGGGAAAGTCAAGGCTAGGAAGACGAGGCTTTTTTTTTTCTCTTTAATCTCAACTTTTTGTGGAGGGAGTGAAGAGAAGAACAGACAAAAAAGAGAGAAGACAAAAGTCAAGTACTTGCAGAAGAAAGCAACGGCGTCACAACCAGTGTCGACATCTGGGCGGTCAGACGAAGGCAGCTGACATGAGATTTTGGACCTCTGCCCCAAAGTTTGGCGCTCATCCTTTTCCACACCACTGCCCTCTTCTCTCCATTCCACTCTCCCCTAAATTTCCTCTCCATTGGAACAGCTGTTCTTTGTCGAGTGTCTCGATTGAAATCCATCTTATTTCTGTTTATGGGTCGTCTCTACTTCTCCAGGAGTTTTTGCAGTTTACATGTTCTTCAACAATCTCGCCGTTCGTGCTCATCTCCGACTTCGCTTTTGCTTTATTCGCATGCTAACGTAGAATCAGCATCTTACTAACGGCTCTTCTGAACCAATAATCTATTGCTATCGTCATCGCCAATATGCCTAAGAAGGCAGGCCCTTCCCTCCTCTGCGAGTGGATGGTCGGCACGAGTATTCAATCCGCTCTCGGACCTCCTCCTAAACCGCCAAAGCCCAAGCCCAAACCAAAGAAGCGCGACCTCATCAAGCTTCATGTGGCGACAGACGACGAATCCGGTGAAGATACCCTCACAATCACATATCCTCGATCAGAACGGCTTGGCCAAAGCAAGGAAGCACCGGCTGCAGTGCCAGAGCCTGAGCCTGAACCCGAGTTAGTCGAAGTGGTGAAAAAGGTTCGGTTCGAGAAAGAAGCCGCTTCAGCTACACCTGCAATGCCTAGGAAATCCGCTATGAAGAAGAAGACATTGGTGACCTTTTGTGAAGAAGAAGAGACGTCAGACTCTGGTGGAGATGCTACTTCTACCTCTGCTTCCTCGGGGGAAGCGACTCCAGAGGCTAGTTCTTCAAATGAAAGCTCTGCTGCCGATGCATCTTCTGGTGGAGAAACTTCGTCTGATGAGTCTTCCAAGTCATCTAAAGCGTCGAGGTCTACGAAAACCCCCAAAAGCAGGAAAACAGAAAATCCAGTCCAGAGTTCAGACAGCGAGGCAGACTCTGATCCTCACCCTACATGCAAATGCAAAGAGTGTACCACAGAGAGGAAGAAGCGAGAGCAAGAATCTGTCTGCGAGAAGAAGAAGTGCAAGAAAAAAACAAAATCTGAAACCGAGTCAGAATCCGAGATATCAGCAACTGAAGCGGAATCCTCCGCCGACGAGAAGCCTCCGCCATCGAAAAAGGCAAAGGAAAACAAGAAAGGAAAGCAGAAGGCTGAAGTGTCTGATACTGAAGGCGAGACCTCGGAATCAGCAAAAGAGGCATCAGAGTCTGAGGAAGCGTCAAGAAAGCCACAGGGGAAGAATAAGAATAAGAATGAAAAGGGCGAGAAGAAGGCAGAATCTTCCAAAAAAGAGGGAGAAGATAAAACTGAAGGAGCCAAAAAAGATACAGAGAAAGAAAGAGAAGCAGAGGCTAAATTTGACGCAGGCAAGGGCAAGGAGAAGGAGAACGACGATTCAAAGAAGCCTACAGCTGAGGCCGCATCGCTACCTTACGAAGTGAAATACTCAGACGGCCATCCTTATTCACACGCCCGCCCGCCCAATCTTATTGCTCCGGTTCGTGCCGAAGTTATGCATACCGAGCGTGTTGTCGAAACGAGAGATGACCCTTTACCAAACGCATACTACGATGCCCTCCATAACGTAGTTCGGGTATATCACGGCTCAGTATATGGACAAAATGGGCACCGCATGTTTGCAAGCCGAGAGGGTACATCCGGATACCCGCATCACCATGACATGTCACATCAAACACAGAACCCGTATTACTCCAACTACAACAATGTAATGCCGTTTGGACCGCCGCCACCTCCGCCGCCACCTCAGCAACAGTTGCCTCATCATGGATACGAGCATGTGCCGATTACTCAAGGTATGTCGATGCCGAGCTGGAATGCCATGGTACCGCCCCCTGGATACCCGCCGTACAACTACTACGGAGGACCAATGCCGCCCCCTTGGTACGAACAACAATTCAATAAGCAAGCTAGAGGTGCGCTTGACGTGAATGGTACTTCAGATAGCAAGGGAGGCAAAAGTAAATCACAAGAGCCAGATAATAATGTCATGCCAGAGGCAACAAAAGTAAGTATAATTCCACTCTGTCATGCTCGTCGAAAACACTGACCTTGTGAAGCCGAATCCATACTACACGAAGAGAGTGTCGCCATTCATCAACATGGGTAGCAACCAACCAGCTTCTAATGGTAAGCCACCATCGAATTCTGGAAATTCGAACAATGGTGGTAAAGGTGATACTCCTAATTGGGACACCTCATCTCGGAGAAGCGTTGGAGCATGGGCGAACAGTAGTAATAACGATGGCGGTGCATGGGGCGATGCTGCTCCCGCTGATACGAACAACAACAACAATAATACGGGAGGTGGTGATCACTGGGGTACCGGGGGTGGCAGCGGAGGAGACGCATGGAATACAACAAGCAATAATGATCAGTGGAATAACAACACAGGAGGCGATCAATGGGGAGGGGGTAATAGTAACGGGGCATGGAATGGGTCTGGAAATGACCAAAATACTCAGAGTGCTTGGAATACTGGCGATAACAATGCGAATACAGGTGGCGGTACCTGGGGTGACAGCACCGCAAACGACCAACAGCAAACGAACGATAACAGCGGCAACTGGGGTACCCGAAATCAAGGGCAGTCAAGTCCTGCAGCAGGAGGAAATGAAACAACCTCTGCCATGATCGATAACAATGTTGCCCCCGTCGTGGTGACGACAGCTCCATTGGAGGAACAGTCCAAGATGCCGGGTAGCTGGTGCTCGGAGCATGACGGGCAAGCGGCGTTTGCGAATCCACCTCGACAGGAGTATCAGCCTCCGTCGGCGGTGCCGGAATGGGGAGATCCGAGTTTGGCAGCGAGTACGGGTGGACAAGTGAATTGGTGAGGCGAAGAAAGGGAGTTGTCATGGTGTATCTGGAGGCTGGACTTTTACCACTTGGAAGATGTGAGATGAAGAATTTCAAATAGGTCTGCCATTGAAGTTAGGCATTTGGAAGAGAGTGAAAGGCGTCAGTTAAACCGTCTATCTGCAACAGTATTCTATTCAATGATCTCCTGCGAGACTTTTGTTCTTTGTACTTTATTAGCTAGAGCCAGAAACATATAATTATAGACCAGAGAGGCGAATTGAATTGTCCTTATCCGGCAGTTTTAATTCCTCTCAAGTTCTACGTTTCACGTCGATAAATACATTATTTAACTCCTTTTATTATTGATTAATGATGCCTTGATATGAGCTTAGGTAGAGTTTGATAAAGAAGGCCACAGCAGCTGTGAGCTGTGCTCCGAGAAATGTTGTTTCGCCGTTCCTTCTACCTACAAGTACCATACATTCCTCATCACATGATCACCACGAGCAAGTTGCTATTCCACCTCAGGTACATTCCTCATTCAAAATTCTCGTCATGTTTTTGCCACAGTGCATTATCTGTCTAACGTTAACCTGTCCATCCAAGGACAGAATCCACCGGCTTTATTCCCATCTAACGCCTTACGCCCAGCTTTAAGCAGTTTATCAACGAGGTCGGTGCCGTGAACCATCCCAAAATCAGCAAATCAAAACGTTAACAAGCAAAAAGCCGTCATATCCTCAAGAAAGTGGCCAACGATGCTTTCAGCACTTCCATTCCTCCAACCGCTTATACATCCACCCGCTTGTGTGCTTCAACGACGTCTTCCTCTGACTCATTCCAGGCGCATATCCTTGGCCATAATACACCTTGTCGTCCATCTTGCACAGATCCTCCACGAAATTCCACTGCATGCACTTGGTCCAGCCCTGGCACGCTGCCTCACACGCCTCTACCGACTCCCACGCCTTGCTCCAGAGCGCCTCGTCGTATTTGCCGTTGTCGGGCCCTGGTTTTGCGGCCCACTCTCGGTTGCCTGAAGCGACCTCGTATACGCCGGAATAGTTGTCCCACCACTCGGCGTGCTCCTTGATGTTGGGCAGGATCATCTCGTTGAAGAAATCGCGATGCAGAAGCGGTCCCTTGCTCCAGTCCCAGCGCTGCTCCACCTCGTAGTAGCGGGCGATATCGCGGTTGTGCACCTTGTGCCACGACAGCAGCGGGCTGCACCAGTTGGCGCTGGCAAAGGCAAAGGCCCAATGGACCACGGGGTTGAAGCCAAAGGTGAACTTGCCGTCGCCGCCGTTCTCGCCAAACTTGACGCCGTGCTTCCGCAGCGCGTGGGCGAGCACCTGATCACCGCAGCAGTGGTCGGCCGTGTACTGGTAATACTCCTCCGTCAGGCCCCCGTTTTCGTTACCCTGCTTTCCAAAGGACTGCTCCCATGCGCCCCTGGACAGCGCAAAGCCCGCTCCACCGTGGGCAAAGATGACGTCTGACTTGGCCGCATAGCTACCCAGATAGTGAGGCTCCTTCCAGTCGAATTTGGCCAGATAGCCCAGGACTCCTGGCAGGAAGAGGTATGCGTCGTCTTCCATGTAGATGTACCACTTGGCTTTGGGCCAGTTGTCGCCGGCATGCTGGACGAGCGGTATAAACTTGTACTTGTCGATGATCCAGCCTCCCACGGGGCCCCATTCATCGCCATTGACTCCTGCGGCCTCGACATAGTAGTTGTTGGCCATGTATTCGGGCTGCTGGCGGTACACGTCAAAATCAGGCTGAGCCTTGGCCGTGGAAGACATGTTTGCTAGCACGTCAACGATGTTGAAGGCACCAATGCGCTCGGGCAAGTCAGAGTAGATGACGGTGCTGTCCATGGGGATGCGGTCTTGATCGAGGGTAGTCGTAAGATGCACCAGCATGCGCTTCCACACGGTTGTGCCGCCAGTTTTGACAATCAGCAGGACGTCGTCCGTTGAGAGACCATTGTACGAAATGGCCTTGGCAGCTGTTTTGTCTTTGGCAGGGCCCTTGTTGCTGCTGGTTGGGGCAACATATTCCACCTTTTCTGCGGGTGCCTCTGTCTCTGCCTTTTCCACTGTTGTGCTTAGGTCAACCACCCTCTGCGCACTATCTGCAAGTTCCACTTCTTCAACTACGATGCCCTTCTGTTTCGCAGCGTACGGAGTGTGTCCATAGTTCTCTAGCGAGGGATCGATGAGGCAGTAAAACAGAAAAAAACATGCGGCAATGATGACTGCCGGTATCAACCGGTTATTTTGGTATGTTACCAACATTGTGTCCTAAGAAAACAGTACAGCTTTGGCTCATTCACGCATTCGCCGCCGCCAGCCGATCACAACTCAATTTCAGAAAATAAGCTGGGTTCGAGCGGTGGAAACAAGGTTGAAAATAAAGAAAAGAGAGTGAAGGATAAAGGGCCAGTGAGAGAGAAAGGAGAGCTCAAGGCGGTTGTCGATCTCTTTTCGGAGTGACAGGCCCGGGCCGGATCGTCAACCACTCTGCTGTTAGTCCACACTTACAGTATAGTACTCTGTATAAGTACTCGGGAATCTCGCATGTGCGAGAAAGTGCTTCGGCTGAGCAAGGTCCGTCACAGTCGCACAGGCTAACAAGGAATGCTAATTTGGCCCGTCTCCACGCCGTCATTGTCTGCAACGATACGAGGCAAAGGCAAAGGCAAACCCCTTTGGCGTGCATGACTCCCATCACGCCAAGCAGATTCCGTCTCTTGATACTCGAGCGGAAGAGAGCCAATGCCTGTCAGCCTCATGGATAGCCCCTAGGATGGCTCCTTAAGCAGATTGCCAATTCGGGTAACTGCCGACTCCGGGCATGCTCAGCCCCCTGACTAAAGTTGAATCAACACCAAAGTGGCGCCGGCGTCACAAGTTCGCCGCTGCCGACTTTACTTGCGTTCTACGGCGGCGGACGAAGATGCCGCCTGTTCTCTTTCTTATTGCAGAGGCGTTTTGATTTCTGTTTAGTCAAGTTTTCTGTTTAGTCATGTGATTATATATCTCGATTATCGAGTTGCCTATAAAGGGGGAATGAGGACAATTTGGTGATTTAAGCTGCTTACCAGGTTAACGTTACGACTAATAAAGACACTACGGAAAATGTTTGTGTCCCACAACATAGCTTCTAGCACGCTTCTTGGAGGTGGTCCATTCGGGAGATGGGCAGGGGTCTCACGGGATTCCCTAGCGACACCCAGCCGCTTGGGCTTCTCGTGTTGATTTTTTTCTCCGAGCACTTTTTTTTCCTGGAGGATCTCTCACAATGTGGACTCAGCCCGTGTTCTGCCTGTCTGACTCAAATGGGCTCGGCTCGCATAAGGTTGAAAATTTGCATGGCGGAGCTTAAGAGTTGACACTGTTTAGGGGCAAACTAGACCAACTGCAGCATTGTCCGATTGATCGAGATACGAAGGCCAGTATCACCAGCGCCAACACGGAGTATCTGAAACAACCTTGTATCTGCTGTCAGATCATGTCCACTGAGCGCCTATGTAGTCCGCGAGATGCGCAAAATCCTGTTCGAACTCTGCTCAGCTGCCTCATTTGGTACTATTCTGAACGAAAAAGATAGTTCGTATTAGTATCATGTTGCCCGCAAACAACTACTACTAATACCTTGGGCTGTTATTCAAGGCAAGTAAGACGCCGAAGCTGAGGCCAAGCGCACAGGGGTCAGAATCCCTCGTCGTCTAAAAGAAGCAATGGCCGGGAAGCGCAACTTACACCAATTACCGGCAGACGTTTTTTTCTTTCGCTGTCGACCCCCAAAATCCCTCGGAATTAATCCTGGAAGCGCCCCATTGCCTTAAGCCAAAGACAGCCCTAGTATGCTTGTCGCCAAGAGAAGGTCAAGACGCTACTCGTGAAATTATACGGAGGTGCGGAAGCAGCGCCCCCCAGACTAAGAAGAATCTGGCCATGTGAATGGAAAATGCAGACGAGAAAAATGCACAATAGAGAAGAAGACGAAGAAAAACCTAGCTAGGCTGACGGGTAGGGGAGTTGTAGCCTCAGCTGGGTGTATCCCGTATTGAGAAGCTAACGCAACCTCGGCCTTATTACCAGCGAAGTAAGCAGGTTTTCGTCTTCTTCTTCGGAATACATAGGTAGTTGTTACTCCTTGGAGTATGTCAGTTGCTGGCTTCGACTAATCATCATCACCGTTGTTAGCACGCGAGAGCTTGGGTGGTATGTTACGTCGATAGGCTGTCCAGCGCCCAACTCGTTGTCTAATTTGACCTTGGTTGCCTGCGACTTGTCATCGTCACAGCATAAGAAAGCAGCGTCTATTGTCGACGGAGCTCCTTTCACCCCCTCCTTTCGTTTAACTCTCTTCTCTTCCTTTTCTTTTTCTACCTTGTCGTTTCAGACTAGAAAAGTGCATTTTGAAGTTTTCTTCAGCCACTCGTTTATCCTACGCTTGTCTTTCGCTTAGACGCTCTTTTCCACTCAGCTTAGGCTATCCCAGCCTTTAGCTCTCTCGAAACTCGCCCATCATGATGGACTCTTACCTGGAAGGGTCTGGTCCCCAAGTCGTGACCAAGGGACGCCATACAACGCCGCTTCGCATGCTGATGAACGTTATCGGCTGCTTGATTAGCATCCCTGCCTACTGGTCCATCACCGTGCACTGTCACTATCCTGTTACTCTGGATCTCGTCTTCACAATCCTCCTCACGGAGCTGAACCGGCTTGTGAACGAAGGTCGCAGGATTCAGTTTTACGATGAAGAGTCTCCTGAGCCCCTTCTTCCTCCACGAGACGAAAAGTACCTTCTTACTCCACAAGACGAGGGCTACAGCTCTTACACCTCGACTCCTTACAATGAGAAGAATCTGAGCTTTATGGAGTCGCAAATTGTACCCCAGTCAAGGTTGGACAGTATGGCTGCTGTTGTGGGATGGCGTGAGGACCCTGCTCTGTTTACCAGGGCGTTGGAGAGTTACAAAAATGCCAAGCACTGCACCTTTATGCTAATTGGCATTGACGGAGATGACGTGGCGGATCGTGATATGGTTGACGTCTTTAACATTGTAAGTGTTTAAGCGTAAAGCATATATATGTTGATGGATATAAAAGGAGATTAAAGTCAACTAACAAGACTGAAACAGGTATTTCCCACTCAGTCCAAAGTGATCCACGTCCCCCAGCCGTTGGGCGAGGTGGCAGAGCAGTTCCTCGCCAAGCACATTGCCATCTGCAAGCAAAATGGCCAACCCATCAACATGGAGGAGTGCTATGATATTGCAATGAGACACTGCTTCCAGCTTGCCCGGACCATTATCGAGCAGGAGGGCATCAACCTCAGCAACGTGCGCCACATTTGCCTCCGCCAAAGGCACATGCACAAGAAGGGCATCATGTTCACCACTTTTGTCTTTGCGTTGGTTATTGCAGATGTCTTGGGCATTGAGTTCCTGTGGTCGTCGGACTCGGATACTCTGGTGCTGCCCAACTCGATCCACAAGACGGTTGATGCTATTGCTCAAGATCCAACTATTGGAGGCGCCAGCTCTGGTCTGATTGTCCACAACGGACACGAGACTGCCGTGACTAACCTAGCCGCCACGGTCTACTGGGGCGAGCTGTATCTGACGCGCTCCTCACCCGCCTTTACTGCAACGAGTGATTGTCAAAGCGGTCCTAGTACCGTGTTCCGTCTGGCTGCGCTGCCGGCCATCTTGATCCCCTGGTACCTCCAAACCCTCCTCGGCAAACGCATGATTATCAACGAAGACCGCCATCTCACCACCAATCTACTCAAACGCGGCTGGGGCGTCGTATTCGCTTCAGACGTCCTCGCGGCCACGGACACTCCGACGACACTCGCTCGCTGGCTCAAGCAACAGGTCCGCTGGGCGCGTGCCACGCACATCGAATCGCTCCTCCAACCCAAAGTCTACCTCATCACGCACCCTCTGCTCTTCTACAGCATGAGCAAGCGCGAGCTCGGCCCGCTCATCGCCCTCATCGCCACGATGTGGTACTTCTTCACGGGCGAGCAGCTCATCATCGTCTTCATCGCCGACCTGTTTGTGCGCGTGGTGGCCAGCGCCCTGTACAACCTTCTGCGCAACCCTCATCGCCTGGAGCGCGCGTCTCTCAAGTGGATCATCCCGGGCATGTTCTTCTACCACATCCCGCTGCCAGGCGTGCACGCCTGGAGCCTGTTTACGCTGACGGCGGACGGCTGGGGCACCAGCATGCGCAACAACAGCGAGATGGCCAAGAAGGACAGCGTGAGGCAGGCCTGGTGGGAGACTGGCTTTTTCGTGGGCTGGATGGCCGTCGTTGCAGGGTGTGTGGCGAGATGGCTGGCGACGTATCATGAGTTGTCGAGCGGGGGGCTGTTGTTGGCCATGGTGGTGAGCTCTGGGGCGGCGGCGGTGGTGGCGTGGAGATTTACTATTTACCAGATGTCATGAGTGATACGTTTGATTTACAGCCTGATTTTGAATATAATAACATATATAGAAGCACGACTAGGACATAGACATGGATAGACGGAGGGATATCAAAATGGCAATCTCTATGATTGTAGGGCTAATGAAATAATTTTTATGTAATTTAGATGTATTCTATCAATATTCTACAATATTATCTTCTCGAAAGACATGTGTTTTCCTCTTAACATATGGATTCTGTTAGCATAGGTAGTTTTTGGCGTTTTGTTGGTGGCGTGTTTAAGTGGCGCTTGTTTTAATTGAAACGCGAAGCTACGTCAAAAGACGCGTTAAGTTGTCAACCCGCGAATGAAAGTACGGAGGTGCTCCGTAGCGAATATTAGAGGGAGAAATTAGACATTTATTTCTCTGAAAGCAGAAAGAGAGAAATTGCTCTTTTTACAACTGTTGCCCTTTAATTGAATTCACTCCCTCTCATACTGGAACAAACAGCCCCACTTCCCCACCTAACAGTTCATCTCCGTCCATCTCAATTCACTAAAAAAACAGCAACCAAGAAACATTCATCACTCAAATATAACAAAGCAATTTAAAGAAATTGAAAATGCCTCCCGTCCCCTCCCCCGAAGTCCGCGCCACCATCGCCGAGAAGCTCAGCGCCCTCAGCCTCGCCGTGGAGACGAGCCCCGGCTTCGACCGCTCCTCGCCCCAGGCCAGCGGCGGGCTCTTTTACATCTGGGACTTTGTCAAGCGTACTGAATACATGCTTTCCGAGGTGGAAGGGATTCGGACGCCGGGATATGAGTTTCAGCATGCGGGGCAGATTAAGATCAGTAAGTTCTCTCTCTCTCTATATATATACACATATATGTATATATAATATGAGTATGAGGGATGATGTATAAAGAGAGGAGAGGCTAACACGACACAGCAAAACGCGGTGAAGCAGCCGCGCAGGAACTCTTCAACGACGTCTTTACGCGCTCTATGACGATTGACCAGCTTATTAGTGGTCCGCCTATGATGCGTAATATGATGGGCATGGGAGGGAATATTCCGCCTGAGGCTGCGGCGGCGAGTAAGGCTGTTTTGGAGGCGTTTCCTGAGAATTAGAGATTTGAAAATTTTATGCGATGGTTTTGGATGCGAGATGGGAAAAAAGAGGATTTTGTTGAAATGAATGGAAAATAATGGAAAGGGATGGGAATATGCAATGACATGGTAATAATGATCAAGATACCATATTTTATAAGGAAGTAGAAACATATACAGATACGTAAAAAGATGACTTATACTTTGATAGACAGAAGATATCCATCTGACGCTACAAACACATCTCAACGCAACGCGAAGATCAAAGAAAGTGTTGAAATGTGCGAGAAATGGAGGCTTAATTTGCCCTCACAGTACTATGCTAAAGAATAGTATCTATATAATGTCTCCCACGTACGTCATGCCCAACCAATTCCCTCCATTGACAAAGCGCCGATATGCTCAAGTATTCCAAAAATGAAGGAAAGAGTGATAAGAAAAAAAGAGATGACCAAATATTGTCCATGACCAGAGATAAAACGCCCATGGTATCGTTATAATGCATATATGCCAATCTCGCCGCTCCGAAAGAGCCAAAGCAAAAGAATAAAAAGAAAAAAGCCGCGTAGAAATTTCCGCTACGAGTCCGTTATGAGTTCCAGTTCAAGTTCCGTTAGACGTTTCCAGTATGAGATAAACACTGTTGAGTAATGAAAAGAGGGGGAGGCAAAGCATTTCGCAGGGCACATCTGTGAAAAGATGGCTCTGGCAATGCATGCTTTTCTTTGCCATCGCCATTATAGGCCCCAGCGACCTTTTGACTTGCTCTTGGCCAGCCGTCGTCCAATATTGCCAAAGCACAGACAGGTGCAGAACAAGACGCTCACCATCCAGATGCTCCCTTCAATGGTCTCCTGGCTGGCAATGCTATTCAGCGCCGTCGCCAGATCCGCGTCAGATGCCATGGGCGGGATGCCGTTGCTGCTCATGTTTTGCGCAGCGGGCGCGGGAATCATGTCCGGATTGACGCCCCAAACGAGGATAGACCCGGCGAGGCCTACGCCCGCAGACAGAATCAAGGCAGAGATGGATCGGTCGATGAGCCACCAGAGCACGAAGCTGGCCAGAGCCACGGCCACTGAGAGCTGCATGCTGGAGCTCCAGGCAAGGCGACGCTGCACCACAATCACATGTTAGTACGTCATACGACTCCACAACGGATGGCACTGTTGAGACTCACCACTGCAAACGCGACGCCAACAAAGACGCCCACTGCTCGCATCACCAGCGCCCAGTCCGTCTCTGACGCAGTTGCTTTGGGGGTATCTGACAGGGGTTCCACGGGCTCTACCACGACTTGCTCGTCCTCGGCCCCAAAGAGGCCGTCCCACAGGCCGTCAAACCACGGCTGCAGCGCGCCCAGCGCAATACCCGTCAGCCCAAAGCCCCACAGCGCAAGATATGATCCGTTGTATCGCGGGACGATGCTGCTGGCCTCGGTCAGCTGGAGTAGCTGCGACTCCTGGTGCAGGTGCGTGACCAGCACCCCGTATCCAGCTCCGAGCACAAACAGCACCGCGGCACGCGACGCCAGTGAAACGGCAGCACTGGCAGGCGTCACAGGCTGCTTCACGGGAGTCGCCTCGGCGGGCTTGTATGACATGCGTCGGCGCGGGAGGTTGGATCGATCGCGCATTAGCTCGTAGGTGGCCTGGCTGATGCTTTCTCGTCGCTTGACCGGCGTCTCCGCTCCCGTCCCCCACGGCGTGTGCAGCTCTTCACCGTCTTGAACGCCATTGAAGACGTCGTCTTGGTCTTCGCAATCGTATATGCCCGCCAATGTCGAGGAATTGAGGTTTGCGGTGGACTGTGACTGGGTGAGGGCGGGCGGAGAGTCAGGCGGCGAGGGACGCGAGCCGAGGAGGCCAGAGTTGATCAGGTCGCGGCGGAAGCGGGCGAGCTGGATCTCTTCTTCTCGGCGCTGCTCTTCGCTGTCGCTCTCGTCGTCCTGAGGCGGTGTGAGGCTCTGGGGCGGCGTGGAGCACTTGAGGTCGAAGGCAAAGGGCCGGCGAGGGATGGGTCGAAGCAAGGGAGGGCCGTCGCGAGAAGCGTCTGTGGTATCCATGGCGGTAGTGGTGGTAGTGTTTGATGTTATTGCGAGAAAATGCTAGAGTCAAGAGAGAGAGAGAGAGAGAAGAGCTTGTTGTATGCAGTGAATTGTATGAATTGTATGCGTAGAAAGTCTGTAGCAAGTGAAAGGAGAGTAGAGCAGAGATGAGATGATCAAAGCGCCTCGCAATCCCACGTCAAGGGTGCCGGTGACTCTTTGCTCTGCCTCTTTGCTTACTTGATGCAGCTCCAGGTCCAGATTCAGCTTCAGCTCCACCGCCAAGGCTGGGGCTGTTGAGCGTTCCGGATGCGTGCAGCGCAATGCAATGCAATGGACTGATTAAGCTCCGGGCCGGTGGATCCGAGGAGGCGAAAAAGGGGATCGGACGATGCAGGTGTTGTGATGATGATGTTTTGGTGTTTTTTTTTTCGGCGCTGCAGATAAATGGTACGAAGACCCTGAAAATTGGTTAGGCTAAATTTATCACATGAAAGAGTCAAAGCGGAAGCTAAACAATTGAACAGTAGCTGGATAAAGAGAAAGAGAAGAAAAAAAAGTGGCTCTGATATGATGGGGAGAATATTGGGCTCGGCAGTGTGGGCAGTTTTTCCTGACGATTCCCACTTCCGGATCCATCTCAACCAGATGGCCGAAAACGAATGCGAGACGGGCATTTGTTGAATTCTTTTTGTTTCCGTTCACGCTTTCTGTTGTTGGGGCTTGTTTCTTGTTCTTTTTTCTTTATTTCCAGCTTCCAGTGCTCTTTGTAACTTACCAATTGCTTGGTGTTGGCGCTGTGCACCGTAAAGCTGCTGCACGCACAGGGGGGCGGATAGCGATCCGTGGGGAACGGATGCAGCTGAAATGCGATGCAGACGGATCGAGGTTTTTTGACAGGCGGAGTCGATTTTATTTTTAGGCGGCAGTGCGACGTGCTCGCACGTGCAAAGCAGTATTTGATATGAATGAGTCAGTCGGATGCCCGAAATGCAGTGGCGAGCAGCAATAAAACGAGAAGCAAGACAGAATGAAGGGAGAGACAGAGACAGAGAGTAATCAACAAAAGAAGAGACCCGAGGAGGGGGCAGCAGTCGACACCTTTAACGGAATCCGATGCAATGCCAGGCCGCGTGTTTCAATAGCTCGCAAATGAAACTCTCCTTCGTGTCTCTCGTCTCTTCTCTCTGGAACGCTCTGAATTCATGCACTGCACTGCATTCCCGCTTGCGTTCTTTTTTGGCGCCCACCGCAAGCCATCCATGCCAATCCCATCCCATCCATGTCTCGTCCTCAACAAAAATACCCGAACCGTGACAACTCACTTGAGGCGTAAGGCACAGCACATGTGACTAGGCCGAGGAGGGCAATATTGGAGACCCTCCTTCACGAGCTCAGGGCGGGTGATGCTTGGCTGACCGTGCGAATTGGCATCTTTGCGTTGACGATTATGATTGAAGACCTGGTCCCAACGATGGTGCTATGGATGACAAGTGTAGATAGACAGGCAATCGTCAATCATATACGCGATGCTTATAGCCATACAGCTGTTGGTAGGTGATGAATCTTAACAGCAGCAGTCATGGAATACAGCAATGTTGAACCACTGAGACAGCTACCATACCTGGCATAGGCCTCTTGCTTCTAGCGGCAGGTGGACTTCACAGCTACACAGTATTACATTTACAGCACTATTAGGCGCCCATCCTTGCAACCTCGAACTCTCTCCAAGGCCAGCTCATCCGGATCTACAATTACTGCTCACATCTCACTACAGCTTCTAAACAGTCAATTCATCCCCAGCAAACGCAGATATATATAGCATAATTTTTTGTCTTCGTTATTCTCCTTGAAACAATGTTTACAGCACCCATGACTCATCCGCAGCAACGGCTGAAACTCCATTTTACCCCAGGATTCGCAATACTACCAAGTACCTATTTTAACAGTGCCTCTTGCATTAAAAACAAACAGGCAGAATCGCCCCTCGAATAAGAGAAACACACACATGTCAGCTGGGTCACATCTTCTCCGCACCTAGTCTACGAGCCGCATATTCAACCCCTCAGTTACACACCAAAAAGTCAATCACAAGCTCGAGTTCTTTTTAAAGTTGCCGCCGCCAAAGGCAAATAAACCCAAAACCTAATCCCGATCCAGTCCAAAATGAGAAACACAAAAATCCAGGCGAAAATGCCGTGGCACCAGACAGCAACAAGGCCCCAAACATCTAATACACAGCCATCTTAAGCTTCATACTTTGACAGTAGCATCACAGCATCCATCATTCTCCTCACTTCTCAGCTGCACTCGTGCATACACCTCGCCATCTTGGCACAAATTGATAGGCACAGCACATCCACCAAGACACTAATTAATGCACCACTCTCTTTAGTTTCAACGAGTCAGAAGCGTTGCATTTTCAATTTTCTGCTCGTGTGACATGTGAACACCCCGCATTTTCATGTTTCTCCAGTCCCAGTTCCATCAGAGCTGACAAGCGGTAGGGACCTTCGGAAGACCCATCGGAACCGGTCGTGGTTGGCTGCTCTTTTGCACCCACTGTACATCCGTAACCCAGTAGAGCATCACCAGTGCTTTCAAATTTGACCGTCTTGCGTGTGAACACAAGCAGTCTTATAGGACATCCAGAGGATCAATAGAAGAATCAAGACCTTCGACTTATACACCGATACACAGCCCCAACGCCCAAAAAGCACGCCTGTCTTACCACTCCATTTATCCCAAGCGAGCTCTCCTTGTCCCTCCCCGAAAACGCCACCCGGTGCTAACAATCTGCAAGTCATACACCACCCAAACCAACCAACACCATCCTTGATCTAGTTGTCGTGTGCCTGAGTGCGGGCGTGGCGCTGCGTTAAAGATATCAAAAACTCAATTTTTCCAAACCACGTTTTCAATTTGAAGAGGGGGAAAAGGGTGAATCCTGCATAGCCGAGCTCTCATATTGATTTGCTCTCCGGCTTTAACTCGTATCAAGGCGAAGGGTTAAAAAAAAAGGGCATCAATTATGCTGTGGTTCGATTTGTTCTCAGGTTTGAAAGAAGGGAGACAGATGGGTTTATACATGTCATTTTGCAGTCATGCGAAAGTAAAGTATGATCTGATCGAATGCTAGCCGTGCTTGTATTGTCTGCCATAGCTACAGAAATAACGTGATGGAACCTGATGGATGAAAGCCCAGCAATAGTAGCTATCAAGCACTTGCAAGAGGCTTCATGTCTGCCCAATCAAGCAAACCAATCCCTCAGCAGCCTCCAAATTACCCTCCACCCATTGTATCGAAGCATACGCTCATTGCGCGCCTAATAAGAAAAGACATCCTTACTCTCCCTTTACTTCAAATGGCTGTATCCGCGCTCCTTCATCCATTTCTTCAACACTGCCAATTGGAATCGGACATGCGACTTAAGAATAGGTATATGTAGTCTCAGTGTCCTTCTTTCTGATTAATCATCATTGCCAGTCAAATGCTCAAACAAAACGACAAGACAAATACTACTTACATGGAAGAAATTACCAAAATGACGAGGGCGATAGTTGTATCTCACGCAAGCGATGCTAGCAGTATCCAGCTGCTTTCGCGCCACTTCAAACTCTTCTTGGCCAAGATCCAGCACCACCTTTTTGAGATGTGAAAAGCGTCCACTCCTCACCGCATTTGCCAGTTCCTCTACTCCATTCCATTCTTCTTGTATATATCGTATTCCGAGAAGGGTGAGTGATTCGGGCAACAGGTCAGCGAAATCGCCAATAGGGTCTAAGCTAAACACTTCCACCAACAGCTTTTCGAGTGCTTTGAAATCGGCAAAGCTGCCGAATTCACCTCTGACAGTATAGTAAGGAAGCATAAAATTGTGAAATCCAGCATTTATATGCTTCAGTGTGTTCTTCCGCAGCGCCAGTATACTCTGCATCTCTTCCCATGTAAAATCCAAGACGTCCACGATGTTGCTCTCGGCCCGAGGGCCGCAGTACTCGAAGCGCTCCAGTTTCGGACAGGACATGACCAGCCTCTTCAAGCTCGCTACGCTGATGATGCTCTGATCGAAAATGAGAGAGCGTAGCTCGTAAAGAGGTAGAAACTGTGTGGCGCCCCCGCAGAATTGCACGTCCAGCCTCTCTAGACGCGGCATCATGCCCAAGAAGTTGCCCAAGCAGCCCAGGTCGAGTTTGCAGTTGATGTGACCATGGCAACTTAAGAACAAGCGTTTCACCGAGCTCATCGTAACGGACTTCATGAATAACTTTCCAAAGACAAATTTGTCTTCGAAATTGCTTACAAGTATGGTAACGAATAAGACTGTCACCTTATTGAGGAGAGCGACTGCCATTTCCAACATCCAAAGTTCTCGTTCAACAGCATTTACCCGAGTCTTAATCACCCAATCGCTGAACTCCGTGAAGACATCATCAAGACCAAAACGGGTTGCCAAGTTGTTAAACAGCGTCGGAATGAACTCCTGCGATGATGGATAATCCGTATACTTATCGTTGCTGAAGCGTCGCACCCGGTCAGCCAGGTCTGGCCGGTCAAGAAGCGTCCGTAGTAGACGTGGGATCCCATGACTGAGATGGATATCGTGGAACATGATCTCCTGAGAGATGTGACGAAGACTTTGGCATGTCAAGCTCAGAGCTCTCAGGTCCCCAGTCGCGCTGCGTCCAAATGGAGAATCAAGCCATGACTCTGGGTACAAACAGTGCCTGCACTTGTATGCGCATATCATGGAGATAAGCTCGTTTGACAGAGACAGGAAGCCGACCGCCATTGGAGGGTGACTTCTGCTGTGAACATATACTTTGCCTTGCAGCGATATAAAGCAACAGCTGATTAGGTGCACAAGCTTGGCGATGCGTGGAAGAATGTTGGTCGTAAGAAGTCTAAATATCGAAGAAATGAAGAAGAAGAAATATGAATAGCGAAGAAATGAAGAAAAGAGAGAGAGGAAGAGAAAGAGGAGAAGCAGGAGGAAGAAATGTACGCAACACAGATCAGAAGTTACAAGGTGCCTGCCACCGCATATAATGCGATACTGGATATTTAGGGAAGCCATAATCGTCTGTCATCTCCATTCGCGGCTGCCTCACCCAGATTCGCATCGCCAGAGTTTGGTCAACGAAAACCAGACTCCATACTTCGATTCTAACAGCAGATAAGGCCAACCAATGGTCGATGGACGATTGTAATCGTAAAAAGTATTTAGGTATTCAATCAGCAAGTATGAATAGCCAAATCGTAAACAGCATTGATCTAGGTATTCACCAACTCCACCCCTATTTATGCATTATATACAGCCTCCATATATTAAATCAGCATCATCCTTCACTCATCCTCCTCCTCCTCACTATCATCCTCATCTTCATCCTCATCTTCAACTCCCTCATCCTCACTATCCTCCACCCCCTCCGGCCTCTCCAGCATCAAAAACGCCGCCATGCACGTAACCCGATTATGCGTCACCAACGTGCCCCTCAACACACCAACAGGCTTCCCCTCCGCCTTGTCCTTCTTCGCCAGATCTCGCAGCTCGTCCACCTGCACCGTCCACAGCCTAATCTGTCCATCACTGCTTGCTCCCACCACGTACAGCGTCCCCGGGTTAGCCGTGCTAGGTATCGTGACGAAATCCTTGATTCTGCCGGAAACGCCCTCTCCACCGACGAAGCCAACAAGCTTGGCCACAGGCAGAGTCTCTGACGATTCTGATTCCTCAGGCTTCTTCAAGTCGTCCGCCTTTGTTGAGAAGAACATGATGCGCCCATTCTCAGTCGCCACAGCCAGTAGCGCCTCTCCCGTCTCCTCATCCAGCGTGACATAGCTAAAATGATGTATCTTGACCTTTGTCGTCGGCATAACCCGGCACTTGGGCACACTGTCCATGCCAAAAACAACCACATCCCGGTCAAATCCAACGGCAAATTCGTCCGCGCCGTCCGCCGTTCCCCAGACTACTCTCCGCGCCTCGCCGCTCGAGTGCTTGGACTCTCCAATCTCCCTCAGCATCTCCTTGCTGAAACTCAGCACGCCCGCCTTCTTTCCCGTAACAAGGTTCCACAGTCTCATACACCTCTCGCCTTTACCGACGCTAATCATGAGCTTCATGCTCGGATGAATCGCAAAGTCGTTGACGCCAGCCGGGGTGCCTCCAAACGGCGCGGTGTCACCCGTCGGTCGGCCATGCGCAGTCGGCTTCGGCGTCTTGATATTGCTCAGCATGGACCAATCTCGCGTGCGTGTCACGGCAATCGTCGAATCGTCGCTGCCCGACAGCAGTTTTGACCTCGTGGGGAACACCAGCGACGTAATCGTAGAGTCGTGATGTAGCAGCGTTCCCAGCTCTCTGTTCTTGGCGTTCTCCTGGATCGGTCTCGGCGCAACGCCAGCCAGCATATCGCCCTTCTTCTTGCTCGGAGCATACGCCGACAGGTTATATACGTGGATTCGCTCGTCCGTGCTACCCGTTGCAAGCAAGACTTTTTGCGTCTGGCCCGGCGCGGGAGCCGAGGGGGGGGACACGGCAACGCATCGAATGGCTGATGAGTGCGCATTGAAGAGGAATGTATCCGCGAATTCGACGTCACCTTTGGTGCCAATTGCGGCCGTCAATCCATGGAGCACTCGGTCGTATGATCCCGCGACAATCTGAATGGTTTCCTCCACAAAGGTCGTGTTTTTCGGTGCTGATTTCGACTTTGTCTCTTCCACAACCTTGGTCTTTGTACTCTTCTTTGCAGGCTTTGACTTTTCTTCCACAGTTTTTGATTTCTTGGCGGTTACAGGCTCCACAGCCGGTTCGCTGGTGGCAGCCGCTTGTCTCTTTCTCTTGGCCATTTTGTGTTGTGATGTTCTGGGATTTTATGATTTACCAAGCAAGATTCAAATCTAAAATCCAGAGGCTGCATCTTTCTCAATGGGAAAAAAAATATTATGGGTACCTGCAGCGCGATAAGATAAGCTGCCTCATGCTCGCTTTTGGCGCATAACGTTGGTTTAGTGCATACTTCCACATGTCACACGAAACAGCCGCTTTCTACAACGAGGAGAAATACAACTCCAAGTAGAGAAGGAAAAAGAGGAAGAGAGTAAATACTGTATTTCCATAGCCGGTGTAATGCTCCCGTATATGCTCGAATATATAATGTTGTATCAGCTTTGCAAAAAAAAAAAAATCTCAACCCCGATGCCTGTTTTTTGCTCGACAAAAGTGGAAAATAACAACAGTAAAGTAAATCAAAAGAAACAGAAAAAGTAAAGAACAAATCTCTATCAGTGCGGCCCGTCTCTCTCGCGGCCGCCATCTCGGCTTAATTCTATAGTGCTTAGACTGGGGAAGCGTTTTGTAAAGTCCTCCACGTAGTCGTCCCTGTCGTTTGCAGTCATCTCTAGCATTGGCTGCCCAGGAAGATCAATTGCTATCAGGCGCTCGAATGATTGCTCGTCTCTCTCCTTTGTCGGTGAGGAGGTTTGCCGTCCTCCTCCTGTGGGTATATTATTCAGGTGAACGGGTTTCCTGGGGGCTGCCGGCTTGGCTACACTCTTGCCCGATACGCTTGCAGAAGCGGACGTCGAGCCCGTGGCTTGTCTGGCATCGCTCAGAGAGCCGTCGCTTCGCCGCGGGTCTACCACGACGGGCTTCGCAGCTACAATTGGCTTCCGCTTTACGTCAGGGCGCGGTTTCTCTGCCTCGTTCGGTGCTGGCTCAGAGTCCGTGTATTTGCCATAACCATGGGCGGTGCGCGGCACGTTTGACGGCTTCTGTTCTTCGCTTAAAAGACTCTGCACCCTATTTTGTATGCTGGCAGCCCGCGCCGCCCCCATAGGCTTGGGAGCTACGGCTGGTCGAGCTTTGGACGGTGACCCGCCTTCCGCAACCCGTCGGCGATATTCCGCTTGCGCAGCCTCTACTCTAGCTTCCTCCTCTTCCAGTTGGCGACGCTCCATCTCACGACGCATCTCAGCCGTCATATGGCCATGGCCTTCCCCGTCTGTATCGCTTCTATCATCTGCTGCTTCCGAGCCTTGGATGGGTGTCAATGCGCGACGTCCCTGCTCCTTACCAGACGATGAAGGTCTAAAATCCGACTCGTTGTCAGATGGAGCATTATTCTCAAACTTCTTGAAAGCGCCACCAAACTTGCCAGAAAGCAAGTTCTTGGACGTGGATGCTGTCGTCTCAGGCTTTTGCACAGGTCGATCTTGATCCTGGTCTTGGACCTCGAAGCTTCTCGAGCTTCGGGCTTGTTCTTTCAAGCTCACACCGCCGTCAGTATTATTGCGACCCGTATTGGAACTTGACAGAGGAAGATGCCACGATGAGTGGCGGTTAACTGAAGACTGACGGCTGGGAGGCTTGGACGCATTTTCCCTTTCGCGCAGAAATTCCAGAGTGCTGGGTTCAAAGGTGGAGCTGACAGGTCGCTGTTTGAGGCCAAGGTTTCCGGCAGAAGACCTGACATCTATTAAATCCTCTTGGGAGCTTAGATTATCCAGTGACGTCCTAGATGAAGCAACTGTGCTCTGGCTAAGCCGTGGCTGAACAGACGAAGACCTCGTGTTTGCTGACGCCCAGTTTCCGCCAGAAATCCGCTTGGCGGTATTTTGCCCTGTAAGGGCCGCCGCGCGAGGTGTTTCGCGGGGAGTTTCCACGTCAAGAGAGCGTCTGCTTCTGTCAATATCAACATGTCGCTCCTTCTCCGAGGGAGATGCTTCAGTCATTGTCCCGATAGAAACGTATGAGGAGTTTGCAGTCTTGTTGGCAATAGCCTTGAGCTCAGGGTTGCTTGTTATAATCGACTGAGCCCGACTAACCCCCGACTGTGTCGCAGATAAGGGCGCCAGCTTGGGGAGGGGCTTGGTATCCAGAGTAGATTGTGAGAGGTCGAGGGGAGGGCGGGAGGAGATTGGCGCCACAGAGTGTGGTCTCTGGACGGGGGTTTGCGCGGGGCTTCTAGAGGACGCAAATGCTTCATCAGCCAGCCGTTCAGCGACCTTTACGCCCAAGTCTCTCTGTGGACGAGGCGAGATTGGCGTCGAATCAAAATTGAAAGTCTTTTGATCTTGGAGCAAGGAGAATTCATCCAGACGCGGGAATCGGGCTGAGAGCTCGTCAGGCTCTGCCCGGCGAACAGAGGCGGCGGCTGCGGTGGCCTTTGAGTCCAGAGCAGCAAATGGATCACCACTGTTGACCTTTGCAGGGACAGGCGTTCGAGATGGTGAAGGATTCGGACGACCTCTCCTCATTGGTACAATATCTGGAAGCGCCTGCTGTTCTTTGACGGGCGCTGCGAAGACAGCACCAACGACGGGTGGCTGGTGTGATTTCGACTCGACGGCGGCTCGTTGGGTAGCTCTAGGTTCTGCGCTCGACTGTCCCGAGTAGATCTGGGATGGTTGTTAGTGGTACTATTCCCAAGTATGTGGTGAGGAAAAAAAGACTGACATCATGTATCGGTATTTCTCGGTTCTGCATAGCACAGGCCTCCTTCAAGACCTGGTATATGTTGGGTCTTGATTGATGGTTCTCCTTCAGCATCATGGCTACAATTTGCAATTCGAGTTAGCGGGTTGCTATTGAGAATTATTAAAAAGTGAAAAGGCTCGGCTGGTTCGTACCAATCAGGCTTTTCAGCCTATCCGAAAACACCGGGTAACTGGGATATCTGTAGCTCGCGTTCAAGATTGCCAGCTGCCCCTGGTCCTCAAAGGGGGTTGTGTAGTAGCAGAGCTTGTACAAGAGAACGCCCAGCGCCCAGATATCCGACTTTTCGTTGATTGGCTGTTTTCGGTAGACGTCTACCATTTCGGGGCTTCGGTATTGTAACGTTGTGTGTTTCTGGATGTCCTCGTCCATCAGGCGACAGTCGACCACTGTCGTAGGAGCCGGTCGCGGAGGCGCAGCGGAACCAAAGTCACAGAGCTTGAACCTCTTGCTGGTGGGGCCATTGGTGATGAGGACATTTTCGACCTTCAAGTCTCGGTGCAGCAGCGCGGGCTTGAGGTAGTGCATGCAGGCAACGCCCTCGGCGATGTCAGCAAAGATGTTGATGATCTCGGGCTCGGTCAGGCGGTGTTGCAGCCGGGTGTTCATAAAGTCAATCAGACCGCCGCCATCGCAGAATTCCATGAGCAAAAACACCTCGAATCCCCCGCCCTTGAGCTCCGACGCGTGGGAATCGATATATGTGACAATGGCCTGATGCCCCTTTAGTCGCTTCATCGTCTCGACTTCGGTTCGCATGCCCCGCAGGGCCTCCTTATCGGGCACGGCGACTCGCTTCAACACCGCCAGATCGGTGCCGTCGACGGCCTTGGGCAGCTTGACGAGATAAACGTGCGCAAAGCCTCCCTCGGAGAGATATTTCTGAATCTGCACCCGGTGGTTGCCGACCTGGATCTTGGTCCCTGGGGCAAAGGTGCCGGCCGGTGGCATCACCGCCGCGGCTTGGGGATATCCAGCATGTGGATGGTGAGCCACCGGAGCGGCCATTCGGTGGCCGTGGGCAGCCATTCTGGAGGATCAACCGCTCGTCTATCGGTTCCCGAGATGGTGATCGTGGAGCAAAGCTCGGGGGGCCCTGAGAGCGTCGGCGGTGGTAAGGACAAAGCCCAGCGTGCCCTTTTTCTGCTGCCTTCGGGGGGTGACGTACCGGGAACGCTGCTAATGGTGCTAGGGCGGAGGGGCGTTGTAAGGAGATGGGCTATACCATCAGGACATTGGCGAGCAAAGAAGAATATCCAGACAAGACGACGTCGGTTACCGCAGTTCCCAAGAGTGATTGTCTCGAAAAAGAGGCGCAAAGGCCGTGAAAGTTATTGAATTATGGCGAGGACACACGGCCCTGGAGATTTAAGATGCCGGTAAGATAGTTGTAGCCTCGCTCCCCCATAGAACCCCCTTGGTTAGACTCCACGCTTTCTGGAGATGCGATCGGAGAATCGTCGGCTAATTGCTGGCGCAGCTCAGTACCGGCAGTTGCGCCATAGTGAATGGGACGTGGCCTCTAATATTGCGTTTAGGCATCACTGAATCCAGTCATTGCAGTCATTTCGCGGCCACGTCCAAATCTAGGTGTGAATGCCAGATGCTGAAGCCTGCTGGAGGGCCAAGCTTTGCCAAAACTGGATCGCGGAGAATGTCGCCAGCGCCATCAGGGGGACTCGAAAGACGGGGAACTGCTGTAAGATGGCAAGAGATGCGCTTGGCACCGTGGCTGACCACCATAACTGGGTGATACGATAGCAAAAGTTGTCTACTGCCGGGCCGCGTGATCGGGGTTAATGCTTGTTAAAGTCTAGAGATCAAGTCACGATGGCGATCTAACAGTGGATGCGGCTTTTTATTTTCTACTAGGCGCAACGTATCGATACAAGTAAGTGCACATGATCGTAGGAGATGGGGACTACTTGGTCGTTGTAATAGACAATGCCGGCAAGCTTAAAAGGGGATGTGTTTTGCCCTGTTTAAGCATGAAAGTGAGTTGGGCATAGAATGGCGATGGCTCGACAATCTTAATCGAAGCTTGGTGCGTCCCACTATGTGAACTACGAGTATCCATCCACAGCTGCCTATAAGCTTGGGACGGCATGAAGCATGCGAGGCATTCAAAGGCCTTTCAAAACTTGTCTACTGCGCTTGTTTGATGGACCTTGAAAACGCTTGTGTACTTTGAGATTGGAGCTGTCATCGCCTAAGTGCCCATATGAGACATGTGAAACTGCAGACGGCGTCTCCCTACCTCTTTGGATAAGGGTCCTGGCAATTCATTGGCGATGTCACTGACGGAATGTGTGATCTTCAGGGTCCGCGGGCTCCGTTGACGCAATGGCACAGCAACTCTTCAATGCACAAATACAGAATGGCATATCTACATGTATTTTTACTGGACGTGAAGTGCATATCAGGAACTTGCCCGAGAGGTCCCAAAAGCACTGCCAGGTACGTACATTCTGTCAGTGACATGCCCGGCCGTTTTAACTTCTGTAGCGGTGGCGACGCGAGCAGCAGATCCTCCATGCTAGTTAGTTCATCAGGAACCCGCTGCTATTTTTACAGAGTTTGCCTCCCTGACGTAGGTTGACGAAAGGCTTCAGCCGTGACTAGCTGCTCGACTCATTCAAACTTGAAAGAGTGCTTTGGCCTTTGCTATATACAATCAGTGAAATACAGACTTTTGTGTTGGAGACACAGAAGATGTCGGATCCTCATCGGCGCAAAGCCGAGAAGCCGACAGCCAGCACATAGCCACCATTTCAATGGAGCTTTTTTGGATCCGTTTAAGCAACGCCTCTGAGATATGCGCATACGCCTGAGTAAGTAACATCGCCTATGTACGCTGTAGGGGAATTAAAAAAAAACAGTTTTCAGGGATTCTTCTTTTTCTTTTATCTTCTTTACGCAGTCTTATGGATGTCCGAGCTTGTCGTCCATCCATGGGGCTGAGACGTCTTACAACGAATGAGAGCAAAAAAGACACTGCCAGCTTGATGGAATTCATCTTCACCGTTTCTTATCAGCTCAGGCCGCCTCTTTCTCCCCACAGCAGCATTTTCCAAGTCTAATTTTTTTCCTCGACTATTAGCTGCTAGCGGGCTGTCTGCTTCTGCTAGCTTCAATGCGTGAGGTATGCGTTGTGGCTGCTGCTTAGCATCAGATCTTTATTCTTGTGACCTTTAGACCAAGTATACATGTACGTAGCGGCACGTCGCATTGTCTAGTAGAATCAGATGCCCCTGAAAGCAACAAGACGTTCTCCGTGAAGTTGGGCGCTTGTCTGCGCGCCTGGACAGCCGGCCGTGCCCTTTCAGCTGCGTCTTGTCCTTTTCTAGAACAAGCAAGAATGCCGAGCACTGGCGGCAGCTTGTATCGCAAAAGCCATCGCCCGTAATGAAAATCGACAGGTGGATTGCCTGTCAAAGACGGGGAAGCCACCCATCTCCACATTGATATACAGTATATCAAACTTCAACATCCGTCCATCATCATGGGAGGCCGCTTCTCAAAGACGCTCCTCAATCTCTCTGACAACGCCGATTTCCATGCCAAACCATGCCATGCCCATGCCAGCACACCGTCTCCAAGCCTTCTTTCACTCGAGTCCCAAACATCGCTAGCCCAGCTCCAAAACCACCCCCGTATCGATCATCTCCAGAGCCGCCGTCGACCAATCAGCTCGTCCCATGCTGAGCACCGCTCGGCTCATTCGTGCCGTGCAAACCGCCAGCCCCCATGTCGTCGTGTCCCAGAAAACCGAGCCGGCGCCAACAAGTTCCCAATTGCCCAAAATGCCCTCCAACTCAGCATAGCTGTGTTTCGACTAGACGCGAAGTGGTAGCATTGACGTAGCATTTGCGGATCCCTCCGTACTGTACCTTTTTCTGATGATGTTATTTTTCTTGTTTTTTTTAGGTAGCTCTCCACGAATAAAGCAACCATTCCGCGGCAAGTGCAGAATGTGATGTATACTTTGTCTACACTTTGCCCGTAACAGAAATGGCATGTTGGTGGCATTGAGGATCAGCCTGCTGGACTAGTTGGCATTAGTACTAGCAATAAGCTGATGCTGCGCCCCTGCGTGAAGTCCTGAGTGATGCTACGTAGGTGTTTGGAAAGAAGAAAACAGGGACTTTGTTGTTCACTCCCCTCCCACGATGGGTTTTGTCTCTTTCTCACAGTTATAAGAGACCCAGCAGACCCTCCTCCACCCACTTGGCCGTTTCCCTTTCTCTTTCTTCTCCCTCATAAACGACATAAGAAAACACACTTTCGTTACCTTTTTCTCTTCATATATATCCTCGGGTTCTAAACGCCTCTACAAAATCGCAATAATGTCTTCTCCTCAGCCCCAGATGGTCGCCCAGCAGATGACTGCCGAGGCCCCGGCGCGAGTTAGCTCCGAGCAGCCGGTAGGTGTTTGCCAAGCCATGACCGCATAATAGAAGCAAGATTCAAAGAAGAAAAGGGCTTCAAATGCATCGTGGACATAATTGAATGAATTAAACAGTCTGCTAACCCTGGCTTTTCCATCTGCTTTAGCGTCCCGTTGAGCCTATGAGCGTGGAGGGAGAGGCTCCCAACATGCGTGGTGGTGGTGAGGGTGTAAGTGTCCCCCAAGCTTGCTCTTATGCTAAACCGTCCCAAAGCCTATCATACAAATATACCCCATCATACGCTCACAATACCAAAAATAAAATATGGTTCTTCTTTCTGACTTGTACGCTTCCAGGAAATCTGCTGCGGTATCTGCGCCGGTATCGCCTGCTTCGAGTGCTGCGAATGCTGCTGTTAAGCGCCCAATGCCCTTCGAAATCAACAATCACGATTAGATGGAGGGAGAGGTTCAAATGAATGATTAATATATTTGATGTTGGGGGAAGAGCATGGGAAAGAACTCGGGAGCTGTTCTCTTTCTTTCTGGCCACGGCTCGACGCCGTCTTGGTCCATTTTTCTAATGATGTGATATCCCCAAACTATTCAAGCCTGAGGGAGAATAGAGCAAATACCCAGAACATTTTACAATATCAAGAAATTACATCTTTTGACTCGTTTATTCCACTTTTCCTTTTCTGTGCTTCTTCTTTCTTCCGTCTTTTCATATCATGTTATTAAACTACAATCTCTGCTAGCTTCTTAACCACGTCGTCATAATAGCTCCCCGAGAGCCGCGAAGCGACCTCATCAGCCGTCTCATCATCGCCCGGCTCCAGCCCGAGCTCCCGCTCACCCACCAAGCACCGCCTCGTCGCCTCCTCAAACTTCTCGCCCATCTCGGCCCCGAGATCAGCAACCCGCCCCGGGGCCAGCAAATCGCCACGCACCTGCCGAACCACGTCCGACTGGCCCTTGGCGAGCCGCATCTCAATGCCGAGCACGCCGTCGACGGGCTTCCAGTGCGCCAGCTCCACGAAGATGACGCCCAGGCTGTAGATGTCGAAGCTCTTCTTGGACCGCTCGCGCAGCTTGCCCTGGTTGGACTGGGCGCGTGGGTGGCGGTACAGGTCGTGCTCGGCGTCGAAGCCGGGGATTTCCGTCACCTCTTCGGAGCCGCCTGGGCGGGAGAAGTCGAAGCCCGAGAGGAAGACTTGGCTGTAGTCGACGTGGCCCGTCTTTGTCTTGAAGAAGAGGATGTTGTGGCTGCGGAGGCCCTTGTGCAGCCAGTTGACTGCGTGGAGATAGAGCAGACAGTTGCTGAGGGCGTGCGCGAGCTTGATGCGGTCGGTGACTCTGGGCTTGCGTACTGTAGTGTCTAGGAGCAATTCTCGCAAAGACACGGGCGGTAGAGTATCATGCACATCTTGACTGTCTGGCCGTTCGAATACCAGACCCAGTCGCCGGTCCAAGATGTCGACGTCGTCGTCTGGAACGTCGGGGTCTGCTTTGTCGAAGAAGCCAATGCAGTGAGGTGTCCGGAAGGCTTCTGGCTTGGGGCTGTGGTGGAGTAGACAGGCCAGCTTTCTCACTCTATCGACAATCTCTGCTTTGGACAGGCAGCCGGTGTTGCCCGCATTATCGTAGTCTTTCCATTCGATCCACACCTTCTTTCTTCCTTCGGCAGTCTTCAAAATGGCTTCGCACCGTGGATCCTCAGATTCATCCGTGCCTGGGTTCAGTTCTATGAGATACTTGGGAAGTTGCACAAGGCGCTGTTCTCCCGGCTTGGCCAGCTCGAGAAAGCCCGCCACAGCGTCGTCTATCAGAGCTGGGGTATCCGATTTTGGGTCAATGGTCTCGTTGAAAGCCTTGAATTTTGCCAGCCGAGAAAGCTGCTTCAGTTCGGCCACGTTTGCCTCCCTCTCGGTCTTAGATAGCCGCGTCCGTGATGGCGCACCAGGCAGGTTCCTAACTTCCAGCTGATCCTTGAGGGCCAGCACCAGATGGCTGAGGTCGGCAATCTTGTGGTGAAGCAGCAAGACGCCCCGGTTTGTATCCTGAACGGTATGGCGGATCTCAACCTGCAGCGAGTGGTCCAGGATATTCATCATGGTGTCGTTCAAGAGCGTAAACTTGGCAAGCAGCTGCTCGAACCCCTCCTTATCAAAGGACACCCATTTGAATCTCTTCAAACCCTCCTGTGACTTTTGCTTGAGGTTCATCATTGCCTTTTTGATAAACAGTCGCTTCTTCTCCGATATAGGGAAGCTGGCCTGCTTGGCATCCAGCTCAGGGGAGACCAGGAACTCGCCATCGTCGCGAAAGGGAGTCAAGTTGCTATGCTTGTTTTGATACGCAATGAATTCGTCAAACAGGCACTGAACTTGTACCAGCAGATCCAAAACCGTCTGGCGGTGCAGATGGAAGACGTTCGAGTTTAGGATGCGCTCCTGGTTCTCCGAATTCACGTCTAGCAGGCCGGACGTCTCGCTCCAGGCAAAGAGGCGCTGCTGCTCCAGGCGCAGGCGCAGATTGAGATGTTTACAGTCGTCTTCATAGCCGAGAGCGGTTACGAGAAGCTGGATGCCTTAATTCCAGCATCGATAAAATTGAAAAGTTAACAGGTTTGAACCATGGAGATAAATTACACAGGCCATGACATGCCTTGGATACAGCCGGTATAGACTTGCAGGCCCAGGGATGCAACACCAAGAGCCAGGCCCGCCGCTGACACGGGATCCATTTTAGCTCTCCCAGAGGAACTTAGACAGTTTTTTGTTGTCTCCTTTTACTACGAGCCCGCCAAAGGAATATTCCCTAAACGGCGTGCCGCGCAGGGTGGCTTGTTGTTGGGCGGTGGTAGTATCTGGAGGCTGCGCTACCTGATGCTGGATTGGGCATACGATCAATGATTACTACCTAGCAATTGATGTGTGTGTGAGGGGAAGGGCTAGCAAATCTGGCCTACGAGACGGGCTGGGTGGGGATGGAGCGGACGAGGACCGAGCCCGAGCCATGGCGAATCGTGGACCGAACCGATGGACGGGGCAAGGGACAGGGGATGATGTCTCGAATATAGAGCATCTAGCGGGCGATGATGGTGAGTAACGGGCTTGATGGTAATGGTGACACAGAACGATGATATTCTCATGGGCTTTAGAGAATAGGTGGAATAAAAGAAGGCAGAACAAAGAGGATATCCGGAGCGCATCTGATATTGTGGCTGCGGGCGCGCTCCGGTCCATCTCGTCCTTGATTTCCATGTTGCTTTGACATCTCCCCTATCAACCACTGGCCGATATGCCAAGCCACAATCTGGTTATATAAAGGCACAATTGATAAGTCACAAAAGGAGTAAACCGGCTGTTTCCCCTACGCTGTACGGAGCAATCAGCCCGAGTTCAACCCGTGAGACATGGAACTTCCGACAAAAGATCTAATGCGACACCTACCTACTAGTAGATAATGAAAGGATCAATCTCGATTCGCCTCTCTGGCCTTCTTCCCCTCTCTTTCTTGGCAATGGGTAGTACATAAGGCTTAGCCTCCTCTATATAGGCCTATTGCTTCTACTACCGCTGATAGCACGTCTCCTAGCTCTACGACGGACAAACCGTAGCCAGAGGACTAGCAGCATGTGGCGTTGCGCTTCAAGCCGCGGCGTCTGAAATTACATCGAAGCACGCTGTGAGACGGTGACACTCGCAATCGGGAGGATGCAGCGCTGCCATTGGCCTCTGCAAAGGCGGCATCTCTGCATCTAATTTCACGTATTGCATTAGTTTGGAGACACGGGCTGTTCAGATGATCGGTAATCAGTCCTTTTTTTTTTTTCTCGCGAGTAATTTTGTTTTCCTTGATCAATAGTTTTTGTGCTCCCTGCAGCTGGTCCCAGACCTGCATGGATGTATCGCCAGTCACTGAGAGTTGAGCCTGGCTTTGCCTCATGGGGCAAACTCGCAGATAGTGGTGGGTTTGACAGCCTGTGGCCTCCCACTTCCGGACCCGCGGATAGCGGTCAGGTCTGGGCAATGCCAGTTACGGGAAAAGGTCTCAGGCCGGGAGCCGAGAGATGGCCCTTATTGACGAATGAAGACCCGTACTAGGCAATGGGTAGGTAGGTAGTTATTGTGAGGCTGTAGCCGCTGTAGGCATGAGCATGCCTTGTCCCGTCTTTCATCTTGCCTTGTGCTCAATTGATCCCGCGGACTTGCCGGTACCATAAAAAGCATGTGTTTCAGCTGAATATCATACTGACTGTTAAAAAAAACGGGTTCTCCCGGAGCTTGACGCCTACCGCCGTATCTCCGTCATCCAGTTGTAGAATCGTGTAGCCTCGTCAGCCGTGTTGCGTGCCTATCCGTCTTTACAGTCTATACAGTTTCATACGGAAAAACATGCCTGTACTCGCTCCCGATCTGGCGCAACGACTAACATCTGACTGGCGTAAAACGGTCAATGGGCTCGCTCAGCGTTCTCACGCGCTGCCTCGAAAAACTGCGGAGAGGGCTCCGCGATGGCGTCCAACCAAAGCAGGGCGGCGGCGCTGCATGTGGCTAGATCGCAGCCCCGAGGGCGACCTTCTGCACCTTCTGGCGATTTAGCCTGGCCCTGTCTGACAATTACCGGGTCGCATGTCATTCGCGGCCGGGCATTTGGCTGGCAGCAGCAGTGCTTGTATAACGGGGACTCTTGGTTTCTGGGGTTGAAGGTTGAAGCACAAGTTGTGGAAGAAACCCGTAGTTGAACCAACAGATTTGATGCGAAATTGGCCCGTGGCCCGGCGGGCGTTGTTTGATAAGCAGCAATTCCATTGCAATCCAATCTTGGCGATCCAACAGCACTTGAGCCGGCCTCGATTAGCAAGCCAAGCTCCAGATGCATCGTCCAACCTTGTTTTAATGTCTCAGGTACATCTTACGCAATATGCCCCCGTACCCTCTACCTGTGTCTCAATCCGTCGGTTCTTTCGCCCTCTTCTATTCTCCGTTTTCTTTCCTGCTTGTCACTTCTTCTTTTACTCCTTTTCTCTGAACGCATAGTATAATTTCCGTTCAAGCGGTGAGAATCGAAAGCAAGACAAAAAGTCATACAGCGGCCATAGGGACCTAGGTTGTTTTACCTCGGAGCTTGAGGTCGGTTGGCCATCCTGTCAGAAGCCTGAATCCTTCCATCAACCAACAACAAGCAATAGGGACAAAAACAATCCTGAGCACAGCCGCCAGTGCCAAGTCACGCAGCAACACGGTAGCATTTCCAGGCAATCCGTTTCCGTTTCCAGCGGCTGCTGCGTGCTGCGCGTACCTGCTACTGCGGAGTTGCAGGGCCGGGAGTCCCTGGACTTGGCCGCAGCATCCTTTGCCCGCGCCGTTGAACCATAAGGCTTCCCCACCCCAGAACCTCCTCCCCTGAGAGAACGTTCAACCAACCCGAGTACTATCTCGTTCTTCTTTTTTGCTTCTGCGCCTATCTGCGACCAGCATCAATACGAAAACCAAAAGCAAAGCTCGCAGCGCGTCCTGCAATCGCTATTTATCAACCATGATGGCGAGTGGCCATGGCGTGCAGCAGCCACCGGCTGGGACCCTGTCGCCTCCTGATTCTTCGTCATCCGCATCTCAGTCGCCGATTTCCCCGACGCATGGAGTCCGGATGGCTCAAGCAGTCGCCGACGTGCCCGACACTGGCCTCGCCAGCAAGCCCGAAGACCCAGCCAAGGCCTCCGAGATCAAAGAAGACGGCGACGGCCCCTCGCGCGAGTCGGCCGTCTCCGCCGCCTGCTTGGCCTGCGTAAGTGGACGATCCTCCTTCATTTATTCCTCGCCGACCTCGCTTGGAAGCAGCACGACAGCCTTTCGTTTTTGCTTTTTGCTTTTGTAACCCCCAAAGCAGCAACTGGCTGCGCATTGCTGCAGAGCTCCATTTCGATGTAGTCATGTGGGAGTACGCGGTTTCGAAAAAAAGAAAGTAAAAGACAAACTGTGTCAGAGGTGTGCAATCGCTTCCAGAGCCAGAAACTCTCGCTGTCTGACTCGACCCGATTGTCACCTTCATGAAGCTGCTGCCAAGAAAGGGGACAGACAACAAACACCCATCCAGCCATTTGTTTCCCCTGCATCTTTGCATAATGGACCAGAAATTTGCTAACTCGGGCTACTCGCTTCGGCTGCATAGCGGAGCAAACATCTCAAATGCGATGGCCAGTCCCCATGTTCGCGATGCGTGGGCTCCAACTTCGAGTGCATCTACGTAGCTTCTCGACGCGGCTACAAGGGCCCTCGCCGAGGAACCACCCAGAATCCAAACAAACGCCAGGCCACCTCTCCTCCGGACACCGACTCCATCAGCATCGCGCCGTCCGATTGCCCCATGCTGCTGGGCGCCGGAGTCTCCAGCGCCATGTCCGTGCCGTCGAACCCAATGTCCATTCACGGCTTCAGCCCCAGCTTGATGCCCGAGGCGTCTCCAGCAGCATCTTACCAAGGCACCCCGGGCGTCTCGCAAGCCCAGTTGTACAGGTCATATTGTAGCATCAACGGCATTGAGCCGAACGGGCTGGTGACTGGTACCCACCTCCCTTTCCCCGCTCACTTTCCCATGCAGACCCTCCAGGAGAGGTGCATCGACTCCTTCTACCGTTACTTTCATGGCTCGCACCCTTTTGTGCTCCCCAGAGAGCACCTGCTGCCGCTTGCCAATGGGACGGCCCTTGACCCACTGATGGCCGTGATCCGATGGGTGGGATCGCTTTTCATCGATGTCGGCAAATCAAGGCCGAGTCTGTACGATGACGCCATGCGTCTTCTCGATGATTTGAGCTTTCCTCAAGACGGCTTCAAGGTCCAGGCCATGATGCTGTCTATTGTTGCCCTGGATGGTTGCTGTGAAAACACAAAGGCAGCTGAGCTGCTTGGCCGGACCGAGACACTGGCCCTTCAAATTGGTCTTAACAAGGGGCATTTTGCTTCTCTGAATGGGCGGGGTAACCCAGTACTGGAGGAGAGTTGGCGTCGAACATGGTGGGATCTGTTCATCATTGACGGCATGATTGCCGGTGTTCATCGAATGACCAATTTCTTACTCTATGATATCCCTACGGATGTAAACCTTCCATGCGAGGAGTCGCAGTATTTTGCAGGGGTAAGCTTCCTTTATATTATCATTTTTTTTTTCTGCACAAAAGCCCAAGGCTTTTGTTTAACTAACGTTTCTTATAGCACATACCTCCACCTATGACCTTGGAAGAGCTGGAAGACCGGGACTTTTCTGGTGATGAGCGCCGATTCTCTTCCTTTGCATACAGGATTCTCTGTGGACGGAATTTAGGTAGATTCATGAGAACACCCCCCATCTATGGACCCGAGGATGAAAATTTGGGACGCATTGAGGCCCTTCTTACCAACTGGCGACTCCACTTGCCAGAGGATAAGAAAGACTCTTTAACAGCCAACGGCCAACTGGATGAGATGATGTTTCAGGCGCATATGATGATGTACGCTACGTCGATTCTGCTTCACCAACCTCATTCGCAGCTCGATTCTTCGCCCTCTCAGAAAATCACCTCCTGCGCACCATATCAGCTTGTTCCGGCTGGCGACCTCTTCAACAAGCATACAAAGCACACAATTGCATCAGCCAACGGCATCAGCAAGTTGATTACACACCGAGTACCACTGCTTTCTCACACTCATTTCTTCACCTGCGTCATCACTCTCTCTTCCATTGTGCATCTCAACAAGTGGGCACTCTTCTTCATTCAACACGACGATGACGACCTGAGACAGCAGATTCGTCTCAATATTGGTGCCCTGAATGAGTTATCCGCCGTATGGGGCGCCGCAGACAGAGCTCGAGGGCAGGTAAAGGGTGTTGCCCAGGAGATTTATCACATCAAGAAGGAGCAGCAGAAGAATCCCCAGTTCTGGCTTGGTTTCACTCAAGAAGACGTTATCAATAGCATTGCTGCGGATGAATCTATCATCAGCAACTTTGATAACATGACGCCACCACATTTGCTCGGCTAAAGTCGAAAAGAAGAAGAGGGAAAACATCACATAGATCGATAGGCCATATTTGGTCAAAGACATCAATGTGAAGAATACCTACCTGGCCACTAGATCAAGGAGGTCTGCATTTGGGGGAACTTGAAAATTTACAATGAAAAAGCGTTGAATAGGGCTTCAGAGCGTTGGTCGTCGAGGCGTCATTGTAATGATGGCCTCTTTGTATTGGGATATATTTTGGGTATTTAGGACAAGTTTGTATAGTAACGATTATGAATGACAATTTGATTTGGCTGACTTTGACTTGATGGAATGTTTTTACCTTGCCTGGAATCATGGCATGGCGTCAGCATCGACAATTTATGCTAAAATTTGGGTAGTGTAAGTTAAGTTTATGCATAATTGCTGAGATATGATTTTCACCCACCATCGCGGGAGTGACAATTTCCAACGTTTACTAGTAAAGCCCGCGTTCTTGGCAAGACGGGAAATTGTCGGCTGATGAGCTTTTAGAATTTACATGTTAAAACTTAATCATTTTGGCTCTGTAAGCTTTGCGTAAAACTTTATGCCGTATTCTCAGGGGCGTAGTTGATGAAGGTATAGGGTAGTCTTTGATGCACGAGTACAGAAGCGGCCTCGTACGAATTGCTGCATGGCAAGATGCACGAAGCACGGGTAGCAATATGCACAGTACATATCAGCTGCTCCACAATGCATGTGGCAAACGGAAGCAACTCTCCTGTTTTTTACAGATGCACCGAGTCGATCAATGAGCTGGCAGACCGTTGGCTTTGTAGACCGCCAGTCGGGCCCCTTAAGCAGACAGCCTTTAGGAAACGAAGTCACCGCTGCCGTCTTACATGCTTGCCGCTGAGTTATGAGCCCTACGCAGAATTTGCTACAAGATTAATCAATCAAGAGCGATTATGGAGTGGAAGCCAAGAGCATAGAGAGAGAGCATATGTAGACAGTAAGTACCATATAGAGAGAGTTCCAGAAGGTTACCGCTTCTGATGGACGAGGGCTATTATTAGCTCGCCGCCACTGGCTTGGGCCAGAAGCTGGAACAGGCGAGGCGGGCTGAACACATGTGCCATCACAAATCTGCTTCTTTAAAAAGCAACATTAGTCGAAGAGTGGACTCTTCCCCTTGTCGACATCGAGAAAAGCTACGCGGTGTACGAAGTAGGGGTTTTTGGGACGCCGTGGCGCCGTGCCATTGGATCGGCCTGCAGATATCGAGATCCATGCAGCCGAGGTGTTTGCAGTCAAAGGCATTAGTTTGCCCATAGTTTCTATGTAATCTTGAGACTAGCATTGGAAATACTATAGCAGAATTGGCAGCGCTATAATCTGTTCAAAACAACGTGGGATCGTGCAGCTGAACGCGCGGCTAAAAACAATCAATAGAGGATGATGCGCATCTCAAGGCGAAGAGCTAAAACTTCACACCAGCCTCCCGCTGACGGAAAAGTGGCTCCTCGTACCTGCTAGCTGGCGGCGGTGCAGTCACATGATTCTTATCCAATGAAAGGCTTGCTATTGCATTACCTAAGGCTGTTTGGCGCTGCCAGCGGTCTACAAAGGTACATCCCGTCGCCCCGTGCAACGGGAAGCTGCGCCGATGTGGGGGTGGCCCTTGCTCCTGCCAGGCCTCGTATGGGTGGCTGGTCCCTTTAGCCAAAGAGCTGCAGGTTGCTAAAATCGCAGCAATTGAGACGTTTCTTGATCTTGCATCCTTTTTTGCGCGGGAGGCCGTTTTCCTGGTGTTTTTGCCGTCTTTTGAAGCCTGGATTGCCATTTTGCGACGTTGCGCGGGATCGGCTCGATTTGACTGTGTTCACAACTCCGACCTGGTGATACCATACTTTTGATCTTCACGATTCCAACCCCCCACATTGAACGACTTACAGACATTCCTCATTCCTGTTCGCGGCGCCTGATCGCACGACACGGACACTCCCGCGACACCGCACGACGAGTACGATTGTTCTGGCTGGGCGATAAGGCGCAAGGCGGAGGAAGTCGCTGGCGCACCACAGAGGAGTCGGCTCAGTATAAATCGCGTCGCACTCTGCTTGGAGTCAGATCGCCAAACTTTGCCGCTTACGTTTTCGTCGCCGCCGTCATGGCGCCGGCACCAGACCAACTCTCCTCACCTGGTTCTGTCAGCTATGACTCCGATACCATGGTGGTGGGAGATGGAACGTGGGATTTCACCAAGAACACGTTCCTTCTCCCCAACTTGCAAGGGACCGATTTTGACACAATGAGATACAATGGTTAGAATAGAACATGGTCTTGGACTGTCTTGGGGGTCGCTCGTCTAACCGTTTTGACACAGGAATGGGAAATCGCTTCTCCACCGTTCACCAATACCATACCATTATTCTGGCTCACGGCATTATGGCTGCCATGGTCTTTCTGTTCCTGGTACCCCTGTCTTTGATGCTTGCGAGATTCTACACGAGAGAACCGGCTCATGCGATGCGATACCATGCGCGGCTGGGCGTTTTCTCCGGCTTACTTCTGGTAGCAGCATTCATATTACCCTTCTTCGCAGTTGGACCAAATCGATCGCTATCAAACCCGCACCATGGAATTGGAGTTGCCATCTTCGTCATGTTCGTTGTTCAGCTTGTGGGGGGTCGATTGATTCAGCATATTATGAAGAGTCGTTCTCTTCGCGTAACGCTTCATAATTGGTTAGGCAGAGCTGCAGCCCTCCTCGGAATTATTCAGGTGCCCCTCGGACTTACCCTCTACGGATCGCCAAAGGTTCTCTTCATCTTATACGCGGTTTGGATGGGCTTCCTCCTTGCAGTCTATTTTGTCCTCGACTACCGGGCCGAGGGACGCCATGAGCGATACATTCCAGCGGGGCGCTCTGAAGCGGGCAACACTCGCATCACGGAATCCGAATACTATTCTGAACCCAGGGAGCACGAGAATTCTCCCCTGAAATGGCTGGGACCCTTGGCGGCTGGCGCTGGACTATTTGCTTTGATGAGAGGACGCAAGAAAGAGCATGATGACGACCGCAGCCGAGCCCGCACACGGTCACCATCCATAAGTAGAAGTCGTGGACCGACGGTAATCTCATCACGGCCAAGCTACTTCTCCGAAAAGTACTCTGATCTTCCGGCACAACGAAGTGGTGGAGGAGGTTTCTTCGGCAAGGCACTGGGCGGCGCGGCTGCTGCTTTTGGGGCTGGAAAGGTCTTTTCTAACTTTATGGATCGTCGTGACCGGCGAGATGAAGAGTACTCTGCTGTATCAACTGAAACTCCTCATCGCAACAGGTCTGTACGCGCTGCCACAGTAAGCGAATTCAACAGCGAGTATACTGATGATGTGTCAACCATTCCTCCATCTCGTCATCCTGCTCCCACTCAGACTGCTTCCGCATATGGAGGTCGAAGCTCATCTCCACGACGCTCCCACGTTCGCAGCAACATTTCGAGAGGAGATATGATGGATGAATCGGAATACTCGTCCTACGTTTCTCCGTCACGACGACCGCGTGATGAGCCCTCTGGAGGCGGCGGTTTTGCCAAGGGAGTGCTTGCTACTTTGGGAGTTGGATGGTTCGCCAAGAAGTTTGCCGACAGACGTGCCCGAAAGGAAGAAGAGGATCGACTGAGGGAGGAAGAGGAGATGCGGTCCGGCACTCAGTTCTCCTCCAGGTACAGCAACACCAACACCGAATATACATCTCCAATCCGAAGGGACTCTCGTCGTCCACCTCAAAGGCGCAGCACCGTGACAGGAACCGAGTACTCAGATGGAACGGAGTCTACGTTTGACACCCAAACCGAGCTTTCCACCATGCCTCCAAAGGGACCGCGGAATACGGCTGCTGGAGTACGACCCAGCACCTCTGCGTTGATCTCTGATGAAATGTCGTCGCCACCGAGGCGGGGCGAGCGTCTGTCCATGCCTACCATGCCTAGTGATCCCCATGGCATATTACACCGTTCTGAAGTTGAATCCGATGTGACTTCGCTTGCCGACCGACCTCAGGGGCGCCATTCTTCAAGACGGCAAATGGACAGCGAGAGAGCCGCGGCCGAAGCGGCTGCCCGTGCTAGCAGCCTGGCAGCCAGGGAACAGCGAGGACGTGGCGGATCAAGCCAGACGAGTGGGCCCGCAAGACCGCGTGACGACAAGGAACATGTCAGACTGCGAAAGGTTACTGAGGAGGAGACTTTGGCACAGACTAGCCGGGGCCGAAGAGATTCTCAATCAAGCCTCTCGGCGCTCGAGTCTCCTACCAAGAATCGACGGTACCGCAGAGACGACAGCAAGAGGAGGGCAGAATCGGCGGCTGAAAGCCGAGTCGAGAGCAGCAGGGTCGGCAGCAGCCGAGTCCAAGATGAAGCCAGCCGCCTAGGGCCACTGAGTCCGCCGAACCCATCACTCGCCAAGGGCAGACGTGGTAGGGATTCAGGTTATAACTCGGGTCAGCCTCCTGCCCAGCAGTCCGGCCAACCTGGACCTTCATTCTTACAACCACCCGGCCAGCATCTACCAAATCCTTCAATCACCAGTGTTGGCAGCCATGGTACTTGGAGTGGCATGGAAAGCGAAGTGCCGACCGAGGTCCCAACCGCACCGCAGAATCCGCCACGTAGCACGCCACATCAGCCGCCGCCAGCTGACGACAAGGGCAACGAGTCTGCTGCAGACAATAGGAGAAGGCGACGTGCGGAGCGACGACGGGCCAGCGGTAGTCGCCCCTCCGGAACGGAGAATACGTACGATACTAGCACGTACGATGAGAATGACATGTTCTAGAGAGGGAGAAGAGTATCTCAACGACTATACTCTTTCTCAGTCGTCTAGAATGATGTGATGAGATATGGCAAAGGCAGCGCATATGCCTCCGTTAATTTAAAGAACATACCCGTTGATGCTTGCGTACATATACACGAGATTGGGGTGGAATATGTTGTGCGATTTTTCTTTTCCTTTCTTTGGTGGGATGCCGCATATATATGTGCAATGAGTCGTAGGATACCTTTCCTTTTCTTATTAAAAAAAGGGCGTTTGGGATGGCATTCTAAAGAACTCTGCATTTTTGCTGCATTTGATTGGTAATGTGTGTTTATTTCTTCTTCTTTTTTCCTTTTTGTTACGCTTCTCTCTCTGAACAGATGATGAATGGGATGGACATGATGGGATGGGAATGCTTGAGATGAATGGGAATTTTATTCTTTTCTTTTTTTCAAAGATTGATTGATGGATGGATGGCTTAGAGATGAAGGTAAATTTACGTATATGAGCGTATGTACATTTAGATGAAAATACAGATGGATGGGAGGGATATCGGAAAGATAGAAGTTTTCGTGGGAAGAGAGGTAGGCTTTTTATGTTATTTATTGATAGTATGCACGTTACGAATTAAATACGCCCTTATTGTGTTACTTTATCCTATGTTGTTAATGCCCTGCTTTGACAGATGGCAGTCTCTATATATAGGCATCTGTAGTATTTGGCGGACTGCTGCTCCAAAAAATGTAATATGGCGCTGCCGGCAAAAGCTAGGCTCGATTCTTCACAAATCCATGCCCAAGACGTCATCCCACGAGATCCCAGGAATTCGATCCCAATTCCGGCTGCAACCTGAACCAACCCAATTGTCACCGCTTCTCATATTCCCACGGAGATTGCGAGGCAATTGATAGCGCCGGCCACTGCCGGAATCTCTGGAAGCTTATAAAATGTCTCAGGGCTCTGCAGAATAGTCCAACCACTCTTCTTCAGTGAGCTCCACAGCAGCTTCCAGCCAACCCGCGTTGCGCTAAGCAGCTTAATGTGGCTCTGCTGGGGAACACCGTAGCTCGACCCAAAAGGCTATCTCGGCATCTTTTTTTTCTCTTTTCTCCTGATATCCAAGCATTTTTTAATCCATATAATCCATCTTCTCTTCCTTTCTTCCTCCTTTCCAACTGCGTCTATTTCGTTACTCTCCTTCTCTCCAGCCAATTGAGTAAATTTACCCGCAAGAGGCCAATGGCCTGCGTCTTGACTGCGACTCGCAGATAACCAACCAGCCATGCCTCCGAAAAGCTCAAAGGCCATGGACGGCCTCGACTTCAAGGCCATTTCAAAGCAATTCGCCAAGGCAAAGGCCGCCCGCGAGGCCAGGGAAGCGCAAGAGGCCGAGGCCGTAGCCCAGGGCCTGCCTACCGAGAAGGAACAGACGGCCATCCTCGAGGCGCAGCGAGACAAGCTCAACAAGAAGCGGCAAAAGGCCTACGAGCGACGCTGGTGGTGGACGACGGCCTTTTGGACGTTTCTGTTCGCCGTCCATGCCCTGGGCATCTGGCTCTTCTCCAGCGGCTTCCTGCTGACGAGGCTGGTGCTGGAGGACAAGTCCAGCTGTGCCGCGCCGCCGGTCGAGGGCCTGGCAGCGAGTCAGGCCGCGCTGGATGTGCAAAAGGGGTGCTGGCATCCGAAGCAGTTTGACCGCGCCGTCGTGATCCTGATTGACGCCCTGCGATACGACTTTACCATTCCCGAGGATCCGGCCGCGGCGCACGCCTTCCAAAACTCGCTGCCCTTTTTGTACGACACGGCTGTCAAGACGCCCCAGAATGCCTTCCTGCGGCCCTTTATTGCCGACCCGCCGACGACGACGCTGCAGAGGCTCAAGGGTTTGACGACGGGGACGCTGCCGACCTTTATCGATGCGGGGAGCAATTTTGCTGGAACTGCCATTGACGAGGACAATCTGCTGATGCAGATGAGGGACGCGGGGAAGAAGATTGCGCATCTGGGAGACGACACTTGGTGGTCTCTGTTCCCGGGCCACTTTGAGGCCAATATCAGCAAGCCCTATGACAGCTTCAATGTATGGGATCTGCACACGGTCGATAACGGAGTCATTGACAACATCTTTCCGCTTCTGGAGTCAGAGGGACAGTGGGATCTCCTCATTGGCCACTGCTTGGGCGTTGACCATGCTGGACACCGTTATGGTCCCAATCACTCCGCCATGACCGCCAAGCTGCAGCAGATGAACGAGTTCATCACCAAAGTTGCAGGATCCATTGACGACGACACGCTCCTCATAGTCATGGGTGACCACGGCATGGACGGAAAAGGCGATCACGGAGGCGAGAGCGACGATGAGGTCGAGGCTGCTCTGTGGATGTATTCCAAGCGACCCTTTTTCGGCAGAACATCGTCCGAGTTTGTCACTCCACCGGCTACTGCCAAGATTCGCCCTGTTAACCAGATTGATCTTGTGCCAACCCTTGCGCTGCTTCTGGGCATCCCCATCCCGTTCAACAATCTCGGAAAGCCGATTGAAGAGGCCTTTGCGGGACAAAAGGGCAACAATTGGGCCAATCTTGCTGCTGTTTCGCGACTGGCTTCTGCCGGAATCGAGAGATACCGACAGTCATACTTCAAGGCCCGTGGCATTCATCAGACTACAGAGCCTGGCTCTCCCGCCGCTCTCTGGGAATTGGCCAACACTGCCGGATTGAAGGATAAAGCCGCCTATGATGCTTTCACTAAGTTTGAAGATGAGGCTCTTCAGGTCTACAAAGGCTTGTGGGCTCGATTTGACGTCCCCAGGATGGTGGGTGGTGTCTTTATTACTGCCGTTGGCCTTGTGATGCTTGTCATGTACGCATCGAAGCCCGCAGACGAGGAGTTTGTAGTGGCCAATGATGCTGAGCTCGATTATGCCGAGAGGCGATTGGAGCTTATGAACCTGAACCAAGAAGACAAGGAGGAACACCCGGATCAGGGTTACCACCGGAGTCTTTTGGGTGGATTGGCCGATGCTCGAGTGCTCTTCGTCGTAGGCGTTTTGGTTGCCGTGGGAGTTTACCGCCAGCAGCCTTTGGACGGCCTCGCAGCCCTGGCTGTGACATTATTGATCACCGGTGTCATCTCATCGCTTTCTACTGCCGGCAAGACACTGGCCAATATCTTCCCTAAGACCTTTTGGGGCTGGTTGTCCGTTGTCCTTACTCTCAGTCATTCCATCGGTTTTGCTTCCAACTCTTACACGATCTGGGAGGACTCGATCCTCTTGTTCTTCATGGCAACATTTGGAGTCGCTGTGCTCATCTCGTCGTTCCGCATCGAATCCAAGGTTGACCGCACGATGGCCATCTATCACACAGTCACATTCATCGTTCTCGGACGCTTGGCCTCGTACTCTAAGCTTTGCCGCGAGGAGCAGATGCCCTACTGCACTTCAACCTACTACTCATCTGTCACATCCTCCACGTCGGCTCCCTGGCAGCTCGTCATTCCCTTTGCTGTGTTCATCATTCTGCCAGATGTCATCAAGGCATTCCTCTTGCCTTCGAAATCGTATGAGAGCCTGGCACCCACGTGGATCGGATATGCCTTCCGCGGTAGTTTATTCCTGTCTGCTCTATACTGGACTATTGATTCTGCCAACAACGGCGGATGGCTTGCCGAGCGATTCTCCGAGAGCACTCTTAAATCAACCGGGGTGTACCTGGCGCAGATTATCCTGGCGCTCTCTCTGATTGTCGGATCGACGTCGTTTGCCTGGGCACCGCCAAACATTTCTATCTTGTCGACACAGTCTAAGACTGGACAGCTGGTGACGATTCTCGGATACGGCAACGCCATGGGCGCTCGATACCTCTACCTCCCGCTCAACCTGCTCGCCGCCTGCATCCTCCTCACGAAGCCCATGGGCTCGGGAGCCTTGTCCATCATGATGTGGCAGATCCTCTGCCTGGTCGAAATCATCGACCTCAACCAGCTCAAATCCGAGGCCATCGGCCCCGTCATGCTGGCCATTCTCGGCAACTTCTACTTCTTCAAAACCGGCCACCAGGCCGTCCTCTCCAGCATCCAATGGGACAGCGCCTTCATCCCCCTCTTCTCCATCCGCTACCCCTGGTCCCCTCTCGCCGTCGGCCTCAACACCTTTGCGGGCCAAATCATCGCCGCCGCCTCGGTGCCCCTCGTCGTGCTCTGGAAAGTCGGCCCCAAACAGCGCGGCGTGCTCGAAAAGTCTGCGCGCGCGCTGGGCGTCTTCATTGCCTACTTTGCCGTCGAGGCCCTCGCTACGATGAGCTGGGCCGGCTGGCTAAGGAGACATCTCATGCTGTACCGGGTGTTTTGCCCGCGGTTCATGCTGGCGGCGCTGTTGCTGCTGGCGATGGACCTGGTGGGCGTGTTGGTGTCGTTGGTGGGCGTGAGGACGAATACGATGGCGGTTTGCGAGGTGTTTGGGTGGGTGGAGTAGGAAAAGATGAATTACCACTTGTGCTACTATCTAACGAGTATCTGTATCGTGTATAAGAGGGGGAAGAGTATAGTTGTTAATTTGACATGTGGACGTCTGGATATATGGATGATATAAAAAAGTTCAAGCATGTTAGTTGATCTAGTAGATAAAATTACGCATTACAATATTCAAAAATTACTACAATTCAAATAAAAAAGAGCTTCACATGAGTAAATCGAATAATAAATTGAGGCCTGAAAAATTACTGCATTGTAGAAATGTTACCCAAGAAATATAAAGTACAGCTGGTGAAAAGGAAAAAGAAGAAAGAAACGAAAAATGCCTCTCCTTCCACCACCGTAAATAGTCTTTCCTAATACAAAAAGGGAGGGGGAAAAAAAAGAGGCAGGAAGAAAAAGAAAAAAGTTAATTAGTCAGGCCGCAGCATTCTCCCGGGATATCTATCGTACAACACATGAGCTTTGTACGGAGTTTTTGTTTAATCACCTCACGCACATATATAGGTATATGCTCTTTCCTTTCCTCCTTTTGTAGGGGAATCCATCCATTAGACATTGCATTATAAAAGGAAAAAGAGACAAAAAAAAAGACAGGAAACTGAAATTCGCATAGGAAGCGAGGATATTTGAGGACGCAAAGAGAAAGAATTAAGAAAGAAAAAAAGAAAAGAGGGTAAACAAAGTCAACAACTACCCTTGCTATGAAGCAGCTGGCTTATCCTCGACTTTGTCTTTGCTCTGCTCCTTTGGCCTTGAGGCGAGTGATGTTGAAGAAGCAGGTTTCTTGGCTGACGAGGAAAGAGTCGAGGTTCTTGTTGATGACGAAGAGCGTGTTGTCGAAGCGGTAGTTGATTTTCTTGTGACTGAAGGAGAGGACGGAGCAGCAGCAGCAGCAGATGAAGACACCTTTCTTGTTGTTGAAGCAGATCTAGCAGCTGAGGGGGTTCGCGTTGTTGACGTAGACCGTGCAGTGGGTGTTCTTGTAGTTGATGTAGACCGCGCTACTGAAGGTGTTCTAGTTGTTGAGGTTGATCTTGTAGTGGGCGTTCTTGTAGTAGATGCTGATCTTGCTGTTGAAGATGTCCTTGTAGTTGAAGTTGATCTCGCTGTTGTCGTTGTCCTCGTTGTTGACGTGGATCTTGCTGCTGAAGGTGTTCTTGTTGTCGAAGTAGATCTTGCCGTTGAGGTCGATCTTGCCACAGAAGGAGTCCGCGTCGTCGAGGTAGATCTCGCCGTTGACGAAGACCTTACTGTCGACGCGGACCTCGCTACCGAAGAAGAAGTAGATTTTGTTGCTGAAGAAGAAGAAGCGGAAACCTTTCTGACGGATGGTGAAGAGGACAAGGAAGAGGTGGCGGCGGGCTTCTTGGCCGAAGAGGAAGACGCAGCGGGCTTTCTTGTTGTTGACAAAGCTAAAGCTGCTGACTTTGACGCTTTGGCTTGAGGCTTCGTCTTTTCTTCACCCTGGTCTCGCGCTTTGTCCTCTTTAGAAGCAAGAGAATGCGAAGAATTTTGATCTTTGCTCTCTTTATCCCTGGTCGACTTCTTAGTATTCTCGTCCGATTGGGCGGACGCGTCTGGGGCGGGGTCGGGATCCGGGACGGGTTGTGAAGCAGTGACGCCTCCCTCTTTAGATATATGCTCACCCTTCTCGTTTGACTGTTCCTCCACTGCCTCTGGCTGTGCTTTTTTCTTCTCATCGGCATAGTCGGTATCGGTATCATTACTAAGGTTGTGTGCGGCCTCTTCCTCGTCCTCTTCCTTGACCTTTTCGAGCTCCTGTGGTACCTCGTGCTCAGACACTTCATCTTGGTCTTCAGCTACTTCCGCCTCTTTTGCGTCTGGCTCAGCCTCCTTGGTCTTTGCTTCGTCAACCTTTTCCTCAGCCTTCTTCTCCTCAACATCGGGCTTCTCAGCCTTGTCTTTCTTGGCCTCTGCTTCATCTTTGCTGGGGGCCTCTTCTTTGGGTTGCTCAGTCACCTTCTCAGCTTCTTCTTTCTTCTCAACCTCTGGTGCTTTGGTCTCTTCTGCCTTGGTCTCTTCAACCTTGGCTTCTTCAACCTTGGCTTCTTCAACCTTGGCTTCTTCAACCTTGGCTTCTTCGACCTTGGCTTCTTCGACCTTGGGCTCTTCAACCTTGGCTTCTTCGACCTTGGGCTCTTCAACCTTGACTGGTTCCTTAGCCTCCTCTACCTTGGCTGATTCCTCCTTCGTCTCGGCCTCTGGTTCTTTAGTCTCTTCGACATGGGTATCTTCTACCTTGGGCTCTTCGACTTTGGTCTCTCCTGCCTTGGTCTCCTCTGCCTTGGTCTCCTCTGCCTTGGTCTCCTCTGCCTTGGTCTTCTCTGCCTTGGGCTCCTCAACCTTGGGCTCTTCAATCTTGGGCTCTTCAACCTTGGGCTCTTCAACCTTAGGCTCTTCAACCTGGGACTCTTCCTCATTCTTCTCAGCCTCTGGCTCTTTAGTCTCCTCTACCTTAGTCTCTTCGACCTTGGCTGGCTCCTTGGCCTCTTCGCTCGCTTCTGCCTTCTCCTCCTTTGCCTCGTCCTTCGGCTCCTCCGTCTTCTTTCCGTGCACCTTCTCCCGAAGAGCGTTCAGGCGAAGCTCTTTAGCCTTTGCCGCAGCTTCATCGGCGACAGATCGCACAGACTCAACGCTGGCTCTCGGCATGGAACCAACCTTGGGCTCGGGAACGGGCCCAGGGGGAGGGGGAGGCGCAGCGGCAGCGGCAGGTGCATCAGCAGCAGCCTTTGCTTCAGCCGCCGCCGCCGCAGCCTTGGCCACAGCAGACTTCTTGACCGTCTTCTTCTTCTTGACCGGCTCTGGATATTTGTGCTCGATGTCGGGAATCGTGCTTTCGTCGTAGTAAATCTTGACGTGCTGCTTCAGCTCGCCATATTCGTTCCACTCTTCGATTTCCACGATATCCTATAGTTCCACAGTTAGATCAACAGCTGCGAGAAGGAAGACAGGGCAAATGATCAGAGGCAGAGAAATAATGCCGCCTACCCCTAAAACCAGCCCCTCCTGCACCAGCGCTGGAAACTTCCTCGCTCTGCCATTCTCGTCCTTGCCGGCTCGGCGGCCCCAAAGCATGCGCGCCTTTTCATCGGTGGCGATGTCGATGGCCTTGAACGGGACTTTGTTGGCGCGCAGAATCGTCTCGAGCCGCGAGGTCGCGGTGACGATGTGTGAGGAGCCCGCAGTCAGGGAGGTGTAGATGTACAGCGCGGGATCAGTCGAGTAGGACGCCATGATGCATGTGCGGTGCTCAGCAGAAAACAAACACGCAAAACGCTGGAAGAAGGAAAAGGCGGTTACAGAAGGTTAAGCGAAAGAATGGATGCGTTGGATTCGAGTATACAGATACAGGGCTGAGGGGTTGATGCTGATGCTGATGCTAATGCCGGTATCAGCTGTTACGATGGAATACAAAGGCCAGAGACAGAGCACTGGCTGTGGAGCATCACAAGAGATGGAAGCTACAGACAGTTGCAGTCGCAAGCTTGTGGGGGCGGGGTTCTGCTATATTCTAGTGGCTGTAGCAGCAGCCGCGGGACCGAGAGCGCTGTGGCGGGCAAAAAAGGGGTCGATTCCAGCGGGAAACTGTGATGGGCAGCGCTAAGCCGGGCCGTAATTTGGCCTGCAAGGGACCTGTAAATTGCAGCTTCGTTTTGGGCTTCGCACTGGACGCTTCTGGCACCACCACCATGTCGCGATTCTGGTGCCATGACGCATTTGGACATGTCTTTCCAAGACTGGATTCTTTGTAATTCGTATTCAATTATTGCGATTACAACTAGGTATTGATTTCAGCTCCGATGGAGGCAAGCTAGTCCGGTGGGCAGTTGGAAGAGGCATAATGAGGGTATCGGAGTTGAAACAGAACGAAACAATAGTTGGCGGCTAACAAGAAGCTACCTGAGGGTAAAACAACAAGCACTGCAAGGGCAATGCAGAGTAAACGCGATTAACTCAGCCAGATAAACACGCTTTGCACTAACAAAGAAACAAGAGAAGAAGAAAAACAAAAAACACAGCAAGATCGTCGGTTTCTTCAAAGAACAGTGCTTCTATTTATGGAATGCTGCTATTAATACCGCTGGTTCTGCCAAAGCTAAGATAGAGTATTGTGGCCTTAGTAATCCGAACCTGAGGCTTCCACGCGAGCTGAGAAAATAAACATGGACCAAAACACACCGCTTTTGGGCTTGCAAATTTATGGAGCACCACAGACTTCGCGCCGCCACCACAAGCTGGCCATGCCATGCAGGGAACTCCACCAAACGAAAATTCGCAATTGGGTGGCGTCGTGATTGCAACGCTGCCAGCTGGTCGTCCTAAAGCTGTAGCTGCCTTGGCAGAAGCTCAAGAGGTCCGAGTCAGCCCCCAAATTCGTTTGAGTCAGCCCTGCGTTGGCCACTCGTGCAGAGACTAACCGTCCAACACAGTATCAACAAAGGAGCGTCGACCGTCTTACAGGCCTCAGCGGGCGGGGACGTAAATTCTAATTGCTTGTGGGGGACGAATGGCCTGGGAACCCTCAATTTGAGTGCCCGGCCTCGTCTTTGGCGCCGCCGGTGTTTGGCTCGAGGCGCGCGCAAAGGGCTGAGGCCAGGGGTCAAACCCAAAGGTTAGGGGTCGAAATGAGGCCGCCCTTAATTCCCTGCACAGGCTTCGGGCGACATAAGCCTGAAACGCCCAAACGACCGTCCCTGACCACGGCTGCTAGCCCAGAGCCAATTTCGTGAGAGCACAGAGGGAGGGCAAGGCAAGGGCCCAAGCGGACAAGGCCCAAGCGGATGAGGGATTATGTGCGACAGCACACAGTGTTGGGCTTCGAGAAGCAAGATCCAATGGGAGAAAAGCCTCAAGTGAGAGCTATGAGAAAAGAAAAGTTTTCTTCTGCGCCCTGCTCGGAGTAATACCACTACCACGCCAACAATAGCTGCTGAGGTTGCATCAGTCCAGCGCTGCCGGCAGAGCATATCGAGCTCAGCACATGGCCAATCCCGGCTCGCAGATGTCAGAATAGCCCAGCGGAAAGGAGGGTCAATGGATCTAGGATGCGCTTCCGGAGCCATTTATGCAAGGTACCGCAGATGGCCAGTGAGATGCTGGCTCACGGTCCACCATCGGGTCCTTGTTGCGCGGCCGTGTCCAATCACAACAGGTGCCTGGATGCGCCAGCTTGTTACTCCTCCACAAGCCGCTCAATGGTCTGCGCCATCCCAGGCACACCGGTCTGGCTTCCTACGTGGCCGCTGCCTGGTGGAACTGTCAGAGATTTCCAGCCGGCAGACAGTCAAGACAAAAGGGAATCAGGCCCCTCCCGCTCTCGATTTCTCTTTTTCCTCTCATCACTCACCACACTCTCTTTAAATCCAACTACGCTGTCTAGACGACACTGCTTCACGCAAACCACCCTCTCTTACCAACCAATTTGCGCATATCAGCCCGGTGCTCTTTCGCCCAACGCCTTCATTCGGTAATCAACTTCACGAATCAAAAACCTCAAAACCATCAACATGCAGTTCTCTACGCTCTTCACTCTCGCCGCCGGCGCTGCCGTTGCCGCTGCTCAGAGCACCTCTACTCTGACCTCGACGACCACCTCAATTGTCACCATCACCCAGTGCCCTGAGACCGTCACCAACTGCCCTTACCGCACTCCTACCGCTCCTGCGACCACCAGCGAGGCTGTCACCACCTCTGCTGCTCCCACCACCTCGGCCGCTGAGACCACCGCTGTCCCGACTTCCAGCAAGCTCCCCATCTGGACTGTCTCCAACAGCACCTCTGCCACTGCTGCTGGCACCAACCCCGTCGGCACCACTGCTCCCACCACCATTGTCAGCGTTCCCGTTGGCACTGGTGCTGGCTCTGGCGCTGTTCCCACCGGCCCCTCTGGCTCTGGCGCTGGTGCTCCCACTGGCATCCCCTCTGTGCCCACCAGCGGCGCCGCCAAGATGGTCCAGTCCGGCTCCATCGTTGCCGCCGTGGCTGCTGTCTTTGCTCTGGCCTTCTAAGCTCGCAGCTCGCAACTCTGCTTGGAGCAACAACTTTTAGATATTCTATTCTGTCACTCTTTTATTTCACAAAAGAAATTTATTCTACGGGGAAGGACGTTTGGTGGCTTTTTTCAATCGGCGGATACAATGAAGGTGTGGATAGATTACGAATGAGTTTGGGTCGATACCCGGTGTTTTTCTCGGACTTCACTTCTACGCTCTGGACGAGCGGGCTGGTTGCTTCTTGACGAGCAGTCGTCGGAAGCACCAGATGGGCGCATGGATGCAGCAATGGGCAATTGGTTGCCCGACTGCGGCGAACGCTTTTATTCTTTTTCATTTGGGATCGGCCTTGGCCGGGCCGTCTTTTTGGGACGAGACATGAACAAAAAGCCTTTTTGATACCTTTGCATTTCAATAAAAATCCCACATTGTCATGATAATCTTGTGTTGCCTGTTAATTGCCAATTACTGTATGCGTGATTAGATTAAACTGTAAATGTAGACAATGAGCCGCTGCAGCCAACGCTATGGAGAATCTGCCCCATTGGGTTCTCTCTTTTTGGGTAGGAAGCATGTGAAAGTCTTGTCAATTTGATTGTTATTACATGGTAGATGTGATGTTTTATGGCGATACGTAACTTGCCGAGATGTCTGATTAACTACCTACCTACTTATGTAGGTAGTGGCAACAAAACTCCACGCCATCTCTAGTCCACCTGAGGCCCACCTCAGTTTCATCCACGCATTTCCGTATAAACATCAGATCATAATAGGGCTCAATGCAAATCAAGCCCCGAGACTAATCACTCCAATTGTAGGAACTTAATTCTCCTTTCACGTGCAAAATTTCACTTTTTTAAGCTTTCCCAGGGCAAATAAGGGGGCTAAAAGACTGGCTCTACCAATTAATCTAAAAGTATTTGTTGCCTTTGAACTTTTATCTATGATGCTATCCCACAACCGCTAAAAGCGACGATCAGTCTCCCCATCCCTTCTCTTCTAGACCATGTTTTTTCTTCTTCTCTCTTCCGCTTTTGCCGTGTTACCCATTTCTCTTTCTAAACTCGTTCTTGCTCAGCTCAGACCCTCGTCTTGAAAAGAAAATTCCGACGGCTAGTTTCTTTCTTCTATACCTAGGCACCTACTTTGCGTAACTCTCCAAACGCCGTTGTTTAGTAAAACCAGTAATTAATATTCGGACTTCAACTCCATATTCATGCAAGGAATAAAAAAATGGACCCCGAAAGTTTGACAGCCTGGAGACTTCTCCGAAGAAGAAGGGGAGAAAAAAACAACAGGGGGGGAGGTAGATGGGGCTGTTTAGACGAAATTTCCCTCTTTTTTCCCCTCATATTGGCTTTTGCTAAACTGCAAGTAAATTCCAACTTTTCTGCTCCACTACTCCGCTTTCCACAACTAAAAGAACACTTTCTCCCATACAGGGGAATATCCCTTCGCCGTTGCCTGCGGCCCGAAGACTCCTGGTAAGAGCATGGCAATTTTAAATCAGCTTTGCTGTGAAGGGAAAAGCTAGCATGAGTCAGTCGGTAAGGGTGGCATGGAGATACGAGTGGTTTCGACGCATGCGTGGGGTTCTAGGCATGACAATATTGATTTGCTTGTCTCAAGTATGGTAGGAAAACAAGGCGATGTTACATTATCATGATATCTCGGTGTATGTACATTAAAGCAATTAACAAGGGAGTGGAATGAGGCCAAGGAACCTGGCTTGTCTAAAGAAGATATCTCCAGCATTAGCTATCCTATATTGCATCTTTGTATTACATTGTCGAATGAGCTCGTTTACCACCCAGAGCAAACCAAATAAAAAAGAAAGGCTGAAAGAAGAAGAAAAATGCTACTGGCCGTTTCGTCATAACTCCTCTTGTTCGCGTCTGGCAACAGGGCTAGAGCGTTCCAACCGGTGCCGTGCTTGTGGCCTCATGACTAAGAATTGTAGAGGGAGAGAAGGCGTAAGTGAAAGAAAGTTCAAGAGGTTCGCCTAGTTCCGTGTTCGTCGTAATATCCATCGTGCTCCTTTATCGTATGTATGATCCTCAATGGATCCCCAAATTCCTCCACCACGTGCCTTTTGCAAGGCGCACGCATGTCTAGAAATTGCGTCAAGACGTTTAGTATGTCCGAGATTTCTATATATTCCAACCAAAGAAAAGTCGAGCAAGTAGAAAGAGAAAGAAAGAAACAAAGAAAGATAACCCAAAAGAAAATAAAGAATGAAGAAAAGAATTCAGAAAAAAGTTGGGCTAGATAGAGTATGCCAGCGGCAAAAGCAGAGGTAATCCACCGACTGGGATTTGCATCTTCCCCAGATGTTCTCGTAAACCACCCCTCTTTGCCCTGGAGCGCTCCTCTCGGCGTGTTCTTCAGAGTTCATGCACCCATGCTTGTTTTTTTAGACAAGCCTTGGCAGAGGGGTCCCCAAGGTGGACATAATCAAGCCAGCTTTGTGGTTCAGCGCATGTCTCGGCAGCGTTTTAATGGTCCTCGGGATTAACCGTATTGCTTCCTCTCATGCCAGTCCCACCAGGGCCCGCTCAATGGCCCTCCGTACCGAAAGTCAATTCTGCTTGACACGCACAGCCACGGGAGGGCGTCTCCTTCTCTCGCTCTGCCATGCCGTAATGAGAAGTTTGCCGGCGAGAAGGGCCAACGCCAACGCCGCTTTAGGAACATGGCTGGCCGTTGGCAACCGCGTAGGCGCACGCCGAACAGAGAGAGCAATTGGAGTCTGTCAAAAATGGGCAATCATGTGTCACGGCATGAGCGCATTTCTTGTTTGAGAATGACAGAATGCCGGGGGGGAGTGGTGTTCCATAGTCATAGGATACACGGGCGTCCCCTTCTATTGGCTCGTGTGATGGCGACAGAGGTGAAGTTGGTGGGTTGACTCGATGTAGGTCAGTCTCGGAAAAGGTTCTCATCTTGACAAACAAGGAAAAAAAAAGATATGATATGATAGGTCTTTGGGTTCTTAGCCGGATTGCTAAGTCGCCTTCCTAGTTCCAAGAGAATATAACAACTTGCGTGCAGAGTACACAGAAGAGACTTTTTGAACAACTATTCAAGTAGAAGGGGAACGTGTCAGGAAATTTCTAGACCGAGTGTTTGTGGGGGCAAAAGAACAAATAAGAAGTATCCAATGGGCTAGCAGCACAAATACCGAGAGACGTGTTGGCGACTTTGACTGAGATAATCTGGGATATGACTGGCTTTATTTAAGTTTCCACGAGCAACCCAGAACAACAACTGGCCCTTAATAACAGCAAATGGGAGTCAAGGGTATGTAGAAGGAAAGATTGGAGGCAGGGCACATGAGCACATGCCGGGGCGCTTGTATGAACAGCATACAGCAAGGCTGTTTGTTTACGTATGCTAATAACAGTAGCTCTTACGCAGCAGCAAGTAAATGGCAGTAGGGCTGAGAACATGGCAAGGCGTCAAAGCAAGTGACCAGGAGCGTGACTGAGAGCAGGGCTGGGAGTGGACTGGGAGTGTGATACAAGGTGAGAGGAGTGCGGTATGCAAGCACTGGGGGAATAAAGAGTGATGGAACTTGTCCAGCCTATGCCAGCTTTAGCATAGAAGGCCACGGTGTTGACAACCCGGTCCCTGGTATCTGAATCTGTGTGGGCGCGGTGTGTGGACATGGCTGTGCGTCTATGTGTAGGTATAGGTGTAGGTATAGGTGTAGGTGTAAGTGTAAGTGTAGGTGTAGGTGTAAGAACAATGAATCAGCGCGAGAGAGCGAAGGAGAACAGACGAGCGCCTGAGGCCGAGAGAGGCAAAAGAAAAAAAAATAGTGTGATGCGTGCATGAGAGTTTCCCGGGACCACACGCCCCTCCATCACGGCGTCTTTGTCGTGGTCGAACCACGCCTCTGTGACGTACCGCTGAAGCGGCTTGATAGAAGGGAAATTAGGAATATAGGTGCCTGGAGGGAGACGGATCCGGGCCTGTGGTTGATTATAATGGGGTAGCAGGATTATTCCGAGCTAGAGACAGGGTTGGCAGCAGCCTTTTCGATAAGGGTGTTCAGCTCATAAATGCTGTTGCCAAATACGTACATGCGAGGTATCAGTGCATGTTGCCCATATGTTGGGCGATGCTCGTGATGTGACAAAATGGGTTCTAGTCACCACCCCTCCTCGTGCTCCCCTCTTTTCGGGAGGCCTATTTGTGTCTGTCGCCAGATAGAGGCACATTCTCCCACTCGGGCGCCTTTTGGATGGCCCTCGATTTCTGACAGACGGTGGTACATCTCGGCCAAAGCAGGTCCTGCAGACTAGCTGCATATACGTCCGTCACTCATGGACGAGACAGTTGACGGTGTGGCGCCGTGGTGAGTACAAGAAGCTTTACATGTTGGGTCACGTTCGTAGGAGCTTGTCATCAATGCCAAAATCCTTAGATTCCATAGCCACCAAGCGATCCCGAGCTAAACCGCGAAGCAAGTTGCCTCACCGGGCTGGCCATATTAGGAAGGGCTGGGTCCCCATAGGTAGATCAAGAAGGGGTAGCCTATGCTGAATGGTCTGCCCAAGTATGGAGAGACGACGCCGTGGCACTGGCTGTGGCTCGCCTGCTTCGGGCGAGGATGGGTGGTGGTAGCTAAAAAGTAATTGGATATCGATACTCCGTCGCCGGCCAATGGGATGCCATGCACATAGTCAGTGAAGGGTCCTGGACAGCCTAGTTCGACAGCGCTGTCGATTCAGAACACAATCCGAATATGCCACGGATAGCCCGACCGAGAGCCGGCCGAGGAATATGGAGCAGAGGCGCCAAAAGAAAGTTCTAGCGAGACAGGCACAGAAGGATTCCTCGTCTTGCCGAGCCGACAAAAAGTTCGGTGAAGTTGGTAATAGCGCGGCGCGAGCTCCGTCAGGCTCCTCCAATGAAGGCAAAAGGATCAACCAACAATCCTCACAGCCGCCTGCAATTGCGATCTGAGACAAATACCAGGGGGCTGATTGTACACTTGTACGATCAGATCTATTGACCAATGTGCAGTGCGCTTTAGCTAGCATGAAGCGTCTTTCTTTCTGAACGTAGTCGCTGCCTGCCCGCGTTTAACCTAATCGAGGTGGAGGTAGCGGTTCGTGAGGTATCCAAGGGATCCGGACATAAGATGACCGTACGACATGAAGTATATACCTGCAAAGTGCTCGTATACTGTGTGAGCCAATGGCGTTATCTCTCCTCATCTCTCCCTCAAATGGGAGAGGCTGGGACAGGCTCTGCCTTCAGCTGTGCTTATCCTGGGCTGGAGAGGTTCGATTCTCGCCCTCGGGACCGACAATCGATGCTACCTACTATTGGGCATGTTCCCGGTGGATTCTGACAGGCTTCGGGCTTCTTCAACGATGGCTCTCCGCAAAAAGTGACCCCCAATCCAAAGGCGGAACCGCCGTCGCATTGCATGTTTCACACCCACGCAGCCGATTATCGTTTTTGCAGAAGCGATGCTGCAGTACGGCTGGGGGTAGGGAAAAAGACTGGGACGAGGCGATGTGGCGTAGAAGCAGGAGAGAAGGAAGGAAGAAGAAGGATCGAAAAGGGGAACTGACCGCAAAACCGCGGGATACAGCGCCCAGAATCCAGAGCACAAAGTCAGAAATCAGAAGTCAAAAGTTAGAGATGAGAAGTCATCAAAGTGCGAAGTTGAAGATCGGAGGAGAGTCGCCGGTGGTCCGGAGTGGCCAAGCAACTGACTCTGATGACGACACAGCATGATGGATGTCTTTTGAGCGGCCGCAGCTGCCAGATGATGAGGCTTGGCATGCGCTTTTAATAGCGTCAAAAGACAGAATGCGCTGAGCTACGAAGTATTGGGTAGGTATTGGGGTCTAGTTAATGCCTGAAACGGCTACCTGCCTCTACTTTGCGAATGGGTTGTGTGAAAACGGCAGTAGCAACGCGCTGTAGACGGAAGGCTGCTCGACTAAGCAAAAAGTGAGGCAACTGCGTCTTATTTGAGTATATGCCGTATCGCTGGGAAGGCGCTCCGGCTCCCATGGACCATGCTCTCTTTGGCTGATTGATGACTCAAAGCCCAAACACCAAATTGCTGCCCTGACTCGGCACCTGAGCTTGGGATTGAGTTGGATGTTTAGACGCCCGAGGATTCGCGACGACCGCGGGTTCTGGCATTCTGGCATTCTGGCATTCTGGCAGTCATCATCTCTGCTTTGTGCTTATGCTGGATGCACGCCAACATCGGACGACGAGGCTTGTGACCAAACTACGACCAGCTGGTACTAGAGCCTGCGGGTGGCTTCAGTTCTGGGCCAGGCTGTCGGTACCAGCAGAAGGCGGTTTGCATATCCAGTTCCATTTGAGATGCTGTACCTGTCTTAGTGCGCCGGTCAACGCGCGCTGATGCGAGAAGCACATCGTCAGCTACCCGGACCCCTGCGCCTCCTCTGATCATCCTCCAACTTGTAAACAGATGCGGGCGTTTGCGTTGATCTACGGCATTGCCGCGTTGCCGCGATGTCGGTCCCAACACCGACACCAACACCAGCACCAGCACCAACACCAATGCCAACGCCGGCGCCGGCGCGGATCGAGGCATGAGCGTTGAGAACAAGGCTAGCCAACGGGGCTACTACACATATCGGACCCAAGGCTGTACTGTGAGCATGCAAATCGCAGCATTCCGTAAATGTCCGAGTTTGCGAGCAGCTTGAGACGATTCGGGCAGCATAATGCTGATGCTTTGATCAACAAACGTCGCCGGCCGGGACGGATTCGTGCCGTGTTTTTGCAACTCGTGCCCGCCATCAAAATACGCATTTGGTGCTCTATGTTATATGATTGGACGGGCGATTACTGACTCGGGCCATTCAAACAAGGATCATCCTGTCTGCGCCATTCAGGGTCACTGGCACCGGCACACAAACGCCCTCCGCATCTCACGACATAAACAGGTTTATAGGCGCGGAGCAACACCTTTCACTCTCGACGAGTCCTGTTTATGGAGAAATTTGGCTAGCTAAGAAAAGGCATCTTTGGAACAATGTGTTCAACGAAAGTGGCAAACACCGACAACACGCCTGCATGCATATGTTCGTTCCTCCTTCTTGCCTCACATTGTCATGTTAGTCGTTCTGCTGAAACATCGCCAAATAAGTACCTATTCGAACAACACCCCCCAACAGCCCAGAAAACAGACGAGGCTAAGGTGCTGACCATAGCCCCAGTTCACTTTAGCGAGGATGCCGCCCACCTGCCGTCACGGCTGTCGCCAGGGTTCCCGCCGCCATCGCCACCGCCGTAAGAGCAGATCTCCGGATCCCGAACTGCCGTTTTCAGTGTGGGTAGCAAAGAGAGATTGATCCCTTCTCTCTATTCCGTACTATTTTCGCTCTTTCGCCATACTTCCGCGATTCTTGCAGATCCAAGATGTTGAGCAGTACACGGGTGCTAGCGTGCTGCCCTGGAGCTTGTATGCATAATCAAATTACCTGCAGATGCTAATAATGGAATTAAGCATTACCGTCCCATCCCGGTAGTGGTCGCACTCATCTACTTCTTGTGTTATGTTGCTGACTCTGCCTCCAAGGACCCCATGATCTGTCTCAACATATTTCTTAGCGTCTCCTAACAGTGGCTGTTGCTGCTGACTGCTTCTAGAGCCTCATGGATGCACTTACGGTAAAGACTTGTGTGGAGACATAGGTCCCAATTGCGTTATTCTGAGAGGTTTGCTGCTAGCCGTCATCATTGCTGTCTTCTCAAATCATTTCGTGATGTTATAGATCAATATAGACGACGTCACTTCTGCCTCAAGCTGCAAAAGGCAAAGGGAAAGCTAGCCAACTCATCCGGCCGTTTACCGATAATTCTGAGATAGTTAACGTGGGCGACGTATCTTGCCTGCGGGGGCCGATACCCCAGCCTTGTCTCGTATGCTGACTTAGATCTTCTAACCACAGTAGGTAGAGATTCAGCATCTTGTGCGACCCTACCTTATATGGATAATATGCGAACATGTCTCGGCAGTTCCCAACAGCATAGCTCTTTTGATCATGCAGAAAATGTCTATGCAAATGCAACACCGCCAGTGGTTTTGCACGCTTAATTTAGTCGTCCTTGACAGTTGGATTGACCACTCCTCATTCAGCAGATCTACCCCTGACGCCACCGTTCAGTTTTTCAAATCATCTAGCTTCTTGTTCTATATCCTGGTCAGATCACGAAGGATCGGGCTTAACGAACCGCTCTGGCAGATGATACAACCAGCGAGCATACTAATGCATTATAATGCTATAAAAAGCCATCACGACGAATCAGCCACAGGAAGATGAGGAGGATTCAGATAACAGGGATTGAGGCTCTGAACAGTCTAACTAGAAAATCGGACATTGAGAAAGCTTCGCAATATGGCAACTTCCTGGGCTACTCAAATGAGGGATACTACTGGCAATGTCTCGGCAAAGCATTTTATCGGCAAACATTAATTATAGTACATCTATTACGCGCAGACTAGCCTCGATGTAAGGATAAAAACCCCGTGGGATTTCGATGGTGAAAGTCGCCGTGGTAAAACCCCATCATCAGGTCTCATTGTATCACTAATCCATCGACAATCTGACATGCATTTGAGGTGGCCCAGATGGGCGACCGTCCTTATGCACGGCTGGACCAACACGCTTGTCATAGCCTGAGCCGCACCATACAAGTACTACTCACCCATGCTACATACATTCAATCCCCGACTTTGGTTACTCATCTCACGCCCTCCCCAATTGGGTCCAGATCAGGTGAAGTTAAACTATGCACGAATATGTTAACTTGATGCTAAACTCTCAATGTTTCCTCACCAGCGCAACGTTATTGGTTGAGGTTGAGAGGCTCAGCCGACTTGTACCGCCACACGGGACTGATGCTCTTGCCTCGTCTTTTTTTTACCGTTCGAGGTAAATGGCTCAATTAGAAGAAGTGGCGGCTTTACAAGATTACAGTTTCGGATATGGAGTACTATAGAACAGTCGAAGATACTCTCATTTACCCGATACTGCAAGTCTACTCCGAAAGCTTAACGTTGACTGAGGCCAGATCGAACTACCGACATGTGTAGGTTGATACCATACGCATGATGTCCTCAGACATGGGATTGCTGCCCAAAATGGAGTACCATTGTTTGGCTGTCCTCATGCTTGGAAGAATAATGGAATCTCTGTATTGCCACTTTGATTTAAGCGGCTTGGTCTGTACACTTTTGCGCATATCCTCTCAAAGGCGGGCATTAAGACTGTCAATGCTTCTTTGGTAATGCATCGTTACCTCTACAAATTGAAGCCGTTCTCGCGCAATTCGCCTATTTACTGCCGGCGGCCGCCCTGTTTCAGAGTTTCACAAGCGCGACTGATAGACAACAGCCAGTGCTGCTGATAGTCTTGTTGCGAGCCGCCGCTCATATGTTTCCAAATAAAGCTACCCGTCCCGTCCGTCGTCTCCGAGGGACTACGTAATCGCCCTTGCCGCGCGCGATGGTGGGAAAATCTTCCTGACTCCCGGGCTGATGCTTATCTTGTTACTACTCTGAAGCGCTGGGCTTGATTTTATGCTCGCTTCTCACCACCGCCTTCAACTAGCTCTCGTACCATATCGGCGAAGCTTGTTGCATCAGTCTACCTGGAAACAATGATACGCTTTTCAAGCATGCCCTTGAAATTTGGCTCTGCGCGCCATCTCCGCAAGCCAACTGGATCTATCAAAGAGTGGCTCGTGCTGCTATTGATCACATGCTAGTGCGTTGCTGCGTCTCGTATTTTGACCTCATTTCTTGTTTCGAGTCATGCTGGCAGCTCGCATTGAGCGAGCATGACATATGGCTTACAGAAGGAAACGGAAAGGGACAAGGGAAAAAAAGCAGGATTAACAAAAGTAATTGCGAGGCTGAGAAGAGGGTAAGTCAGTATGCTCTTACACCCATGCACTCGCTTGCCGAATGCAGGCTCTTACGCCGGCGGTCGTCAATTATCGCTTATATAATTGCTGACTATTTGACACAATCCGTGACAAAGAGAGTAATACGGGATAGGAGGGTAATACGACCTTGTATGGAGGAGTTATAAGGTACTAATTTGGATATACTCGCAAGATATTTGCGGTTCCTCTCTCTCTCGGCCAAGTGAAAAAGAGAAAACAAGGATCCCGAGGATATCACCCGGGGAAACTGTGACAAGATCGAAAACAAACATGATATCCAGGCGAAGAAAAACACCAATGACGGATCTCTGATTCGTAGACTGGGCATCTTTGTTCACCGTGATATCTGCCGGGCAGTCGTGCTTTGCCACTCTGCTGGCTCCGCTGCGGCAAAGTGAGATATCGAGTGATTACAAATCTACACAAAAACATCAGCTTTCCTTGATGTCGAATCAATGACTGTGCTCGTTTCATTATCACAGATCGTGTGACTCTATTATTGGCCTGAAATGGAGCCATCTTTCAGCTCCTGTGGCCTAAATGCCGGGATCAATACTCGGGTCCGAAGAAGCTGGCCTGTACTGCATAAATACAGCGCGAGAGTTGCCTATTTCGGGCTTGTAACAAGATGGCGTTGGCATAATACAAGGCTTCGTTAGGCGGGAGGAAACACAGTTTGATAGTACGAAGCCCTACGCCGCGCTTTGCTTTGCTGATGCCATCCGGGCCGTGCCCCGGGAGAGGGGTTGAGGCACACCCTCCTTGCTGCCGGCAGAGTCAACGCCTCTGGAATGCAACGGTGTGCATAAAAGAGCGGAGCATGATCGCCCGCTTGCTAGCTTTCCTAGGAGCCTCAATATCCGGAATCCGGGGATGAGGGGGTTTAGCGAGGATCTTCAGGTCTATGAGTCCTAGGCTAGGATGACACAATGTTGATACCGTTATCTATATCTTTTGATGCCTGCATCATGGGCAAGCCTTCATGCATTGGCACAATATTGACTAGTGCCCCGGATAGTGAGCGTCTGTGCGGAAATCTGACAGGATGCGGCCGACTCCGGGCGGGAAATGGGAACCGGACGGTATCAACGAGGATCCTCAGATTTGGTTGGCTGGCAATGAACGGCTGAATGGGGAGTTGTCACCAAAGATAAAGGAATCCCGGTGGCCTCACCGGGGTGTGTGTCCCTTCTATCACAAGACCTCTCCGAACTCCGAGCCAGCTGTTTCCTAAGGGCGGATTGCCTAGCCACAATTCGAGTGGTTCATGATGCTACCCTGCTTGGGGGTGATATGACTGGGGGTTTAGAGGAATGCGTGTTTGTACATCAGCTGGACCAGAAAAGATGTGCCGTTGCCTCAAAACGGATATTTCCATGAGAAAAACACTTTGCGTTTTTTACAACAGAGGTGAGGTGTGCATTGATATCGTATTCAGAATGTCTCCATCTCGCGATGGGCTGTTCATTATCCGATCCATGAGGGGAAGAACCGTTCGGAAATAGGTAGGCTTACTTGCGTATAAAGGAATTTGACCAGGTTGAAAAGAGCCTCGTGACACACACAACTTATCTTGACAGGAGAGAGGGTTTGGAAAAGCTGACGCCATTACCACACAATCTCTTTCTTTTCTCCTCTTTTTCTTTCTTTTTCGTCTACCAGCGTATCGGTATGAAGACAAGGTAGGAGTATCAATAGCAAAAAAGGAACCCCTTGCGACTTCAGACCTGCCGAAGCAGGGTTTACAGATTAGTCGTAGCTTGGCGAGTTTGCGTATATCAACGGATAAAACCTGTTGAAAGGAGGTCACGAGAAGGAAGATGGAGTATCTCCTGCAGGATACTAACACGGATGTCAGTGTGGGATGAATAGTAATAGAAGAAGGGAGATGGTGAACCTTGATGGGTTAGTAGTAGTATCTGGATGGGCAAGTTTTGTCTCGCAACTTGCACTTGATAACGTGGTACCTTACTGATAGTCCAAGTACTGCGTTCTAAGGTATAAGCGGCGGCGGGCTTGCAGAGACGGGTTTCTCGTCCTGGTTCCAAACGCTGATGGAAGGCGTCATGATTAGTGTAAGCAATATGTCTGTGACGCCGTGATTTTTGGGAGCTGGTCTCTCTCTCTCTCTCTCTTTTTTTCCTTCCTCCATTTTTTAAGATTCTACATGGCATGGCATGGCTAGGCGAGGTGGGCGGTTGACAGCGATCGGTTTTGCAGATGCTTATCGACGATGAGTGGCATGATAAGGACGGATAGCCTAACTCAATGGGGCATCTTGCTCACTGTTGCGTTTGTTGCCTCGGCGCGGGAAGAGCTTGGCGAGGAGCTGAAAAGTTGCAGCGTGTGAGAAGACGATTCCTGCACATCAACGTCACCACCTGCAATGGATAGACACAGCACAGCCAGCCACAAAGAGAGCAGATTGCTCGGTATATGCAGACCCATCATGGATAGATAGAGAGTTGAAGAAAAGGGGGGGAGTGGATAGGCAGTGCTCTTAGCGAGCGCATCTCAGCCGGCAACTGCGCAGCACTGAGGGGTTCATGCGGAGCTGTGTGGACGCAGACGCGTTTCTCTCTCTGTTTATTCGAGGTGAGGTGAGCTGTTTCAGTGCCCGAGTCGTTTGCAATCTTGTGGCGTCAGCTGGAGCTGCGTTAGCGCTTCTGCTGCAGCGCTGCGCCAGCTGCTATTCCTCGGCAGCGCGCCACTGCTGCGCCGCAGATACGGCTCCCAGCCCGCCCGGCCGCCTAGACGCTGCTGCCCCTCACCGCCCCTCCGCTAAGCAAGCCAAGCTCAAACAACGGGCTCTTTTTTTTTTCTTTCCCCTCCCTTGGAAACGGAGAGCAGAGATACGAAAGGACGAGCAATTGTGATAGCAGATCCCAATTGGAAGTGGTACCAGTTCGAGTGGAGGTACTTTTTTTCTGCCCTCTTTTTGCTCCACCGCTTTTGGAGGGGCCAACAAGAGGACAGAAGTCCAAGTTTCCTGCCCGCCTTTGTTTTGCAGTTCTGTCACCAACACACCAACCTTTTTTCTCTTGACCGTTCTTCTACCGCCAATTGGTTTTGGCAACAGAACGTCGTCAAGATGTCCAAGCCCACAAGTGTGACGGGCAGTGAGAGCGAGTTTGAGTTCATTGAGACTCCCAAGCCCACTGCCCCTACTTTTGAGAAGGATGAGGACTGCGGTGTCCGCACCACCAAGGTATGATTTCATTTGATTGCATGACAAGTTCTTGGCGAAGCTCCCCCTAGGATGTATGTAAAAGAGAGAGAAAGGAATTGCTTGCTGCTGCTGCTGCATTCCTTGCTCTTCACTCTGCATACATTCATTCTTCCAAAGCCTCTCCAATTGCCCTCTTAGAAGACCAGTGAGCTGATTGCTTGTCCCTTTATCTAGTACCCCTCCATCAAGAATGCTCCCCTTCCAGCTGATGGACCAGGCTCCGACTCCTTCAACAACAAGATCCTGTTCTCCATCCTGTTTGGCGTTCCCTTCTGGCTGAAGTGGAAGGTTGGCGGCGGCCTCAAGACCTTCATCTTCTTCGCCATCCTCTTTGATCTGCCCATCCTGGCCGGCTGGTGGCTTGTTGTCTCCGCCATCTCCCCCCGCAAGAACACCAAGGCCAAGTACCCCGGCCGTCCCGTCGAGTACTACCTCGAGTTCAAGAAGGAGGCCGACCGCCAGAAGTACCATGGCACCAACAAGATCCCCATGGAGACCTTCCACGAGATGTACTTTGACGGTGACGTCGACTTCAAGGGCGACTGCCTCGAGGTCCTCGAGTACCGTCACGACTGGGCCAGCTTCCGCTTCACTGTTAGCCTGATCAAGTACTTTTTGCTGGGCATGATTCCTGAGCTCATCATGCACACTCGTTCTCAGGGTAAGCCTCTCCTACACCAATTGACAAAACAAACAAAAGAGTAAATATGTGCTAACATGCTTCTTCCACGTAGATGAGGAGCAGGTCCGAGACCACTATGATCGCGGTGATGACTTTTACGGCTGGTTCCTCGGTCCACGCATGATCTACACCTCTGGTATCATCTCTGACATCAACTCTGAGGAGACACTCGAGCAGCTCCAGGACAACAAGTTGACTGTTGTCTGCGAGAAGATTGAGCTCAAGAAGGACGAGAGATTGCTGGATATTGGCTGCGGCTGGGGTACCCTCGCCCGATTTGCCAGCGAGAACTATGGCGCCAAGGTCACCGGTATCACTCTTGGTCGCAACCAGACCGCCTGGGGCAACAGCGCCATGCGCAAGGTTGGCGTCCCCGAGGAGCAAAGCAAGATTCTCTGCATGGACTACCGCGACATTCCCGTTCCCGAAGGCCGCTACAACAAGATCACCTGTCTTGAGATGGCCGAGCACGTCGGTGTCCGTCACTTTGGCAGCTTCCTCACCCAGGTCTACAACATGCTTGATGACGATGGTGTCTTCTTCCTGCAGATTGCTGGTCTCCGAAAGGCTTGGCAGTACGAGGATCTGATCTGGGGTCTGTTCATGAACAAGTACATCTTCCCCGGTGCCGATGCTTCTACTCCTCTTGGCTGGGTCATTGATAAGCTGGAGGGTGCTGGCTTTGAGGTCAAGAATGTCGATACCATCGGTGTTCACTACTCTTCTACTCTCTGGAAGTGGTACCGCAACTGGATGGGCAACCGCGACAAGGTTGAGGCCAAGTACGGCAAGCGATGGTTCCGCGTAAGTCTAGATTGTCAGCTATAGAAAGAAATATTGTTTATACTAATCGTCGTCACAGATTTGGGAGTACTTCTTGGCTTACTCCACCATCATCTCTCGCCAGGGCTCTGCCACCTGCTTCCAGATTGTACTGGTCAAGAACATCAACTCCACCCACCGAGTTGAGGGCATCCCTAGCCAGTTTAACCTGTCTGGAGCTTACGACAACTCTGAGGCTGACATCAAGGCTTGGGGCGCCAAGAACAACGTCATCTCCTCCACTGCCTTTACTTCTTAAGTGGGCAGAGAAATGGTGACGATTGTCTCTCTATAGACTGAAACTTTCAAACCGCTGGTTTTCTCTTTTGGACAGATGCATTGAGATTTTCTTGTCATTGGGTGACGTTAATGGTGTCTTGGAGCCTTTTTCCCTTTTTCATCTAGAGCTAGAGAATGAATGTCTGCTGGTTCTTATGGGAGCTGGTTTAGGTTGGGGGCGAGGAGTTGTTTTAATGACAGTCACGACATGACCTTTATGTTTATGAATGGTTATGGGACAAGAACAAAACGGATAAATAATGGAATGTCTGGGGGACTAAGGGTATTGAAAAAAGAAGACTGCAAACTTTTTGTTGTCACCAAGGGGTGTGCATGAGTTTTGCAGGATTTAGTATGAATAGAATGAATGAACCTTAAAAGGAAAAAAAAAAGATGTTGCTCATATTGTGGGGGCTTGCAGCTTGTTCGACGTTAGCTGACTCTTAATCTTGATGAATTGCTACTTTAAGCGAAAGTGTATGGGCAATCATATATGGCAAGTGTATGTGAACAAATGTGGTTGATTGTCAGTAGTTAGCAGAGTTGGAACATATTTTGCTTCACATGACATGTTGCCCGCTTGGAGGGCCAGTCAGATTCTTAAATTATTCCACAGCCCGGCTTACACGGCGCACTGGTTACTCTTTTTGCCGTCCATTAAATTGATGCTTACGAGGGGATTATGAGATTCGTGCAGTAAAATGGGATGGATGGATGATGGCTGGTCCGGTAGGTGCCGCTCTTAGCCGCCTGTGATGACGGTGGTTTTAGAGCCGAGGCGTTTTTGGTATCGATAAGGGTGCTGGACGTTGAGCTTTGAATATCACCAGCTAGGTAGGTACTTGTAGCTTAACTCAACTCAACTCATAATCTTCACCGAATCATTTTACTTTATCAATATTAACACGTATAAGTCAATTTCATTCAGATTCATCTTTGCAATGCAACCCAGAGGCTCGAGAGTGGCAGGACCACTCCTCCGTATAAATGCCATCTCATCACAGCTCTCAGCATCATCCTCATCGCACCCGTTCTCAACATCATCCTCATCCAACTACACCCCCGTCAACCCCCAAGAAATGAAATCCCGCCCACCAAAAATCATCCGCGACTACCTCACCCCCATGCCCTCCCACCTCCTCACTACCACGCTCTCAGACCTCCTCCACGCAGCACGACCACCATCTTCTTCGGTGCTCATGTCTTCGGAGAGACATCTTCCGCAGGGCCACCACTTGGTGTATTTCCCGCTACAGACGGCGGCGAGCGAGTTGGCCTTTGACGGGGCGGATCGGGATCATGCGCCGAATGGGGAGTTTACGAAGAGGCTTTGGGCTGGGGGGGAGGTGCGGTTCAAGAGTGATGAAGGGTTGGTGCTGGATGGGAGGGCGTGGGTGTGTGAGGAGGCGATTGGGGATGTCAAGGTGAAGGGCGGCGGGAGGGCGGATGAGAAGGTGTTTGTGGATTTGTGGAGGCGGTATGGGCTTGGGCATGAGGTTGGAGAGGGGGGGGGGTGGGATGTTGAGGAGAGGAGGACGTTGGTGTTTATGCGGAAGGGGGAGGATGAGGAGGGGGAGGCTGCGGCTGTTGCTGCTGCTGCTGCAAGAGTTATCAAATGTGAGTGCCATAACAAACAATCTTTCATGATGAAGATTGGAAAGATTTGAAAGAAGAGAAGCTGATGCTAAAGGACTGTTTATAGACCCTCACCCCCCTACACACTCCGTCTCCATCATCCCCACGCCTTCCCATCTCTTCCACTTCTCGGCACTCACCTTCAACGCGCACTCCATCCATATCGACCCCGGCTATGCGAGATCCCAAGACGGGCACAAGACGATCCTCGTGCACGGGCCGTTGACGCTGGCTCTTATGCTGCGCGTGCTCAACGACCATGTTGCTGCTGCTGGTGCTGATGCAAAAGGAGGGGCGGTAAAGTCCATTGGGTATAGGAATTATGCGCCGCTGTATGTTGGCGAGAAGATGACTGTTTGTGTGAGGCGGGTGAGGGAGGTTGGAGAGGAGGAGGAGTGGGATGTTTGGGTGGAAGGGCCGGAGGGGGGGATGGCGGCCAAGGGGAGTGCTGTGGTGGATGCGAGGAAGATGTAGGACCGGAAATGATTGATGATAAAGATATGTTTGTATAGTATATGCAATGAATTTTCCATCTCTTTCATCTTTATAAATTTTCACCATTATATGTATATGTATATGCATGCATCTGTATGAGCATCTTAAAAAACCAACCCCCTACATGAATTTTAAATTTCCTCTTCCCTTCTTCACTCATACAAGTCCTCATCATCACTCGCCGTCCCATCCTGGAATCCCATCGCCGCCTTCCCCTTTCCCTTTCCATTAACCCGCTCTTCATCCTCAAGCTCATCATCCGTCGTCGCAACAGCTTTCCCCTTGCCCTTGCCTTTACTCGAAGACGCTGATCTCGTTGAAGAGGCTGGTCTCTTACCGCGATCCACAAGTTGCTGCTGCTGCTGCTTCTGCTTATCACCTCCTCCTTCGAACAGCGCCCTCACCTTCTCGTAATGCGCCAGCTCGCCCGCGCTCACGCTGGGAATCAGCTCCTCGTGTGCGCCGATGAAATCCTCTTCCTGGACCATGACGGCAATGTCCGCGGGCGTGGCGTAGTGGTCGAAGAAGTACGCCGTCGAGACCTCGTGCTTGGTGGCCGCGTCGGCGTTGAGGGCGCGCACTTTGGCGTCCACGGCGGCGGCCTGGCGCGTGACGGCCTTGAGCATGGCGTCGCTGCACAGGGCGTAGAAGTCGGCGCCGGTGTAGGTATAGGGCAGGCGCTGTGAGACGGAGGCGAGGGAGACGGAGGGGTGGAGGGTGAATCTGTGGATGTTAGCATATATAGGATGACAGAGATGAAAGGTGCAACATACTTTCGAGTGAGTGCTTCCAAAATGGTCTGTTGCTTCTCGTGGGTGTCCGAAACACCAAGATACAGCATCTTGTCGAATCGGCCGGGACGCAGCAACGCCGGATCCAGCAAATCAGGTCTGTTCGTCGCTCCAATGACAAACACGCCTCCGGCATCCTCACCGCCAGACATGCCGTCCAGCTCAGCCAGCAGCTGCGACACGATACGGTCCATGACGCCGCCGCTGTCTCCCTGGTTGCCCCTCTTGGGCGCCACGGAATCCAGCTCGTCGAAGAAGACGACGCAGGGGCGCGCGTCGCGAGCGCGCTGGAAGACGCGCCGCACGTTGGCTTCGGACTCACCAATGTACATGTTGAGCAGCTCAGGGCCTTTGACACTGAAGAAGTTGAGGCTGTACTCGGTGGCGATGGCCTTTGCGAGTAAAGTCTTTCCCGTTCCGGGGGGACCGTAGAAGAGGATGCCGGAGCGCTTCTTCATGCCCTTGGCGAAGAGCTCGGGGCGTTCTAGGGGTAGTTGGATGGTCTCAGTGATGGCGTCCTTGACGTTGCCGAGGCCACCGACATCGTCCCATGTAACGTTTGGGATCTTGGGGGCGCCGATGGAGTCGGAGAAGTTCTTGCGCGCGGCTTCGACGGCGACGTCAAAGTCGGCGGCTGTGAGGCAGCGCGCGGAGGATCCGCCGGCCACTTGGACGTCTCGCATCGTCACGGCCATGGAGCTGGTGACGCCGGATTTGGCAGAGAGCGCCTCGAGACGGGAACGTTTGGCTACAGAGGCGCGTTCGACGACGTCGAGCAGGTCGCCGGCCACCAAGGCGGCTGTCTTGAGGGCAATGGCGTTGAGGTCAATGGCGGGCTCGAGAGACACGCCGCGGTCTTCGATGACGGCCCGAAGGATGGCCTCTCGCTCGGCTTCGTCAGGGGCGCCCATTTCGAGCTCGTGGGTGAAGAGGGCGCGGACGCCGTCGGGTACCTTGTCGACCTCGTTGGTGGTGGCAATGAGCACGCGGACGTCCTCTAGTATCTCCTTGATTGACGCCTCTATTCTGTCGGCCGTCAGCGCCTCAATGTGTTGGATGAGGAGCGCACAGCTGTCTGGGCCACAGCTGATGGCTCGCTCTGCACGTGTTCTCAGGAAGCCTTCTGTCTTGACGTCGCTTCCGCTGCCACCTCCTTCGCTTATGATGTCGTAGGCATCAATGGTGAATGTGTGCAAGCCAATGTCGCTGCAGGCGTCCTTTGCCATTGTTGCCTTTCCAATGTTGCGGTGTGAGGAGGTAAGCAGGATGACAACGGGGGGCATCTTCAAGTGAACGGCCCTCTGGCTTGTTGCCGCGGCGAGGAGCTCCCGTAGCTGGCGTCTCAAGGGAGGAACGTGTACTTGGTCACGGTCTGCCAACTGTGGAGGGCCGCCGTCTGGTCCGCGTTGCGGCGTCTTCTTGAGGCCGAGATAGTAAGGCCAGGTGCTGTCCTTGATGCCGGGGATCCGGCTTGTCTCAAATCCTGAGCCGTGCATGGCTACAGTCGTGCTGTCGATGCAGGCAACGGTCCCCCACATAGATTCAGCTCCGTCATCGTCTTCATCTGATTTCTGCACCTGAATATGGCCGACTTTGAACCATGCGACGCTGTCAAGGTGTGAAATAGCCTCTCCTCCAGATTCGGTTGATCGTGCTGTCAGTGCCACCACGTCGTCAACTTCGGAGCCACCCGCTCCTGGAGCTTCTTGAAGCGCCCGGCCCAACTGTGCATCTACCGGCACGGCAATCAAGTCTCCCTGTCGAACAAGGCGTAGTTTATGCGCAAAATATCGTTTGAGCCCGCCCAGCACGGCCGTTTGATACGCTCTTTCGGCGGAGATGGGCGTTCTGATGTGGTGAATGGCGATGTCTTTGGCATACGGGGGCTGAGAGGCGCTTGCGAACCTAGGCAGCGTACCCTTGCCTTGATAGGTAGATTTCTTTAGTGCCGATATACGCAGATAGGAGGCTCCGTCGATATTGGCAATCAAGATTGGCGACGCATAAGCTGCCGGGCTGGAAGGCCGCTGAACCTGCGACTCGAAAAAGGAGGTCCGCCGATCACCCTTTCTTGAGCTGTTGATGCGAGTGACAGGACGCTGAGAGTAGCCCTCTGGCAGGCCGTATACCCGAACAGGTCGCCAGTTGGACACTTCAAAGTCTGGGTGGTTGAAGCTGCCCAGTCCAAAAGCACCAAATCCATTCAGAGGAGGTTCCTCTGCAGCCTCAATGCGGACCCAGTCGCCGGAGAAGCAGCCAATCTTGGAGAGGGACGCCACATCAACGTAGATGCGCGCCTCTTCATCGTCTTCGGGGGATGGTTTGGGATGCAACAGGCCAGAAGGAATCTGTTTCCTCAGGCCGTGCACCTTGAACAGCCTCCCTCGCGACCGATCAGGACGGGCAGTAGTGGATGTAAAATTGGAAAAAACTGAGCCCGGGGTAGCCAAGCCGTTGGTTTTTCTGCCGCGGAGAGTGCCAGCGGTCATTGGCGTTCCAGGCCCCAGCGAGTTCATCGAGTTCGTCGTTGGCAGCGTAGGGGCCTCCAGAGAGATGACCTCGTCCATTGAATCATCCGAAAGCTCCTCGTCTTGCTCCGAGCCCGAGAAATCGGTGTCCGTCTCTGTAGCTGCCACCGCGTCGTCGGTAACGGCGTCGGGCCGGTCGCGCTCTTCAGCAGCCGAGAAGAACTGGTCATTGCTGCCCTCCTCGTCGTCATTGCCGTTGAGCTGCTGATCGGAGGTCATTGATGCCGCCGGACGGCCCTGTCTTCGGTGGATGCCTCTCCCTCTCATCAGCACAATCTTTGTAGATTCCGTCAGGATACCCTGGGCCACGGGCTCGCAAAGCATAATCTTGCCTGGATTCGGCGGTAGGTGCGTGACGGGATGCGGCGGCAGAGGCAGCGGAAACAAGTCGCCAGAATGAACAATCTTGAGAGTGCTGAGAGCTGCCCTGAGCGCCGTGGCTACACGCTCCTCGGGCGTCATGCTGGCAACATCCTTTGCAGGGCTCGTCGGATGGTCCTTGTAAAATGTACCCTCGCCGCTCTCCAGCCGTTTTGTCAATTCACTTTCCAGGTTGACGAAGACCGTGTCTAGCGGAAGGGGAGCCACGTCGAGGACGAGGATCTCAATGCCGCTACGGCTATGGCTAGACAGCTTCGAGGGGGCCACCTGCTGGAGGGTCACGGCGAAGCTCTGAAGCGCCGACGACGAGGGCGAGAACTGGATGGTCGAGTGGGACAGATCGCCGGATCGCAATACCGGCACGACGGACCAGGCCATTTCGACGGGGTTCGCATTCGGGGCCCATGGCGCGACGGCAACGTGGTGGACATCGTCGACGAGCTCGTCATTGGGATCTGGGGGTCTTGTTGTTAGGATCGATCTCGTTCAGCAGCAGCAAGATATATCTGTCTGCCAATGCGCATTGCCGCCAGGCTGGCTTACCATTCGCGAGGTGCGGGAACAGGTCGGAAAACAAGTCGTCCGACAAGAAGCCAACATCGCCCTTGGTGCGGTCGTCGAGCACGAGTCGGGCGGTGATGGCCGGCTTGTCCTGACGCCGCCTGCGGTTCCGTCTCTTGTGCGACACGACGGGCGCTCCGTCTGAGACAGCCATGTTGAAACGGTGTATGGAAGCTTTTCTTTGGTGCGAGATGCACGGCGGTTCGGTTCGAGGAGGGGGCGAAGTCGGCGCAAGGAGCCGCTTGTCGTTGGCCGTAGAAAGGAGTTGGAAGGTTTCTAAGATTCGCAGTTCAAACAGCACCCCGCAGCCGCTGGATCATGGCGCTGGCAACAGAAAAGAGATGCAGGCAAGACAATCAAGACAAGGCTGAGAAAGAAGATCAGCGCGGAATCTCAGACAATTGGAACCGGCGCGTGTTGGGCGCGATGCGATGCGATGCGATGCTGAGCTGAGCTGAGCTGAGAATCAGAGCGGCCTGCAGCTGCAGATGCCAGGCGTGTTCGTGTCGCTGCAGATGCCACTAAGCAGCCTGTGGCTCGGCTGTAGCCGTGGCAGCCTCGGCATTGGGCGACTGAGAACCCCAGATTTGCGCCTCAGCTCTCCTTACTATGGACGGAGCAGCTCCACCGAGACGGCGTTGCCAAGGCATTGGCGGCTGCACGCAATGGATTATGTGGAAGCTCATTGGATATTTACAAGACATCAGATGATTTGTTATTTACGACTTATAGTAGAAAGTGCAGCAGCATACTGCTATGCCATTGACATGGAACTTACACCGAGAGATACTAGCGCCAATCGCCATATTGGGACCGAGGAACCTGGAACAGATTGACTTTACACGAACTAGATAGCCTTCCAAGTTGCGAAAGAATGCAGGTCTAAACGATATGATATACTATCTTGAATTCTTGAATCTTTGCTTTATCAAAGGCACCGTAGTGATAAGTAATATTAGATAAGAACTCGATGGCTTAATACACGTACTCCCCCACGTTGGCACTGCCACCACCAAAGCGGCAAAAATCAAGGACTGAATCAAGAGAAATTCACAAGCTAAAAAAAATAAATTACTACGCGACGCAAACAAACACGCTGCGTGGAGAAAGGGGAAGGATATTATGGAGCTCGCTAACAGGGATCGTCTCGTCTTGATGCGCAACTCGATTGCGTCACATATCCCAAATGAATTTCCAATGTAGGTAACTTCTAAAAAACCGGTTCTACGGGGTTCCTAGATTCAGATCTCATTTTTTTCTTTTCTCCCCTTCCTCCTCTCCGCTCACCGCATTTATCTCATGATGTTTTGCATGTCGAAAATTTTCTTTGTCCCATCTGCACGCTTGAGAATAACTGTATGAGCTTTTTGTCGATACGCTCGTTTGTCAGATACATACATTTTCTCAGCGAATCTCACCCTTTTGTATGTTTTACACTTTGGCAGTAATAGAGACCAATTTAGCAGCGAGGCTAGGGGCATGATCTACAAATTGATGTCATTGTTCTCTACTGTTGCTGGCGAGGGTCTACGACGATAGCGATACCCTACAAAGAAGACTCTTTCCCTTCGGTTTAGAAAGAGAGAAAATTAGAAGAACATTCACAGACAAAAGCAGCTCACCATAATTAGCTGCCTATTGGTAGAAAATGGGCCACGAAGATCCCCCGAGTACAGCAGGGCGCGGCGTGAGTTCGCGTCCGTCGACAGCATCCGAGGTTGCACAGCAGGCGGCTGCGTTCATGAAACAATCCGAGAAACTGTCGCATCAGCGCATAGAGGATTCTTCGCCGGCTGTCGCTGTCCAGGCAGAATTTATCACACCGCAGGATCCCGTCATCGTCACTTCGGATGGCAACCGTCTGCCGGGCGTGCCTCTGGATGAAGCCCACAAGCTAAATGTGCTGCGCGAAGACTTGACGCAGACACTTTCACGAGAGTCAGAGACGAAATCAGCAGCCGAGTACCAAGAAAAAGAGTTAGGCTCAGGTCACCACCATGGAGAGCAAGTTCAAAAGGCTCATCATCAGACCGAGGGTCAAGATCGACCGGCTTGGCAGCAGTCGGAGCATTCGCAAGGAACGTTGAGGCAGTCCATGCCTCCATCTCACACAAACCCCTTATTTCCACCTTTACCGCTGTACGGCCCGCCGTCTCTGCTACGGAATGTCCAATGCTATCTCTTTCGGGCAACGTCGTTTGTTTTGAGCCTGGAATTTCTTGGCGTGATTGTACTCGGTTCGTTGTTCACATCCATCCCGGGTTGGTGTAAGAGGTTATTCCTGCCGGGTCAGGACAAGAAGCGGCCGTTTTACGAAGAAGAGCTCCAAAACGCCGCCAGAAGAAAAGAGAAGGAAAACGAATGGGATCCTACAGGAGACCACAGACGTCTTGATGTCGAAAACGAAACGATGGTGGACGAATACCCACCGAAAGAGGGCGGGAAAGACCCAATTATCTGCGATGTCGGTTACTATGCGCGGAGAGTTGGCCTTGACGTGGAGGAATTTGAAGTCGAGACGGAAGATGGCTTCATCATCGATCTTTGGCACGTCTACGATCCCAAGGAGTACACCCCGTTGGACAAGACGAGCAGAGAGAAACTCGGCCCAACAATTTTCGACAGCCCAGCCTCGGGCTCGGAAGATTCAAGCAAGAAGCGCAAGTTCCCCGTGCTGCTGATGCACGGCTTGCTGCAGAGCTCGGGGGCTTATTGCTGCAACGACGACCAGAGCCTGGCGTTTTGGCTCTGCAAATCGGGATACGACGTCTGGCTGGGCAACAATCGCTGCGGCTTCAAGCCAAAGCACGTTCTGCTCGAGTACAGCGATCCGCGCATGTGGTGCTGGAACATTCGGCAAATGGGCGTCTTTGACCTGCCGGCGCTCGTGTCGCGCGTCCTACACGAGACCGGCTTCGCAAAGATTGGCCTCATCTGCCACTCGCAGGGAACAACGCAGACACTCGTCGCCCTGGCAAAGGAACAGCGCCCCGACCTGGGCGAGAAGCTGACCGTCTTCTGCGCGCTGGCTCCAGCTGCCTACGCTGGCCCCCTCATCGGCAAGATGTACTTTAAGTTTATGCGCATCATCTCGCCGGCCATGTTCCGGCTCATGTTCGGCATCCACGCCTTCATCCCCTTCATGATGCAGATGCACGCGCTGCTGGACCCGCGGCTGTACGGCTGGCTGGGCTACAAGGTCTTTTCGTTTTTGTTTGGCTGGACGGACGAGCGCTGGGATCGCGGGCTGCGGGATCGCATGTTCCAGTTTGCGCCGGTCTATGTCAGCGCCGAGTCGATGCGGTGGTGGCTTGGGCGGGAGTGCTTTGCGCATCACAAGTGCATTTTGGCGACCAAGGAGGTGTTGAAAGCTGAAGAAAGCATGGATGATGATGATGCGATGCTGGATCTGGAGACAGAGCGCCCGCCACCAGCTGAAGCTCTTGAGAAGGCATCATCACAAGCCAAGCAGCAGCAGCATCGACGACGCCACCACATCAAGGGCTCCACCGCCTGGTACAACGAGCAGGTGCCTCCCTTTGCGCTGTGGATTTGCGGCGACGATCAGCTGGTGGACGGCCAGCGCCTTCTTAACCGCTTCGAGGCCGGCCGCGAGCCGCACGTGCGGGTGGTGCACAGCAAGACGATTGCCGAGTACCAGCACCTAGACGTCATCTGGGCCATGGATGCGCCCGACCAGGTATTTCGAGAAATCCGCGAGGTGCTGTGGAAGACGTGCGGCGACGCTCGGGACATTTGCAGGATCCCGGAGGGCTGCGATGCCGTGGAAGAGTGGGTACCAGCCGAGGCTGTGGAGACGCTGGAGTTGATGGAGTCGAGCAGTGGCAGCAGCGGCAGCGAATAGGGAGTTGGTTGGCCGGTTTTGTGTTTTTTTTACCTTGGGATTTATTTTGGTTTTACCTTGGTATGGTTTGATACCCTGGGAGGTTAATATTTGCCGCGATTCATTGGGTGGATTGTCAAAGTTGCGTTGGCCAATCTATTCATTTCTTGACTAGGACTGTTTTTTGCTTTGATGCTTTACGAAAAGGGGGGAGTTTTGTACGAGGAAAAGGAGTTGGATGTGAACAGCTTTATGGGTTTGGATATGTTTCTGTAAACGTCTTTAGATTTGATATCTGCTCGTTCATGTTTCCTCATGTATAGAGTATGTACTTGAAATCTCTGGAGCTTTTCCACTGCTTGTTCCAACTATATACACATGCAGCCACATCTGAATATCCTAACACGACAGAAGCGATAGCAGCGACGATACCGGCAAGGCGTGGTAGCCACTGTGTGCAGGTGTATGCAAGATGATATCAAGCCTGAGGACATCGATCTTTATAGCATATTAACTAGTCAGGCCGGATTTAAGCTGCCTTGAGCATCAAAGATGACACGGCAGTGTAAACCCGCGGACCCTTTTTGCGAATAGCCGTCGGAGGGTTTACCGTAAGCGCGTATTCCGTAAGCAAACAGGCGCGGGAATAGCTCGGTCGTGAAGGCTTGAAAGGCCGCATATGCGTGTTCAGAGGCAGATAAACTCGACTTATCACCGTCTTATGCCGACTTAATTTGAGCGTTGGGAAAGCTGCTAATGTTGGTTCTCTGATAGATAGGCCGTAAGGCTGCAATTGACTCTGAGGTGCCGAATAGTCATTCCCGAGCAGGTATGTGTACTACTACCTCTAGTAGCACTATTCTTGGTATACGGAGTTACTAGCGGATTGGTAATTGCTTAGAGGCCTATGTACTGTGCAGTAGCTGGGACTATCGTGACTTGATTCGCCGGAGCCGACTCGCCTTTTCTTTGTTTCTTACTCTATTGCTTTCGCGAAGCTCACCAAGTGTAAGATCCTGCTGCTGCTTTGAACGAACTCAGATAGATAATGTGGTAACTTCTATGCGGAATTGAAGCTCGGCACACAAGTCCGGACGGCACCCACCCAAACATGGAAGCACCTCTGCTTGCGATGGTTGTCTCTACATTGCTCCATTGTGTACAGAATACTGTTATACTCTTACTGATTTGTTTGCAGCCTTCATTACTCAGAGCTCGAACAGATAGATTTCCCCTATGTTGACGCTTCCCCGCATTTCTGCTCCAACATTGCTCCAACACAGGGGCAAAAAAGACCCCAACGCCGGCTCAAGCCTTCTCCACAAGACCCGTCTCGGCGCCGAGGTCCAAAGTACAACAGTCTCCACCGTAACCTCCCCTGTATTCTCCGAGCTTCCGATGGGCACCAACTGTTGGCACTTTAAACAGTCAATCCCCAGCGTACTGTACCTAAAAGCTGGCAAAGCTGGCTACATACGTTAGTTTGCGCTGTTGGCCCTATCTTTCCAAGCGCCAAAACTAGGGCGCCCGGAAAAGGATCCATTGATGAGCTTAAAGAGCTATGTCGGCGCGGATGCGGCATGGAGTTGGATTGGGTAGTCGACTGCCAGGCATACACAAAGTGAAAAGTTGCCGGGGTGTGATGCGTGTTACGACTCTTGTTCGTCCCACTAGCATAATGCTATTTAAATAAATAAAGGCGCTGCCTCCGCCGTGGCGGGTATCCTGTCCTATTGCGATCGGCTTATCTGTCGATTTGTAAACCAAAGAGTTTAAAAGACGACTTTGGCGTTCCAACGTCAGCGCTCTGCTATTCGTTTTTTTTTTTTTTGGTGATCGGAGCTTTTATCTAAACAGCAGAAGGCGTCGTCATCGATTTTTTCTTCCTTTTGCCCTCTGTACAGGCATCTTATCCAGCGAGTTTTTGTTGTACAACGACAGCAGAGATTGTCTTTTCACCGCCGTAATGCCTATCCCCTCGCTATTTACGCCGGTCAAGGTCCCAGATACCGATACATGGACGCACTACGTAGAAGCACCCAGGAATTATCCTGCCGACAAACGTTAGTATACTTCGATTCTAGATTCTTTCTCTAAAAACAATCAGCTAACACCTGGTTATCATTTCATCAGCCATCTTTGTCGATTGTGACTCTAGCAAATCCTACTCTCACAATGACATCAAGCGCCTGGCCCTCGAATTCGGCAAGGGTCTCAGCCATGTCTTGAACTGGAAAAAGGGCCATGTCATGGGCCTTTTCACGCCAAACAACATTGACGTGCCGGTAGTCAATTTCGCCGTCCACTGGGCCGGCGGCGTGGCGAGCCCTGCCAATCCCACGTACACGCCCGAGGAGCTGGCACAGCAGCTCAAGGACTCTGGCGCAAAGGCTCTGATTACGCAGAAGCCGTTTTTGGAGATTGCGCGCAAGGCGGCGGCGCTGGCGGGTTTGCCTGCGGAGAGGATCTTGTTGCTGGGAGAGGGCCGGGATGAGACGGGAGTTCATAGGCATTGGACGGATATCACTGCCAAGGGGGCAAAGGTGCAGCCTCAAAAGGCGGTGATTGACCCGAAGAAGGATTTGGCGTACCTCGTCTACAGCTCGGTAAGCGTTGCCTTTTACCAGCTTGAAGCTGCAGTTGACGGAAGGACTGACGAATCTATGTTGTGTATCAGGGAACTACTGGACTGCCCAAGGGCGTGATGCTCACCCACTACAACATCGTTGCTCAAGCCATGCAGATGGGCCGCGAGGAGAAGCTCTTGAACTACGACTCCGACTCCCAGCTGGGCCTTCTTCCCTTTTTCCACATCTACGTAAGTCTGCTTATCGCAAAATGAATACTTCTGTGCTTACACATTCCAGGGCTTAATGGTCGTGCTGGGCACCTCCATGAGCGTCGGCGTCACCTGCGTCGTCCTGCCCAAGTTTGACGTCGAAAAGGCCTGCCGCTTGATCCAGGATCACCGCCTCACCTTCATGTACGTGCCGCCGCCCGTCGTGCTCGCGCTGGGCAAGCACCCGGTCGTGTCCAAGTACGACCTGTCGTCGATGCGCTGGATCAACTCGGCCGCCGCGCCGCTAAGCAAAGAGCTGGCCGTTGCGGTCTGGGATCGCCTGAAGATTGGCGTGAAGCAGGGCTATGGCCTTTCGGAAACGTCGCCTGCGTGTATGGTGCAGCTGTCGGAGGAGTGGATGAAGTTCCAGGGCTCTGTGGGAAGGCTGTTTCCTAATATGGAGGCGAAGATTGTGGATGAGGACGGCAAGGAGCTGGGTTATAACGAGGTGAGTGGAGATATCGCATGCTTTTCTCTTTTTTTTTTTTTTAACGATTTTTGCGGCATCCTAATGGCATGGACATTATTAGGCTGGCGAGCTTCTTCTGAAGGGACCAAACGTCTTCCCGGGCTATTGGAACAGGCCTGACCTCCACAACGAGACCTTTACCGACGGCTGGTATCGGACTGGCGACATCTTCTACTGCTGTCCCCAGGGCCACTTCTACATTACAGATCGCAAGAAGGAGCTCATCAAGTACAGTACGTTTATTCCCAATCCCAGTCCAAGCAGCGTGTGAGGAACTAACCATTGTCTACTTCAGAGGGCTTCCAAGTCCCCCCCGCAGAGCTCGAATCCAAGCTCCACGGCCGCGAAGACATTGCCGACGTCTGCGTCATCGGCGTCTGGGACAAGGTGCAGCACACCGAGATCCCGCGCGCCTACGTTGTGCTCAAGCCTGGCGTCGAAGAGACGGAGGCCAGAGCCAAGGACATTATCGAGTGGCTCAATGCCAAAGTTGCGCCGCCCAAGAAGCTGCGCGGAGGCGTGCGCTTCATCAAGGAGGTGCCCAAGTCGCAGGCGGGCAAGATTCTGCGGAGAGTGCTGAAGGAGCAGGCCAAGAAAGAGGATGAGGCGGAGACGCCAAAGGCAAAGCTGTGAGGGAGCAAAAGCGGGCGTTGGGAGGGCTGGTGTATATTGATATATCATGTATTCTATTTGTTTAATTTTTTACATATAATTGTACAGTTTGGGTCGTGTATGACCCATTAGATGCTCCATCCAATGTCCAACTGTCGACAAGCCCGCGAGCATGAGATTCCGTCTCATCTGTCCATGTATATGTCCCGGTGCTTAAAGCAGACAATATTCCCAAAAGAGTGTACAACTGATCTCAGTGTCGTCACTCTAAAATCTGAATAGCCTAAATTTATCCCATTCTCTCCGCCTCTTCTAGCAGCTTCTCAATGCTGAATCTCGAGTCGCCATTGGTAAACCACTCCAATAGCTTCTGCCTCTCTTCCGCTCTCTCTTTCCTCTGTCCATCCAGTTCATCGCCCTTTTGCTCCCATCCACCATAAAATCGCTGCAAGCACATCACCAGCCACTTTGCGTGGTCCGGCTGCACGTTCCTCCCCTCCATGACCTGTCCTTGCATCAGGACCAAGCCCTTGTCCTTTATTAAGTCGAGGTGATGCGTCACCGTGGTGTGTGGCTGCGCAAACTCCCCTCTGGCCTTGTACTCGGCCAGCTGCGTGAACAGCACCGTGCTGGTCTTGGATGCCGCGTCAAAGGTCCACTGCATAAAGTGCATTTCCGCGCCTTGGCTCTCGTGCGGCACCGGGAGCACGAAGTAGGGGTTGCCGCGGGCGAGTGACTCCATCGCTTGGTATGCTGGTGCGGGGATGACGGCGCATAGAGTCTGCGGCGAGGAGGCGTGGCGGAGACGCCAGATGGCTGTGAGTTCCTTCTCGGGCAGCTCGGCGACTTTTTCGAGGTCGAGGATATCGCCGAGGGGCTTGATGGCGGGCTTTTCGCCTGATGAAGAGGCCTTTTTCGGAGTAGGCTTCGAGGGCGAGGAGGATGGCGCATTCGGCTGTGAAATTGGTGTGCCTTCGGTCTGGGGAATGGCCGTTCCTGTTAACTCTTCGACGATCGGAGGCACATCCACAGCGTCCTTCTTGCGCTGCTCCTGTATCTTCTCGGCATATGCCGCCTTGAGGTCATCGATGCTTCCATGTCCCTCCTGTGATGCCTTTTTGTGAAGCTTCTCGCGGTACTTTTCGAGAATCACCTGCGAGGGCTGCGTCGTCAGGAATCGAACATCGTGGACTTGCGCCCAGCGGCGCTGCTGCACGGCGCCGCGAGCAGCGCAGCGCACTGATCTGGCGGCAAAATGTCGCAGCGTCGGTATATGAATCATAGTTATGAAGTGCTGTGATGAAAACCAGAAGCCAATTGGTCGTGCAAAGGGCAATGTTTTTGCTGGGACGAAGCTCTAAGAAGCTCTCAAATCGATATGCCAATGCGGGATTCTTCCGTCATCGCCAAAAAGTGGATCCCGAATCTTTAACAGAGCAAAAAACACCCCACCATGGCCGATATTCCTTTTGGCGGGGACCGGAATTCTGCGTTTTGGTGCAACGTTTACAAATCCATACAATTCCATTCTGTCGAGGAGCTTGACTTGTCTGAGAAACGCCCTGAGACGACGCCGCTGGGACGGAAAATTGGAACCAGGAAGCTCAATCCTTGTCCGTGGAGCAAGAGGCGGTGTATTCCCTGGCAGCAAGATTTGGTGATTGCTCATATCTATACCCCGCCATATTGGAAACCGTTCAGTGCATCAAGCGAAGGGGGCATCAACAACAGGCGGAATCTCATTTTTACTGGCCTTGGAGGAGTCGACTGTCTCTCTTGATCTTGTCGAAGCACCGTCTGCGAGAAGAAGAGCCATGGCCGACTTTCGGCAGCTGGCCCTCGACTTTGTCCTCGAAGACGATGAGGCTAAACTCACAGAGTTGGCCCAGAGGGCGGCCAAAGGTGTGTTATGATGGGCTACCAAGCGACTTGAGATTGTGAATTAGAGAGGTTCTAACGTCTTCTGTTGCTTAGAGCTTGAGAGCACAGCGGGCTCCAACCCTGTCGCTCGGTGGGTAGAGGCTGTACAGCCGTGGATGCCTGGGAACAAGGAGACCGAAGACTCACAAGAAACTCCAGATTGGACATCAAGAGCCAAGGGTGAGAAGCAATTACCTTTCTATTACTTTCCGCCGTTTGAAACTGTGTTAATAAGTGAAATGTTCAGCTTTGGAGTTTCTATCTCGTACACTGGACTTTGTGAAGCCAGATCTCTTCAAAGCAGCTCAAGGTAGGCTTTTGAACGTTATGAACTCTCGCATTATCGCATCCTTTGTACTAATGATGTATCAAGTGAAACTATTAATTGCCTTTTTTGGCGCCATGCTTGACATTGACCACAAAGCCGGCGTTCTAGCTTCAGCTTCAGCCCTGTCTCGAATCATTGCAATGAAATGGTTTCAGCCAGCCAGCGGTTATGATATCATCGAAAAAGTATGCGCTATGAAAGAAGATTTCCAGAGACAGACTCCCAAGACTCGTCTTGCCGTCTATGAGCTGCTGAGGTCCCTCTTGGCTACCCCTGAAGTTGCAAGCAATCTGAAGCAAAAGGACGGCGCCTCTTGCTCGTATCTGCTTAATTTGCTGGAGCTGTGCCGGAACGAAAGAGATCCGGACTGCTTGATCGTATGGTTCGATATTCTTAGGAACTTTCTTCAGCAGTACGACCCTTCAGATGAAGTTGTTGAGAAAGTCTTTGCTGCTTTCAAGGCGTACTACCCCATTACCCTACCGCGACTGTCTCAAAGTGGCATCACCCCGGAGGACCTCAAATCTCAGCTTCGAAAGTGCTTCTCGTCGACATACCGTCTTGCCTCTCACTCTTTGCCTTTCCTTGTAGGCAAGCTTGACCAAGGCGATGGGGTTACGGTAAATGTCAAGGTACGTTGAACTCTGCTTCTTGGCTGAAATCACTGAATCTCACACATTTTAGGTTGATGTTTTGAAAACTATAAGAGAGTGTCTGGAAGAATACACGAACCCAGAGCAATCAATCATCCCATACGTTGGTCGGATCTGGGGCAGCCTCAAATACGAAGTCCGGAATGGAGAAATCGAAGATGCCATTTGGGCCACCCTTGAAGTGCTCAAGACCCTCGCGACAAAGCTAAAGGACGATAATCTCCGCAACTACACCCTAGATGTGACGCGCGATTGCGTTAGCGACTTGTCGAATTCGATGTACACGACTCAGGCTGGCCGTCTCATTGTCAGTGTCCTCAGTGCAAACCCTACTGCGTTTGTTCTCATGGTGGCGCCGACCGTTACGCACTTAAAGGAGAACTTGCGGCGTCCAAAGTCGGCGACTCATACGCAAGATCTATTCAAGATACTCAATGTCATCTTGGAGACGCGATTGCTGCTGTCGCAGACTCAGATGACGGATGAGCAAAAAAGCGATTTTGCCGCTGTTGATGGCGTCTTTAAGAATCTTTATAGCGACGTGTACTCCTCTCCCATCACAGCTTCAAGCGAACAGAGTGCCACCGAGGATGATATCAAAATTGCAGTGGAAGCCGTCCAGGGAGTCGGCGCACTGGTCTCCCAAAGAGCTATACAGTTTGGATCGGAGAGCGACGCTGCACTGCTTCTTCCCAAGGCTCTGTGCTCTGAAATTGGCTTATATGTGTTCTATATTGCCCTGCATGGGTTTGACAGCAGTTATCCATGCTCGAGCTCGGACGATCTTCTAAACGAGACAGCAAAGGCTTTGTTCAGAATCAACCAAGCTCACCCAGCAGGTTTCAGGCCTCTGATTGATTGGTTTGTGACGGTCATCCACGGCAGCCGTCAAGATGGAAGCGACGAAGCCAGCGAAAAGATTCAGAAAGTAGCTGCTTTGCTAGCCTATGTTGGATGTTCCGAACTATCGAAAACACCCATCGATACGCGGCGCCACTTCTTGTACCTAATCCATGTCATGACCACGGAACTAGATACAGCAATCAAAACAAATGCCAACAAAAAAGTTTGGTGTGCGCTACTTGTCGGCATTCAGACAACTTCCCGCTACTTCAACGACGCTTGCTTGAAGCATAGTCCAGAGAAAGACCAGGCATTTGATGGTACCATGTGGCTGTATCGAGTTAGCTACAAGTTCCCCGAACTGCAGGCATTTGTAGAAGAAAAGGAAGAGCAAGACGGCATCACACCAAGTTACGATACTGCAGCACCAGCAAAGGAGCTAACTGCCACTGCACTTCGAAATGACTTTTTACTCATTGGCCTTGCCATCGTCCGAGGCCTCTATCGCCGAGCCACAACTACAGTTGGCCCTATCGCTGGGTCTACGAAGCCTGCGCTTCAGCTCTGTGATAGCTTGTCGAGTTTGGACGATCCATCCGAGTACCGCTATCTTCAGCTTGTTTCTGACTTTGCGAGTTTCGTTCTTCGCGAGATGGGTGAAACCCAGCAAGTATCGCTCAAACTCGACCATTACCTGTTGAACCTGTTCCAAGATGAAATAATACCAGTTCCCATTACCCTGCCCGAGGAGGGGAGAAGGCTCAGTTTAGACAAATACACGGATGAAGGGGGGTCTGCATGGGGCTGGTTGACTGAAAAGACGGTCAATACTCTTTACTACGGGCTCTTGGAGGCTATGAGGCCGTCGGTTATTGCAAAGCTGGTAAGTTCTTCCGCATACTTGCTTTGGCCTCTTTCTCTCTTTCCATTTACGGCTAACACTTTATATAGTTTGATTATGGAATTGCTCAAGAGCTTCTAATAAGCAGCACCTTGAGCGCCTCCATCACTCAGAACCCAGTCACAAGGCCGGTAACGAGGTCCATCTTGACCATCTTGGCCAATAAATACAAGGTGGAGGATCTCAGCTACGTAATGGCCAGGCTGGAGGGCCGATTAGAATCTGCTCTACATAATGTCCAGAACTCTTCCGACAGCGACGATGCTTCTCGCTACTTGGAGCAAGTCTCGTCCATTTATGCAATAGTCAGCGGTATTGTCCGTCGGCCAGGCGGCACACAAGCCCGAGGCTTGATTCAAACACTGCGCGACGCTCCTCGAAATGCAGCCACGGGCCATCTTCTGGCTCGGAGGATGGAAATGATTGTTGCGCCGCAGCAGTTCTTGTCAAAGGACAGCTTTGCTGTGGTGAAGCCGCTTTGGACGCAAAAGTTGTATTTTGACTTGGTCAAGCCCATGCTGGAAGTCGCTACAAGCCAAGTTTCCGAGGCTGAGAGCCAGCTCATCAAGACGAACTACAGGATTGGTGTTTTGTCCATGGTCAAGCACATGCCCTTTTCCATCTGGGAAGACGACTCGGTCGAGATTCTACGCGCGTCGGTGGTGTTATCTCAAACCCTGGGCGCGGGACCCGACACCCTGCCCGCGCTGCAGATACTCAAGACCATTCTGGCAGAGTCATCCGACAAAGCCCAAGAATTCATCAAGAGCCTGATCAACATCGCACTGCCCTGCTTCTCTCTCAAAGTCGCCGCAGATCGCAAGCTGCCAGACTGGCTGCCCCCCAGCTACGTTCCAGCAAGGATCCGCCCCGACACCGAAGCTGAATGCGGCAGACTGGCCCTGGAAATCGTCGGTGCGCTACCACGATTGTTCGAATCGACCTACGTGGTGCCCTTTGTGCCGCAGGTACGGAGGGAGCTGTCTCTGGCCTGCGGCCATCCGGTCCGGGACGTGCGCAGACTGGCGAGGGTGGCCCGTAAGGCGTGGACGGAAATAAATTGAAGCAAGCTCCTGGTGAAACGAAGACAAACACTTGGATATGCACAAAACAATGGGCGCAGGGGACAAGGGACGATGTTTATAGAATTTTCTAAACGAGCATTGACTGGTGTTGGATCTTGGAGATCAGATACTTATCGTATACTATATAGAAGGCGACACCATCTGATTGGTTTATTCTTTGATATACATCCAGAATGCGGACAGCCACCATCTTCTCAGCCGAGCTTCCTGTTTCAAAGGCGCAGCAAAATGGAGATATATGCCGCAGTCGTGTCTATTTAGCACAGCTATTGAGCGTCTGGGTATCCGAGCGTCCAGGCAAAAACCTCCAAATGTCTATTGTTCCCCCTTCTAGTGTCTCATTCATCCAAGCCACGAGCCCCGTGAAGATGCGGGGACGCAGCCAATTGTTTGCCAAAAAAAAGTGTCCAGTAAAGACCAACAGCAGGAACCGGCAAGTCTATCATCGAGCTTTTTAGGCCCATGGCGTTTGATCACTTATGGGAAGGGATTGTCCGGGCCATTCCAACGTGCGGGGAAGAAGATTATATAGGGACCTATAAAGACGAAGAGCTCGGCAAGGCCCCCCGGTAATACTGAATTTGGGGCATTTGGAGAAGATCAAGCTTATTAACAAATTATTGGAGCAGATCTCTCGCTATTTAACCTTCTGAGAAGAAGGTTTCTTCTACGCCTCCAATGTTTGACTACTTAGCATTCGAACTCTGGCTCAACCTCGAAAGATCATTCCACAACACAAAATGGATCGCTCGCTCAGCATGGAGGAGGCTTCGCCGTCTTCGCGAGTCAACAGCCACAACGTCGCAGAGGCAGCGGATTATTCTGCTGGTCAAAAGAAGAAGATCCTATACGTCCATCAGCAGCACCGGCAGCACGACGGCTCTTCTGCTCAACAGCAGCAGCAATTGAGCAGCAGCCCTGAGAGGGAGCCGTACATGGAGCTGGAGAGGAGGGGCAGCAATGAGGCTTCGGCGAGGCGGAGGCCTTCGCATTCGGGGTCGGGATTTCTTGGGACGATGCGATGAATGTTTTTACAATCTATTTTTCATGTTTCATTTTTTTACGACTTTTATACATTTACTCGAGAAGAGGTTTGTCTTTTTCTTTTGCTTTGTCGACAATGGATGGGTTTACGCGGCCCGATTTACATGGTGTTTTGATGGGGGGGTTTATAAGTGGGCGATGATGTCAGTGTGCATTCGCTGAGGAGATGGACGGATCTGGGGTCGGATGTTTGTGCTACCACGAATTGGATGGTGATTGAGATGGATGGATGATTTGGCGATGTTGTTATTATGATGATCTGGGTTTTTGCATCCGGATGAGGGCACAATGAGTTCTGCTCGATAGTCAGTGTTGATGCATCTTTTTCAATTGGGTTGATGGGGTATAGATGCTGCGGGTACATGCATATACGAGTTGCCCTTATAAATACACGTCAAAACGAAGCTCTACAAGTTAAATCCGAACAGCCGTCGTATAAATTGTGAAATGTTGTGACTTCTATATATGCCATTATAAGTTTATACAATTACAATAGTGTATCTTTCATCTTTTACATCCCTCCAAGCCGCGTCTTCCACAAAGCGTATCCCGCATATCCCGCCGCGGCCAACAACACCACCCTACCAACCGCCACAAGTAAATTGTTCCTCGCCCGCCTCATAGCCTTCTCCCTGCCCTTTGCCTGGTTCCTCTTGAATGTCTCTCGATCATTAGCCCGCGGGAACGGTGCCTCCACCATCTCCCCCGTCTCTTCATCCCGCACCATGGGAACAGGCACTTCAAGATACGCGCAGAGAGGCCCCCATCCCTCCTGGATCTCGTACTCGATGCGCCGCCCCTCGGGTATCTCATCTCTAAAGCGCTGGTAGGTACTCGTGTACCACGCAATGGCCTTGTTCTTTTCCGTGCGGTGATCATACCGAAATGCAAGCCCGGACATGGCCCTGCCGAATTTCGCAAAGGCCCGCGTTGCAGGATCGAATGCGAAGCAGAAGAGCATCCCCAGCTTGGCCAGCCGCGATGTCGGCCGCACAGACGCCATGATGGACTCGGACACGCTGCAGTACCAGTCCTCGGGCTCGCGGTTGAGGATGATGACCTTGGCCTCTGGATACATGGCTGCGAGCTCGACGCCAAAGAGCGCCGGGGGCACATCGACGCAGGACTGGAAGTTGCCGAGGACGGCGTCGAAGTCGGCTTTGGAGATTGTGCCTTTGCCTTTGCCTGGGTCGCTGAAGTGGGCTTCGATGAGGCGGATCCATTTGGGGGCTTCTTGTTGCGGGTTTTCGAGGATGTTTTGCATGTGGTAGCAGTTGCTGAAGCCGAGCTGCTCGAGGGCTATTCGCATGCCTGCTAAATGTTAGTATCGTGCTATAAGAGAGTGAACTTGTTGTGTGAATTACTTAAAGTTCCTGTTCGCTGGACGCCGCAGACGATGACTCGCATGGGAACGACTCGTTCTGGTGTGTTGGCCATGGCGGGACGATTTATTAGAGAATTATGATTATAAGAGGTAATGAGATGCGAGTATCAATTAATAAAAGGGAAAATAAGGAGAAGTGGTTTGAAGTTGCATTGATTCTGTCGCGGTAGGGGATCATTTATAGGTTGATAACAGAGATCCCATTTAGGCAAGTCGGATTTAATTGAGTTTACCCCCGCTGCTGTAGGTACCTGTAATATCTTGATCACCTATCCGCGATCCACTGTGATCGGGGCAGATGCCTTGCACTACGAAAAGGCAAAATAGTGATTCTGGATGTGTTCTGCCGTGTTCCCGTTTCAGACCATCGTCCGATGTAGGTAATCCAGCTCTTCGGGACCGAGCAGTGATGAGATGAGCATTTGCTGCTGCTGACGGGCCGATCCTACTGCTACCTACTGCGGTTGCTTGCAGAACCTATTGGTTTCCAATTCCTGGGTAATCGCTCAACTATTGGTGGGGAATGGGATAGTTGTACTCGTTCTATTTCTGTGAGCGTTGCATCGCGGTATAGGATTTCTTGACTGTTGCTATATTTGGTTTATAGTCCTGCAAGGCCGTGGCCCCCACGGTAATGGCCCGAATAGCGAGATGCAAGCTGCGCTCCAATGATGCTTGTAAAAGCGAGGTATGAAATGCACGACCTTTATCCGCTCGTTTCTCTTCTTCTTGAGTATCTTCCCGGCTATCTTTGATATTCAGCAGTCTTTTCTTCCTATCAGCGTTTTTTCCTTTCTACTAGCGTTTTCTCTTTCCGTCTTTCTTTCTTTATCTTGTGAAATTTAGATGCATGCATGCGCTGTGAGATTCGCTCTAGGGTGAGCTCTAGTGTCATTTAGCTTTGAGAAGCACAGTGATGCAGATGGCGTAAAGAGCCATACAACTTGAGTTTATCGCATTCTCAATAATCAAACAGGGAAAAAGGATAGCTTTTTCCAGTAATTAATAACAGGAAGCTCATATCATTTCCAATATTCTGCTTGCTTGATTTTGCATTCTCGTGGAGAAGCTTGGCTTATACATGTGTTTACAAGACACATGGCATCTTCCCATCGCAAGTCACCTTCTTGCCTAAATTAATGGAAATGTCACTAAGTTTTATAATTGAATGTACGCCAGCTCCTCTTAAACTCTTGAAATTCAGCCGTTCATTCTTCGGCCATTGTCCTTTTCATGCTGCCCCCTCCCTTATACTTTCCGCTGCCTCCCACCTTCTGATGCATCTACGCCCGTGGCTGCGCCATTGTTCGCCGCCAGAATCGCATCCAGCAGTTCAGGGTTCGCATTCAGCATGTCCTGGGACTCTGACTTGATACGTCTGGGGTCCACCTTGCCGATGACGGGGACTGCTGTGGCCAGGATCTGCTGGAATGGCACGGCCACAAAGTAGCCGCTCTCGTCGAAGAAGGAGGCAAATGGCTTGGCCACCTCGATGATGTGGGATTTGGCGGATTTGTCTGTAACGGTAATGGAGAGTCTATATGTGGGATCCAGCTTCTTCGTTGTGCTGACTACTGTGATCTGTTGTAAGTCCCCCGTTAGCTGCTGCACTGCCGTCATTCATGGCATGGCATCCAAATTACCTTTTCTCCAGACGGCGCAGTCCCTTGGTATACAACGCCCTTCTCCACAAACATCATCCAGAATGTCAGAGCACCATTTAGAAGCGTGTAGAGGGCCACTGCGATGGTTGTATAGATCTTGGTGTCCTCAAAGCCCAGCTTGTAGTCCCATGCGAAACATGCCGCGCAGATTATGAACGCAGTGTATCCCAGTCCTAGTCGCACGTCGCTCAGGAAATGTGTCTGCTTGAATTTTAGAGAATTGAGGTAGTTGGGAATCGCATCGTCGGCCGTGTTCTTAAGATCTGTGGCCACAGTGTCAGCACAAAGAGACTTGGCTAATTGAACGCTTAAAAATATAGTATCAAACAAGCTTGATCTTACCGGCAAGATTGTACAGCGAAATCTTTTCTGCAGCCATGATTGTGGTTGTGTTGATAGAATCGCGAGTATCGCAAGGCTGGCGCTGGTGTAAGTTAAGGCAGAGGTGGCCTGTAGTTTACTTTGTAGTGGCTTCGTTAGTGCTGCGCGCCGATCGTGGGGTGTTCCAACAGCTGTGCCGGAAATATGGGGCGCGACGGCTGCCGGCGGTAGGATACTCCGTAATAGCTGTCCTCCACCTCATCATTGCCAGCTCTCCATTGACGGCACATCTCGCAGCCTCTCACCCCTCTATCGCAGCACCATTGCCAACCGCTGTCGGCGTCGCATTGCATTCGACTGCGGCTCATCAGCCAATTCAACCACCATCATGGCGCAAATTCCAGCTCAGACCCTATACAGGGACCCCCAGCTCTTGTACGTGGCCCTGCGGCGAAGCTCCAGCTGGCACAGCTAACGTGATGTTTCTGCTCATAGCTACTGGATCCTGATCCCCATCACCATTGTCATGGTCCTGACAGGCGTCCTCCGCCACTATGCGTCCGTCCTCATGGCTACCACCCCGAAGAAGGCCGACATCAAAACCATCCGCGAGCAGCGTGCCCTTGCCCACGGCGCCAATCTGAGGAACAACTACCACGTTCTGTCGCGCAAGGCCTTCGAGACTCGCCGAGACTTTTTGATCGATGGCTTTGAATCCGGTGCCTACTTGAAGAACCCGCAGCAAAAGGGCCAGCCTGCGGCGAACCCGCTATCGGATCCGAATGCTATGGAGGGCATGATGGGCATGATGAAGAACAACATGGCCATGATCATTCCCAACACATTGATCATGAGCTGGGTCAATGCCTTTTTCAGCGGATACGTCATCAGTATGTCGTTAACATTTTTTTCTGGGGTGATGACACTTTGTGCTGACCTCGCGCAGTGAAACTGCCCTTCCCCATCACCATCAAGTTTAAGAGCATGCTGCAGGCTGGTGTCCAGACCAAAGACATGGATCCTCGCTGGATGTCCAGTATCAGTTGGTACTTTTTGTGCATCTTTGGTCTCCAGTTTGTCTATGTCTTCCTCCTCGGTAGCGATAATGGTACGTTCATACAAATTCTCTCTTATATACAGCACGCGAAAGCAGACTCTAACATTCTACAGCCGCTAGCCAAATCGCCCAGCAGATGCAGGCCCAACAGATGCCCGTCGGCCCCATGGCCCCTGGCCAGGATCCCAGCAAGATGTTCAAGGCCGAGGCTGAAAACCTGGCTGTCATTGAGCACTACTCTGTCTTGGACGGTGTCGAGGAGCGACTCCTGGAGAGGATCAAAGTATAGAATGTTTGATGTTTTTTTGAGGAAAGACGAACATAATATTATAAATAAACTTGTTACCCTTAAACGCCTTTAATAATGCAATTAAGCACCATCCCACCATAAGCATACTCCGAGACCTTCAGCCGCCATGCTGCCCTTGATCTTGTAGGGAGTCTTTGCCGGCGTGTCTTCAGCTGCAGTAGGGCCGGCCGGAGTCTGGTCATGCCATTCTTCGTCGATAACCTGGAAACGAACCATTTCATGGTTATCGTAAAATAGGCGTTCTTCATCAAAGTTCCATATCCAAATTTGCTCGCTATGATTACTATTTGTGTTGTTAGAGCCTGTGACACTTTGACCGTTGAGTCACAACTGAGATCGAGAACGAGACTCACTATTCAGCCCCCTGGGGTAGCTCCTCATAAGGCACGAAGATGTCGTCAAAGAAGTCTGTTCTCAAGTGTATTCCAGAGGGAGTCGAGCTGCGTATTCTGCCAAGCATGACCTCGCCCTTGAAAGGTCTAAAGACTATCATTCGAAACTCGACTGGTTTTGTGTAAGCATATTGAAACAGCTGCAGAAAGGAGAAGCTGTCACTGCGTCATACCATTAACGTTGACCAGGCCAGTTCCATGGCCTATCAGACCCTCAGACGTCCATAACACGTCGTATAGTGATATGCATAGTCCGATTTTTTGAACCACCTGTACCAGAAGATGAGTTTTAGCTGGCTGTTGCCTCTCGTGCCACCCAAACACGTGCAGCGCAAACACTGACCTTGTTTGCGTACTTCGCATTAATGTTATCCTCTATTGCCACGATGCTGTGCTTTGAGAAGTCTTCTGGAGAGATCTGCACCAGATCCGAAAATTTGGTCTGTGACTGACGGTTAGTGGTGGCTATACGAAACGCGCACCCATAGATTCTAAGACTTGCAACGGCATACCAGGATAAACATTTTTCTTGTATTTTGCTTAGAAAGTTCAATCGTCTTTCTCAATAGTGATTCATAAGCGGCGGCAAAGATAAGAAACCATCACGGATGAGTGGCCGTCGTCAGATGCATTTCACTTCAGCGCCTTGATTCGTAGCTCTCACCAACAATCGATCTCATCGTTTTGGAAATACGTACAAAAAAGTTAGAAGCTCGGCGAAATGCTTGTCGAATAAATTGGCGCTAGCTCTATAATAGGCTTAGCTTCGCGGCACCTCGCCCGAGATTCACTTTCACCGCCTTCTATATCCAGACTAGCGCACCTTTTGCCCAGTGGCACTTCATCTTCTGGGAAAGACAGGCATCGTCAAACATCTCGCTGTCGATTCTCTCATCCCAGACGTCCCTGAGCAGCGTCTTTGCCACCAACATCCAGGTCCTACGTTTTGTAGCCTGGAATATCACTGGATCGCAACCATTCGTCTCCTCTGTTTCTCAATTTGATTTCTTACCTGGTTCATCCTCGTCGAATTCCTCCTGCTTGCAACTCCCCGTCGAGTCCGAGAAGTCTCGAAGTCCGACACTCTTTCGTCATCCTCTGCATCCGCCTCCTGCTCGAGTATTCCAGCAGCCGATGCTGCCTGTCATTGCTTGACTTTCTTCCAAAGCAGCCAGAACCGTTCCAATCCTTTTCTACATGAATCTATAAACAATGTCGACGTACAATTACGCACCACCTCCCCCTCCGCCTCCCACCTCCGGCGGCGCCAGCTACGGGCAGTCGAGTTCGACCCCGTACGGCCAGAATCGCGGTGGTGGATCAGGCAGTCGTCGAGGCGGCCACTATCATGGAGGCCGTGGCGACTATCACAACTCGCAGCCGCGATACGAATACACTGGGCAGCCATACCCAGCCCAACACGCAGTGCCTTACGGCAGCTCTCACCCGCCGGCGAACAGCTATCCGGCTGCTCAGCCGCAGTGGACTCCAGACCATGGCCATGCTGCCGCTCATCACGCACATCCGCATGCTCCTGTACCGCTCTCCGCAACAAACTACCACCCAAACTATGCTCCCCAGCCTTATGCTCCCTCTCAATACCCCCAGCAGGCCCCTTATGCTGCCCCTCAGCCTTACCCCTATCAAGCCCCCCCTCCTCCACCCAGCCAGCCGCAGTGGAGCGGACAACCAGCTCATCAGACATACGGGAATAGCAGAGGTCGCGGGGGAGGCTACAGTGACCGTGGAGGTCACAAGCCGTCTCAGGGCGTGCCTCCTGTCCGCCACAGCCATGAATATGAAGCGGCACCTCCTCCGATAGTTGGCAGCTTCCCTCAGTCGTACCCCCCTGATCATCGAGTTGTGCATTATCCTCCACCCCAATATGCCTATGCAGCGCCTCCGCCTCCTCCTGTTGCCGCTCGCCACCAAGAACCTTCACACGGCCAATATCCTCGCCGAGGGCGTGGCGGGCACAGAGATGGCCATGGCAAGGGGCGGGGTAGCCATCACTCCCACCATCATGGAGCTAATGATAAGCCACGCCTACCAAAGCCGTCCAATAACAATGTGGATAACTCTTCAAAGCCTGACAAGTCTGAGTCTCCCTCAGTTGGTAAAAAGAAGAAGAGAAAGACCAATACGCTGGGCCTAACCCCGGGAGTTGACTCGGAAACAGAAGATGATGAGGGAGAGGAGAAGACCCTCACCGAGCTAATTGGTCAAGAAACTCTCAAGTGAGTAATCCAATTTTTATATACTCATGTGCTATATCCGTATTAACCACGTTCACTTGGCTTAGTATTAGCGATGTGACGGCTTTTATCGCCGAACGAAAGAAAAAGTTCCCTACCAGAGCGCGCATCGAAGCCAAAAAGGCCGCCGAGTTGGCGCGAAAAGAAGAGGACAAGGCTGCCTCTCTGGAGAAGGAAGCTGATAGATTGCGAAAGCAACTGCGAAGAGTCGAGTTTTCCATCAAGAGAAAGCGAGAGCAAGGTGATGAGGGTGATGAAATGCGGGAGCCCTCTGATGACTCGTCTGACGATGAGCCAGAACTCATGTCTAGCCGCACTCAAACCGCACCACCTCTCTCTTCCTCAGCCAACAAGGCTGATATCACTAGGCATTGCAAATACTATTCTACTGGTGGAACTTGCGGGAAGAAGGGCAAGTGCCGCTTCGTCCATGATCCCCAAGCTAGGGAAGCGGCGATCAAAGAACGCGAGGCCAACAATGGTCGTTTGACTATCCAGCAGCGCTTAATCTTGAACGACAAGGAGCAAGAAGACTTGGCTATCCTTCAATCCATTCAATATCTTCGCGAGAAAGGCCTCATGAACACTGCTGGAGCTTCGGCGGTTCCCGCCAGTAAAGAAGAAAAGCATCCAGCGTCTACATCCGCTTCCAAACCCACACCAGTGCCCAAATCTACGCTCACGTCGACATCTGCGCCTGCTTCTGTTTCTACGCTGCCACCTTCTACGTCCAGTCTCCCTGCTATCCCACCACAGCCCGCTAAGCGCGAGCCACCTCGCAAAAGCAACCCGCCTCCCTCCATCATTCCCACCGCTAATAGTATCAGCGCTCAGGGAGTGAAGCACTATCAGGGTTGGCTCCTGAAACCGTATGGAAGCTCAAGTGGAAAGCAGTCACGGAGCGATGATTTACCTTGATTGGGCTGTTTGAGTACGCACAAACACAAACCTTTTCATTGCCTTCTTCTCAAAACTATTTGAATAAGCCACACTCGGATATTCATCTACACATTCTACACGATATTAGATATCGTTTTGAAAACATGTGTGCATTTTCTATCTTGTTTTGTTCTGCTCTTGTTTCAAAGTGCGGTTGATGTTTTTATATAAAAGAAGATCATTCTCATTGGGCAGAGTTTGTTTGACAGCCTTGCAAGTGTGACAATGTCGATCTGGGGACAAAGGCGGCGCCAACTGGCTCCTAGATTCTTGAATATGAGCTCGGCTGGATGCCCTGGGAAGCCATATTCTTACCCAGCTGTGACTTTTCACACACATCATTCTTCATCGACACCACTCATGTTTTTTGTCAAAATTTAGTCTGGTGATTCCTTGAAGGCTCGCTTGCCTCTCTTTGCAGCTCAGCTCGTTTGGGCGCGAGAAGAGAGGCAGGAAGTTGTCTGCCTTTACAACAACTAACGCTTTTCTCTTTCTCATTAACAATTTTTAGGATTCAGTTGATTGGGTCAAAAAAAGGACTTTAAAAAAAGGCATGGATAAATCTGTTATTTACTATATGCTATATAAAGGCTGGCGAAATTGTTTTCTCTATTCTCTTCGTTTGAATATATTATTCCTAGCTGCTCGAAGATATGGTTCATAGGTTCATGGTAGTCAATACGATTATTCGGGTTTCCCATACAGAACCTGCTTAAAAATATAGTAGAAGCATAGTAGACAATTATACACATTGGACGACTGTCGTTGTCGAGAAAGAAGATGAAAGAATAAAAGCTAGCTCTAGCTCGCAAATCGTCCATCCCAGACACTGCAGCCAAGTCCTTGTTTTTGCGCCATAGAATGCAAAATCCAGTCTTCCCAAGAAACACCGTTGACAGAATATAAAAAAGCCAGACAAAAAGCCAAGAGAAAGAGAGAGAGACTCAAAAAAGGGCACAAAACAGCAAAGTGCGACAAGAAGAAGAAATAAACAAAAGAAGAAAAACATTACCAGAAACAATCCACCAAGAAAGGTCTGTGGAATACCACAAACTTTTCTCTTTTTCTAATGATGAAACTCCGTCGCTAAATGACTCGGACAAAACGGTCTGCCATTTCCTTCTGTTGCAAGCTGCTTAAAACGCTTATTCTCCCCCTGCACTTTTTTTTTTTTTGCTTTCCCCAACGCCTATTTGCTTTCATTCTTCATTAATTCAGCTTCAGTAGCCATGTGTCGAATTGTCAAGTAACAAACCCCTTATTCGCTCTAGAAATTAAACAGCTAGAGAGAATATGTCGTAATGAAGAGAATCGCCGCGCACTAAAAAAGGTTATATCGCTAGGAGACTGGAAGAACGCAAACACTCTCGCTTCGCATTTTTCTTCCAAGCTATTTTTAATTGCTCAACGTCGATTAGCGCGGAGAGCATCGAGAGCCTTGCGCTTCCTCTCCTCCTTTGCCATTTTGAGCGACTGTTCGAGCTTCTGCTCTCGTTCATCTTCGCGCCGGGCAATTCGCTCCGCCATCCGCTCTTCGCCGTCGATGTCGTCCAGGCCGGCTTCCATGTCAGACGATCCATCCGATGCGTAATCATAGCGTTGGCCGTCGTCTTCTTCGTCATCATAATCGATGAAGTCCTCCATGTCTTCATCATAATCATCCTCATACCGTGACCTCCTGTTTGAGCTGGGCCTGGGTGGAGGGGCATTGAGAAGGGCTCCGCCTCTTGGGGCGTTGGCCTTCTTTAACGCAGCGCCCGGCTTGGGACGTGCCGTTCCGGTGTAGCCGGTCGTCGCTGACGCTGCCTTCTTAACTTTCTTCTCTGGTTCTGGCACAGAAGCCTTCCTGGAAGGCGCCGCAGCCTTCGAAGGTTGTCGAGAAGCAGCGCCGTTTCGATCACTCTTTGAGGATGCATTCCCGTTGGTGCCATTGCGCTGTCCCGGCTTCGAGGATCCCTTGTACCCAGTCCCAGTAGAGGGTTTCCTGCCTTGAGCACTCAAAGGTGCACCCTTAACATCACTCCTCTCCTTATCCTTCTTTATAGCTCCTCCCTCAGCCTTTTTGTGCTGAATTTTCCCGACCTGGCCCATAACGGCTTGTGCCCGTTGGGCTCGGGCAAGGATCTCCGCATACGAGCCCTTCTTCGGAGGAGCTTTGGGCTTGCTTGGGTCAACTGGGGGTGGTGCTGGGTGTCTGCTGGCAACTACTGGCCTAACCGGTCGACTCGCAGAATTGACAGGCTTTGGAGGGATCGGCAGCGGTCTTGACAGAGTAGAGGTTGCGGGCCGCTGTGGTAATTTTGCAGGGTGTGCGAATAGACGCGGTGTCTTTGAGTCATTCCTTGGAAGATCATCGTCGGCCTTTCGTTTGGTAGAAGCGCTCTGCGGTCGTTGGATGGCTGGTGCAGGGTTGTCCGAAGACTTCCCACCACTGATCTGGGCCAGAAGATCTCCGATCTGGTGATATGGATTAGCCACTGTGCCTATTGATGCCCAAAGATAGCCAAACGGGAGAAAAGGGAAAGGAAAAGCGACCTACCGGCATCTTGTCTATCGCGAGACTTCTAGTCCTTCAAAATCGAGAATATTCCAGCTAAATTTCTCACGTAGCCCTCCCAAGTCGATTACACGCGGCGATGCATAGATAACGTCGCTCCTCGGCTCGTCCAGCACGGAGGAATCGAATCGGCGCCGAAGCACGCTCCCCTCGAACAAAGAGGCAAAAAGCCTTTTGGTGTGGCGCTTCTCGAGCTGGATGCGCACCTTGCTGTTATCAGGAGACGTTTTCAATGGAGAAAGTGAAAGAAAAGTCGATAAAGCGATATTTGGCCAGCGAAGATGAATAAAATGAAACGGGTATCTACAACAAACTATCACAGCAGCAAGTTCAAGAGAAAAAGAGTTCAGAAAGAAAGGCTGGCCAATGCCGGCAGAGCTCCGGCTAGATAACAGGGTGACGCCACAGCGGCTGTAGAACAAGGCAAATTGCCACGTGACGTCGAGACGTTATCTGTGGCGGTGCGATAAGAAAACGAGGCTGGACTCAACGCCCTAAAGCGCATCGTTTTCGGCTAGCAGCAATTTTAGCGCCCACAATGTAAATTGCCCTGTAACTTCTATTTGTGGGAACTTTTTTTTCAAACTTTTGTTTCGACAACAAGCCATCAACCACCACCAGAACTCGAAGGCTTCAGTCTCCGCCCAACTTGCGGTTAAAGTGATTGATTTCTCGTGTTCCTCTTGAACCTCCTAAAGTGAGTTCCCTCTCCTTTGACAGCTGTGCAGTTTGAATCGACCTCGAAGCTGGATATCACTGTCTCTTCGATCGAGTCTGCAGAATTGTCGACGCTTCCACATACCTGCCGCCTTGAAATAAGAATATTCGAAGATTTCTAACAATTTTTTTCCCTCCTACAGAACACTTTCAAAATGAAGCACCTCGCAGCTTACCTCCTGCTCACCCTCGGCGGCAACGCCTCCCCCTCTGCTGAGGATGTTAAGGCTGTCCTCAGCTCCGTCGGCATTGAGGCCGAGGATGAGCGTCTTGAGAAGCTCATCTCTGAGCTCTCTGGCAAGGACGTCAACGAGGTATGATTTGATCCCCCAACCGAAAATTTCCTCACAGGCATAATCTAACAGCATCTCTCTCTTATAGCTGATCGCCGCTGGCTCTGAGAAGCTCGCTTCCGTTCCCTCTGGCGGTGCCGGCGGTGCTGCCCCTGCTGGCGGGGCTGCTGCCGGGGGGGCTGCCGCCGCTGAGGCCGTTGAGGAGAAGGAGGAGGAGAAGGAGGAGTCCGATGAGGATATGGGATTCGGTCTTTTCGACTAAGCGACCTATTTCTAAACAGGATCCGCAAAGTTACGACCCTCTACGAATTTCGGAAAAGACACGAGCATGTTGTGCGGTTAGCCTTTCATGGCTCTGGTGGCGTGGGAGGATTAATTGCTCATGGCTGGCATGGCGGCTGTTATAGGCTGAACTGATAGGTCCAATCATGAAATTGACGACTTGCCGTTTTTTCGAACACCTGCTTCCTTGCTCATATTGTGACGCTGGCTCCAACGTGATTTGCTCTTGGTTGAAACGTAGGCTGTGTTAAGCTTTTCACACGCGTGAAGGATTTTGGCTATATGTATATGTGGATTGAAAGACTCCATTTGTCAAGGCACCAAATGGTTAGTTAACCTGTCTCAAAGTCATGTACTACGTCTGATTGTTTGGACTACCCTGCACAAAAGATAATTCTCCACGGAGAAGAGTGACCGAACAATGTATATGGTATCAGCTGGTTAAACAAATGTAAAAGTGAGATGTCGGTATTTGTTTGTATTATGATTCACTTGTACAATTTGTATTGATCCGGGTTCTTTGCCCAACGATACCACAACAGTCATATATCCCATTAACGACCTAAGCCGCCAAAACAATTTCTTCGGCGTTTTGCTTTCCAAATACATACATGCAAACTTCTAATCTAATCGTACAAACACATAATAAACAAGATAACCTTTTTAATATATCAAACCATAGGCGGAAACTTCTCCGGGCGATACGTCGCCTCAGGCGCTCCCCAAGAGAATGTTTGATGCCGTCTCGCAACATCGAGCTCTTCGTATTCTGGCAGCGGCGAAGTAACTGGATCGTCAAAGGTAGGCAATTCAACGGGAGGAATTACCACTCGTAGGGGCTCTAGCAGAGCCGCAGATGGTAGAGTTGGACTGCTAAATCATGTTGTTAGTAATGCGATGGACACGACGATCTGATAATCGACATAGAGGACGGCCGAATCGAGACATGGAATATTATTCTGACAAATTACCTGCGTATGATATGTATTTCTCTTGCAAGAGAGCTCGCTGGCGTCACAAGAGGGCTCGCTGGCGTGGTAGGAGGGCGCGCCGCTGGCATAGAAAATTGATAGAGAAGTGAATCGTTGACTGGCCGCACCGGAGGCTTAGAAACTTCTCGCACCTCTGCCGTAGCCTCAAGCTCAGCAGGAGTTGTTTGGTCATGCTCCGAACGCGTATTTCGGTTGAACTTCTTTTTCCAGCGTTTATTCAACTTTTTTCTGAAAGATTCCAAGTTTCGACCAATACTGTGGGTGGAAGGGCGGCTGCGGCTGCTGCGGCCGGCGAAAAAGCAAAAGGCGGCGATGACGCCGACGATGGTGCAACTCCCCATGACGATGCCGATGATTTGCGCTGTGGTGTTTCCTGAAGTGGGTTGTGGTGTGGGTGGTTGTGTAGTTGTTTCTTTTCCTCTGGCCGGAGCTGTTGCGGTTACCGTTGTTGTTACTGTCGTGGTGATAGTTGATGCTGGGCTGCAGGCAGTTATTCGTGACTGAGCCTGAGTAGTAGGAGATGGTATTGATGGGCTGGTCGAGACTGCTCGACATTGCTTTGTTAGTATCGCCATCCAAGCCATTCCCCAAAATTGGCACATACCGATAGATGTTGACGCCCCTTCATGAATCGCTCGGCACAAAGCCTTCTCGCCAAACATCACGGCCACAAACGCCACAAATCGAAGACACCGCATGGCGTAAGATAATGTATTCTAAATACCGCTGGAGAATGATACCATCGGTAAATATGCTGGCGATCCCTACTTAAATGAAGAGGGAAGAGGCGAGGAAAAGCTATGATTTCGGGCTTCGTTCTGATCTCAACATAAAAGAAAGATACCCGAATGGCCATGGCGTTCACCGGATGCACGAAAGCAGCTCGCCAGCTGCCGACTACCCTGTTTCTCCCCATCGGAGAGAATGGAGAATACCTGTAACCGTGGATGGGCCACCTGATGGCCATGCGTGATCTTGAAGTCAAGGCGGATCAGAGGCAAGATGCCGGATTGGGAATACTGGCATCGTGTCAACCTTCGGAGAGCAACATTAGAGCATTGGCCGCCTTTGTCTCTTAAGCTTGGTTCTACGTGATGTTGCCGGTCTGCATATAGGTATCAGTGAAACAATCCATAAAATATATATAGCAATGCCGAAGCTTAACTCAGTAGTCGTAGTTTGATCATGGATGTATGATAGTCTATGAGGATATCTGAGCATTAGATAGTCTGCCGCCACCCCTGCTTTCCAACCATTGCTTCTTTTCCCTTTTGTTTGCCGCTTTCGTTATATCTTAGCCCGATAGTTGGAAACGTGGCGGTCAAGGGCTCTCGTTTGTTTACCATGTCTAGTGACAAGAATCTCTCTGGCATAAAGAATTCGACGGGCAGCGCGTCAAATGAAATTTTTGATGGCAGCATCCCATTGGGCCAGCTTCATCTTTATTCAAATCTAATTCTTAGTCTAACAACAACTCTACGGCTGTAGCCGTATTCACTGTGTCTTCGCTTTGACCTTGCTGCCACTTGGCAAGAGGTCGGTCTCCCGTAATAACCTCCAAAAACACCAAAGGTAGCAGATGGAGAAACCTGCCGCGCCTACGCCGACGTTGGCGACAACCCATAGATCTGGCTTGTCAGTTGGCGGTGGGACAAAAGCCTCTAAGACATGCCACGCCGCCATGGTGACATAAAACGTGCTTTGTAGCAGAGCTGTGCCCCACTGGACAAGAGCTGACTGTCCTTCCTGGAACGGTGCACTCCAGGAGGTTGGAGGGAGGCCTAAAAGGTATGCCCAAAGGAGAGTGAGGGCTGTGTAGGGCACCCTGAGGTCGACTCGGTGCAACAAAGGGAACAACGTCCAAGCTCCAAGAAGGTTGGCGAAGCCCACCCAAGCACGGAATTCGCCGCTCATCCCTTGTTTGCCGGCTAGCAGCAGCGTCATCGGCATCAGGGGCAGAAGGACGCTCTTCTCGTGGACCTGCCAGCTGAAGAGGAAGAAACCCCATGCGGTGGCCGCAAAAGCTAGCGGAAGAGCCGACTTTCGCGGGCGTAGGAACAGGACGATATTGGGGGGGATTATGGAAAGAAGAGTCATTCCGAGAGCGGCTTTCTGGAGAAGTTCCACGGGGTAATTGCGCAGCTTGATGACGGTGTTGAGCGCACACCAAAAGTTTGCGACTTTGTCTTCGAAAAGGCCACGGGAAAAGGGAAAGACCCGATGAACCATCTGGACTAGCTGCTCAACAATCGGGTAGTAGAAATGTTGAGTATCAATGTAATTGGTGATGAACGAGAAGATGGGAAGTGGTGCGGCAGCCCCTTTAAGCTCGGGTATAGCATTAATGCCGCGGTGCTTGTCATAGAGCACGCCAAGAGCCAGAGGTAGAACCAGCACACCGAAAGAGATGATGGTGACTAGAGCGATGCCGAATAGCCTGCTGGGGTTGATACCTGTGGTGATGCATCTTCCCAGAAGATACGAAAAGACACTAAAGGCGTAGTAGAGCGCCATCTGTTTGAACCCAAGGGCGGCCACAAAGAAGACGGCCGCCCACATGTATCTCTCGGCGAGCATACTCGACATGCTGGCCACAACGAAGCCAAGCATAACGGTGTTGTACTGGAAGTGAACATGGTCGATGAGAATCGTTGCTGGTTGCATGAGAATAGCCACAAGGGCTAGGTTGCTTGTCCAGTTATTCACCCCATTGAGCCGGCTGAATCGTCGCACAAAGACGGTAGTGGCGGGAACGAAAATGAGGAACTCGGAGACAATGACTGTCGCTCTCATGAAGATCTTGAGTGTTGGATCGTGGGAGCCGCGCGAGGACACCAAGGCAAACCACTCCGGGTTGATCCAGTTTCCGATCTTGCCCAAAGCCCAGCTATGATACGCCGTGAGAGGAGGGTAGTCGAGCCCCCACCATTCCAGATCGTGGAAATACCACTGAGATATCGGGAGATGCGCGGTGATCTCCATCCAATGGCGCTGGGCCTCGTAGTCGCCAAACAAGGGCGGTCGCTGGAATCCTGTTACAACACGCCGTCTTCTCGTCAGCCACTGATCAGAGCAAAGCAAACAATCGCATAGCCGTTCTCGCAGGCCTCACCAGAGTATCCCCAGAGCCCGGCAGCCCATCGAAACAGCCCAACCACCATCAGTATCAGCGGCAGCACCTCCCATTGCGACGAGGACGTGCGCGCCGGCCACAGAAAGGCTGCCAGAGGGAACGACGGCGTGCGCACGAGGGCCTCGGATCGCACCCGCACAGGCTTGTCGATGTCATTGTCGGAGTTTTTGGGCTTCCGCCGAGGCTTGTGCGGCGCTGGGCTTGAGGACGGCATTGTCACCGCATGGGACGAGGACTGAAGCTCGCAATGCTTGTGATATTCGCAGATGGAGATGGACACTTGGAGCTTTGGCGCCAGGGCATCTCCAGATTGGGAAACTGGAGTGGATAGTGGAGCTTCAGGGAGTTGGAGGCTTGCAGCTAGTATGTAGTACTAATTGATCAGATTTACAGTGCAAAGGGCGCCGTTACAGGGCAGGTGGCACTATAGCGATGGCTACAGCGTTCAGCAGCGCAGGCCGGCAGATGCTCGGAAAGAAGGCCACGCGCCAAGCCGTTGTTAGCTAATCATTACGTTGTTTATCAATTTATCAACGGGCTTTTTCTCCATGGACTTTTGGGGAAATTTGGTGGGGGCGATCAAACTCGATTGAACAAACAACGCCAACAAAGCCTTCATTGTCATCCGCACGCTTCACTCGGCTTTTGTCTTCGGCGCAGGCGGGTTTCTCTTGCCTTGGCCGCACTGCCCCGGAAAGCGAGTATCTGCTGAATAATGGCGAGGAGGTAGTCCGGCTCAAGTACTGCTCTGGTTGGCGACTGCGCTGCCCGCTCCGGACTGCGTCGCCCGTCAATGCCCTTTTGCTTTGCGACAATTCATCGCAGCCGAGATATACCTGATGGCCATGTTTCTCCCAAGCAGATTCGCTGCCTCGCCGCCATTGCGAACGCTGTACCACGGTTTGTAGCCCTGATTGACTCGACACGGCTGCTCGGCGCCACTCTGTTTGCTAACCGTCTGACAGCCTCTAGTTGCGCGTCCAGACCTCGCCAGGCGTCGCGGACCTGTGCCTATAAATCCATGTCACAGGCGCTGCGCTCTTATTCCAGCGCGCCTCTATCCTCGTCTCCCAAGTTCTCATACCACATCGCCGCGTCTTTCATCGCAAAGGACCGCCCGTACGACCCGTCCACTCACGTATTCCACTTCAACCCGTACAATCGAATCCAGCCTCCCCGACATCGCCGCAAGTCCTCTCGACCCGATTCCGGCCACGATGCCTTCTTCGTGAGCAGAGTCAATGAGTCCGGATCTGTGGCGTTTGGCGTCGCAGACGGAGTAGGCGGCTGGGTGGATTCCGGAGTCGACCCGGCTGACTTCTCACACGGACTATGCGATTACATGGCTGCCGCCGCATACGAATATCCCTCCGAATCCGATGCGCCTCTCACAGCAAGGAAACTCATGCAAAAGGGGTACGAAGCGGTATGCGGGGATCCAAAAGTGGCCGCTGGCGGCAGCACGGCTTGTGTTGCAATTGCGCGACCCGAGGGCGTCTTGGACGTGGCAAATCTTGGCGATTCGGGCTTTCTACAGCTGCGACTAAACGCAGTGCATACCTACTCCGAACCACAGACCCATGCGTTCAACACTCCATTCCAGCTTTCAGTCGTCCCGCCAAGCGTTGCCGCTCGAATGGCCGCCTTTGGCGGAACGCAGCTTTGCGATATGCCGCGGGATGCTGATGTAACACAGCACCACTTGCGCCATGGAGATGTGTTGGTCTTTGCTACCGATGGTGTGCTGGACAACCTGTTTAACCAGGAAATTCTCCGGATCGCTAGCCGAGTCATGGCGACGAGCGGCGCGTGGAATATGGCTGCCAACGACGCCGTCACTGTAGCTGATTCTCTAGACAGTCTTACGGGGTCTCATGAAAACAATGCAGCAGATGGCAAAACGACAAAGGCCGTGACATTGCAAAGTCTACTTGCGACTGAGCTGGTGCAGGCTGCTAAGCAGGCAAGCATCAATACAAAAAGAGATGGACCATTTGCTAAAGAGGTAAAGAAATACTATCCCAATGAAAGCTGGCATGGAGGTAAAGTCGACGATATTTGCGTTGTCATCGCCGTTGTCTCAGAAGATGCGGCCGGCATCAAAAGCAAGCTCTAAATCACCGGAGCAAACCGAACCGCAACTTGGAATGAATAGAATTTAGACATGCTCAAGGCAAGCACATGGACTATATGGTTAGAGAGAGATGGGATTGGATTGGACGTATAAACGGGATGAAGACGGGGTTATTTTGCTAGCAATTCGTCGCATTGAGTTTCACGGTTGTCCATTCATGTACATTATGTAACAAGTAACTAAACGAGTAGAAACGAGGAAAAAAAAAAGCAAATACAACAAGGGCATATACATTAGTAAATAACTCAATTCTGTAGATAGTATGCTGTAGCGTCAACGACGAAAAGTAAAAAGGCGGCAGGCTGGTTGAAGTTTATGATGTCATCGACCTCATGAGTTAGAGATTTACCTCTCCTCCACTATTACAGGATTGTCGTTCTTTCACGACAAAGAACCCTTAAAGATATCAATGCTTTTGCAAAAGCTATAATGAAGGAAATATACCTGGTAAGGTTACCATTGGCCATTGCGTACTAGAAGCGTTAGGAGATTTGGCACTTACACGATATTGGATAGGCCGGTGCCGCAGCGGCTTTCACAGTCGACATGCTCGTATATCCTCTCGATACGCTGAAAACGCGCTATCAGAGCCAGGATTTCATGCCCAAGTCCGTAACAGCCTCCAATTCAAAGCCCCTGGCCTTGCGCGGCCTGTACCAAGGGATAGGGAGCGTGATATTGGCTACTCTTCCAGCAGGTATAGTATAATGTCGACCTTGATTTCATTTCTATCTGTGTATTTATTGCATTTAACAGCACGGGTGGACTAACATTATTTCTCAGCTGGAGTATTCTTTGCCACGTATGAAAGCGCAAAGGGCGTATTTGGGCGGCATTTGCCTGTGCCCGAGCCAATGGTCCATTCGTGTGCCTCATCTGTCGCCGAGCTGGCATCCTGTCTCGTGCTCACCCCCGGAGAGGTAATAAAGCAGAACGCTCAAATGATACGCGCCGAACCTACGGGATCAAGTCTGCGCAAATCCACATCGTTGGCGGCGTTCCGTCGCATAGCCGGAGGAGGGAATATGGCAGGGGGTCTGTTTTCGGGATACACAGCACTGGTGGCACGTAATTTGCCCTTTACGGCGCTCCAGTTTCCCATGTTTGAGTACGCAAGAGGGCGTTTGTGGGACAGGCGGCTGCGTTTTAGAAAGGACCAGACGAAAGGCGTGTTGGAGACGGGCCTGGTAGCTGGATCGAGTGCAGCGATGGCAGGGGCTCTGGCTGCGCTTGTGACAACGCCGAGTGATGTGATCAAGACGCGAATGATGGTGAAAGTAGATACTGGCAGTGAAGGGGCCAAAGTTCAGCGGCGTCGCAGGGGCGCAATCAAAGTCGTGGAAGATATCTGGCGTGAAAAGGGGCTCCGGGGATTCTTTCGTGGAGGGGCGTTTCGCTGTGCTTGGACGGCAGTTGGCAGTGGTTTATATCTGGGAATGTACGATGCTGCAAAATTATGGCTTGGGGTGAAGAGGGAGACTAGATAGGCGGCTAAGAAAGGTGTTTGAGTATTGTCATGGAGTGTTAAAGAGTGTTGTCATGATCAAGCATGGATTTCATTTTTATTAAACTAGCCCTGACTATCCAAATACAAGATAAACCAAAATAATTCCATGATAAAGAAAAATTGCGCACAAACGTAGTATCAAGCACGAACGTAGTATCAAGCACGAACGTAGTATCAAGCACGAACGTAGTATCAAGCACGAACGTAGTATCAAGCACGAACGTAGTATCAAGCACAAACGTAGTACAAGCACAAACGTAGTATCAAGCACAAACGCATAAATAAGAAAAACATGAAAATACGCCAACTCAGCTTTCAGGATGCCAAAATCCCACAGCTTATGAGCGTCAAGCTCTTGAATACGAACAAATGTTTCTCCTTCGGGCACTTCTGGGTCATGTTGCCAAGTCACTGAGCCGATTCTCCGTTTGTCGAGTTTGCAGGGATGAAAATGTAGAATATAATGCGCTGGGGGGTAGTTGGTAGATTTGCCGTATGATACGGTCTTTCCCCAGTCCGAATACCAGGAAAAGCTGTCATTATAGAGGTGCTGCAGTTCAAATCTTCCCATTCCATTTGCAAACTGGACCGTCATTTTATTCTCAATCTTTTTACCTATAAGGGGTTTTCTGTCTTGAAAAGGCCTTACTCCTTTATATGTCTCAGGCCAGACGAACAGAGTTATTCTCTTATCAGAGCTGCTTGCGTACACCCCCATATACTGCTCAGAAGGACGATTGGACGGGCCCCAAAAGCTGCTTTTCTTGTCGAAATCAAATTTGAAATTTTTGAAATAAAGAGCATCGTGCTGCTTGTGTGCTTTATACATGCTCGTTTTCACCAAGGGGAGAGGCTCATAGAAGCGACCGCCCAGGAGCGTCTGAAGCAGGCATTGCCCGATCCAATCAGCGGCATCGTTTGCTGTCCTCGTGTTTGTCAAAACTATGACTGCAGATTTCGTTTCGGGCAAAAGGGCAACAAAACAGTTTGATCCGCTGTGCACTCCTTGATTCCAGTACACTTTGCTTACTTCGTTTTGGCCGAGTCCAATGACGGGCATCGGGACCAGCTTGGAGTTGATTCCAAGGCCTTCGAGTCTGCCGGGTAACTTGGTAGTTGCCCAGCCTGCAGCATAGCTACGTGTGCTTTTGGCGTCTCCATCGTTCGAGTCTCCGTCCATGGCCTGAAGGGGATTGAAAAGCAAATCCACGTCGGGGAACGCGTGTTTCCAGCCACTGCTATGAGGATCCAGACTTTTGTCAGCGGCCAGGTTGAGACCCATGCAGAAGTCTATCAGGTCGTTAAGGCTACTCACGACGCCCCTCGTCGTATTTTGCATTGTAGCCTTTTGGGAACATATTATTTCTTCAGCCATTGCCTGCTGTTTACGGTACGTCGATAGATGGCTTGAACCAGGACTGTCTTTCTCGGCTACCAGAGGATCATTTGATAACGAACTAGAGAGGCGGTCCTGGCACTGCCGCCTGCAATAAGAACGCACTGACTTGAAACCATTGGTAGGAAATGCTTTATCCAAGCGATGGGAACGCAGTGACTCGGAGTTGTCAGTCGAGGATGCTTTATCTTTGCAATAGGAAGGCGGTGGCTCAAAGGTTTCAGTAGAAAATGCTTTATCTGAGCAATAGGAAGGCGGTGGCTCAAAGGCTTCAGAAGAAAATGCGTTATTCGAGCAAGAGGAAGGCAGTGACTCAAAGTCATTAGCTGAGGATGCTTTAATCTTGCCATCGGAAGACAGTGATTCGAGTTCGTTAGTAGGAAATGCTTTATCCAACTTCAAACTTGGTAAATCGGGCGCTAGATCGCTGTCAAGACAATCCACGCGTTCCAATGGTAGGTCCTGGCCCCGACGACCGACGTAATATAGCTCTGATACGGCATCGTCTTCACGGCCTCTTCTCAATTCAGGATAATCATCGTGACCATCAAACATTCCCAAAGCCCCAAAGACGTTTCTTTTAAGATATTCCCAATAGCCTTCGGGGCAGCATTCATCGATGATTTTTTCAAGCAAAGCGTAGTTGATCGCGCCATGAATAAAGCGAGAGCGTGGCTCTGCTAGGCGCTCGAGATTGTGATACGCCGCGATGATCTCGTCTGGGAGCAAGCAGATACGACCCCCGTTTCCAGTCAAGACAGACTCAGCCGCTTGAAGCCCTGTGCGATGGCCAAGAAAATCTGCAATTGTTGTATTGTCGGGGACGGCAGAGTTTGGATCTCTGAATTCTTTAGATGCTGTGAGACTTTGTCATCGTAGTGCAAGATGTTTTTGTGGCTCAACTGAGCCACGACAGATGCTGTAAAGATCTGGCTTAAAGCACCAATGGGGAAAAGAGTACGCGGAGCGACACTCGTTTTTTTAACTTGGTTGCAGTAGCCAATGCATTCTTTCCACAATACCCGGTTTTCTCTAATGACGGCAGCAGACATGCCAACAATGCCAGTGGTGCTGCATATTCTCTTGACTTCGGCTGTTACCTCGCCTCCCCTGGCCCAAATACTGAGAAGCCCAAATTTGTCTAGCAACTCGCCCGGATTCATACTGAAACGCCCAAATTTGTCTTGCAATTTGGTGTACTCTTGTGCTAATATATTTTAACGTTTCATAAAAGAGAAGAATATAGCCTCAATGGCCAAGGTTTGGGTGATTCGCTGTGTTTCTGGAGTGTTGATCTGGGATGATTTCGAATGGCTTACACCAAGTAGTTTAGAATCTGCGCCGACAAAATGGCGGCATATAGGCCTATATATATACCAGTGCCATGGGGGGGGATGGTGGAACTCACAGTCGGCCCTCAATTATATCATTAACAAAGGGCAATATTCGATTTGGGAACAAAAAATGCGACAAAGGACCATTAAGTATTGATACAAGGCTAGTCAGAATGAAACAATGCGTTCAGTGCATGCTTTGGAAAGATTTCCCCTTGATTCACAGGCAGGACATCTATTTTTAGACCTTTGTACTTGAACTATATGAAATTAATACCCCTCGAGCGCTTTAAGAACAGAAAGATTTTGCAAGTGTTTTTTTTTCCTAATATACGAACACCAAAGAATCTCGCGTGAAGTAAATTTTAGTCTATGAACAAAAGGTGCAGCTGGCTGCTTGTATCACAAAATACCCACCGAACAATGTTAGCAGAGTGACCGCCGACAAGCTTATTGTCCTTTCACAGTCACTCATTCAAAGATTGACTCACTTGCTCAATTGATTCTGAGGGGGTTTCAATACTCAATTTAGAAGAGCCTCCATGGCTCGACGAACCGAAAGTTATGAATGATCAAATGAATCCCAAAACAATTGATAGTGTCATATAACCAACAAGAATAGCAATTAACAGCGCAAACAGAAATACCACTCTGAAATCTTTTCGCACGAAATACAATTGGGGTTTATCTGCCGGTTCCAAAATCGTCTCACCATATTGTTAAAGTGATCGCTTTTGCAACACCAAGTACAATGCATCAATAAAGCTCCAGTACATGCTGTCTCTGAGTGATTACCACAGAGCCGATACTGCCCTGTAGAGGAGATTCCAAGACGCTGTTGGTAACGTGGAGTTCAAAGAAAGATCGCGATGAAAGTCTTGAACACACGCATCAAACTGATTTCGCAGGTCATCGGAGTGGGGAAGTGTGTTCAGTAGTTCTTGGCCTGGTTGAGAGCCTTCTTTGCAACGGTGCCATCATAATGGAATCGTCTGCGGATGTCTAGCTTCACGATCGGATGAACAGAAACAAGCCCCTTATCATCGATCGTGAGGCAATTCGAGAATGATTCAAAGAGCCTTAAGTCTGTTAGCTTATCTTGCCACTGGCTAAAACTTTATGCTGCCTTTTGTTCAGAAAAAAAGTGGTGTGTATAGACGTACGGGAGATATGCTTCTTTCCACTCTTCGGGCCACATTGAGAGAGGTGTCGGGACATCAAATATAACCAGTGAGCCTAATAGCGACACTGCATTTGGCTCCGAACTGGGTAAAACTTGATCTAGAGCCTCGCGCGGTAGCCTCTCATATGGCCAAGATGGTGGATTCTCAGAACCTTGCCTATGGTCTTTGGACCATAGATCTGGAAGGGGAATGCTGAATCCTTCGAGGGCGTTGATAACATCTTTGGCGTCTGTTAAATCAAAATCCGGCTTTTTGATACACTCTGCCACGTGCGCAAGTGCCAGCGGGATCCCTCCTAGTAGAGTCGAGATCCGTTCCAAGTCGCCATCTTCTGCCTCGTGGGACTTGAGGCTTTTTTCGAGAAACTTTTTACTGGCATCTGTCGATATAGGTAGCAAGCTCAGCGAGATGAACTGTTTTGACACATCGGGCGGAATCGACAGGTCTTTGTTCCGCGTCGTCACGAGGACCGAACCTTGTGACAAAGTCGGCCAATATACCTCTGCCATGGCTTCAAAGCTCTTTGGGTCGTCGTAGACAAGTAGCCACCCATCATCTATGTATGTTAGACATTATTCACTTGGGAGGAAGGTGTGTTGATTGCACTCACGAGTCGCTAGCCACTCCTTGGCCAAGTTACCGAGTTCCTTACCATGCATCCGGGGCTCGACATTTAGCCTCAATATCCTCGCAACCTCATCAAGTGACCCCTTTAACTTGACTGGTGTTTCGGCATTGAGCCAAAAGACCGGCCCTCCCCATCGGGAGGCGATTTCGAGGGCGAATTGCGTCTTCCCTACCCCCAACATGCCATGTATAACGCAGACTCGAACGTCACAGTCTGACGTGTTTTTGATGGGCTTCAAGTGATGTTCCACCCCATCAATCTCATTATTCCTGAGGTAGTATTCGGCTCGTCGATCTAGTGGCAGCATCTTTGCAAAAGGCCAGCCATTATGCTCTTGCGTCATGTACCAATTTGATGGACCTTGGAAGGCCACTATTGTCTGAATGTCGCAACGTAATGCGTGGTCTCTCTGATGCTTTGCGTAACTGACTTCTCTCTTGACGATTTTGAAGCATTCCGTTAGATCGTCCATGACTTTTTCCATATCGCGAGACTTTTTTCCACCCCAAAAGAAACCGCGGAAGAAATTAGCTAGAACGAATGGATTAGTAAAAGAACGTTGCTCCCTCCGTGAGTCAAACTTGTTATACCAGACGCAGACCTCTCAAGGAAATTTGCTGCGCGAATACATGTGTCCAAGTAGGCCATGTACATACTAATGAGAGCCTCATCGAGCCGAGGATACCCTATGAAATCCTTTGCATATTCGATAAATAGCGATAGGGTATGCGTACGACACCCGATGAGCCTCGCAATGTGCTTCAGGATCTTGTGAGAGTGCCCAGCGCACTTCGGCAAAGTTAGCCAAGCTGACACCCGTCACAAAGGTAGAAGGTCCAATTCAAAACTTACTTCCATATTGGATCACACCCCAGGTTATTGAGAGTCCTAGTGAATTCTTGGTGAGAGTATTAAGGCCATCTGTGTATGCCTTGAGCCCCTCGACGACTGGTTTAATGGCGTTCATAAATTTGCTCGTGCCCTTCTTCTCGTATTTCTCTTTTAGATAATTGATATAGATCTTGCAGGTGTCGGCCGTCAGTTCTTTTTCCAGGCGCTGTCGATTTTGGTCACTGATTGGTGTACCGTGTTCCTCCTGAAGCTTCTTTAACCACTCCCATTGCGATGTAGGAATTGTGGCTGGACTATTCGCATCTTGCTCCCCGGAAACATTTTCACGTGGTAGCCGCGTCTCATGCACCGACGTAGTTGAGGAGCGGCTCGGGCGCTCCATATTGGGTGGTGGCAATGGTGGTGGCTTAATCTTTTGCTGAAAGGTCACAGTAGAAGATCACGATAGAATGTTATAACAAAAGATTAGATAGAGCCTGACTATGTGGGCAATAGGTAATTGGGTTGCTGAAGGCCATCAGCTCTATATGGTGATATATATATACTTAAACATGTGATGATACTTGTTTGCATCTTCGCCTTGCGGTCAAGAACAAAAAAATCATCATCTATTTTAACGAAGCTGCAAACAATCAGGATGGCAGTGATGTTTCGTATCATGGGAGAAGTATCCTGTAAAGTTAGCACGTTCGGATCCGGTTCTGCTTTTGCTCCCACATAAGTAACCATACCTAGATGCCAGATCATCAAGAGTGTTTAACGGGAAGATACACGCGCAGGCAACTAACGTCGGTGACTGCAGTCTTCAGAACTCATAAAATGCGATGTGCTATATGTTCTTTGAGTGGTATCTGGAATCTGTTTACACGTCACGTCATCCAGGGATGTTTGCCATTTTCCCGTCGGATGCTATTTTCGATGCCGCGTTTAACTATGATGGACGATCGATGGCGCGCAGATGTACGTATCCTGGCACATTTAATAATGCTGTATCTGCATAGTTATTATCTCAGCTGTGCGGATTTTGAGATAAGCAACATATAAACACTTCCTTGCTAATTAATGTTGCTCTGTGCCAACAAAATGACCAATAACAATAGGTCAATACGATGGCAATTACACAGAATGTGAAATAAAACCAAGTATAACATTTGCGCGCATTTATACTGTCGGGTATGTCTTCTGTCTATCTTTATGTAGCTTCAATCTTTCAGATTAATAAAGTCTCTTGACAAAAGAATGCGATAAAGGATCTACAACAGGGTTATTATAATGCACAATCAGGGTGTAGTGGTAAACTGGTAAGGAGGCTTTCTAGGGACTTTTGTTTGCGTCTAACAACCGCTTCAAACAAAACAGCTTACTTACTTTCACCATGCAAAGAAGCCTGTGCACTTATTTATACGTGTTTGGGCACAGTGGTTAATGTACCCATGGCTCGTGTTTGAGGACATTTGTTTGATGGACCAACGGATCGGCCTGAGCTGACGAGGCCCTGGAGGCAATACAATGTGAATCAGCAACATATTTTGCGTTATTTGGCTCTGAATTCAATGCTGAAAGTATTGATGCATGTAGCATTCGCAGCTTATATGGACACGCTTTCTCCTCCAGACCCTTACACGCGAGTTTGGTAGATTAATTTGGCAACATGGGAGACCTTTGGATGTCAGGAATATATGGATAAAAGAATACATGGATGGACAAACATATTCTGCAATGATATGATGAAAGCGTCTGGTACTCTGAGTGCCTGCTGGCTATGCCTGTTTTAAATCACTTTAGATTCTACTTGATTGGGTTATTTTCACGGAAAAAGTCTCTGTGCTACAGGCCACTGAAGTACTAGAATCCGGACGGTGGTTGGAAGAATGAATTCATGTATCTTGTAATCACCATATTCAACAGCATTTTGGTGGGTGTGTTTAAAACGGCGTATTCTTTCGTTCATTGCCGGCTCAGATTATTGATGCAATGTTAGCGATGCTCTCCAATATGGAACATCTAGAACAGACTAATATTACATCCCGCATAGCTATCGCCAGAGCCTTTACTCCGTACAACAACACCCCGCAAGTGAGCGTATAGCTGAATGCTGGATACTGGGTAGATTTTAGTAGCCGAGTGAATGGCCCTCGCAAGACTTCAATGATATACGATAAGCTAGATATCATGAACTCTCTTAAGTTAGGCGTATGTAAAAGGAGTTTGCTTTTCATTCTCGATATTGTCACCAGCTTTCATCAGCTACCCGACAATATTAGCGCTTATAGCTGCTCCTAAAAGGTGAGCGATGCAGTACTTGTATGTATTAGGAGCCTGTGCTAATTATTTCACTGGAAGCCGGACGCACTTTCGTGCTGCTATGTCGTTGATAGCGAGAACAGAATACGGATATATCTTGCGTTCGTTTTCTGGACATCCTTTTAATGCATAGTGGATATGTCTGTGCTAAGGTATGAGAGCCGATGTGTACTCTACAAGCTCCTGATACATTAAGCAGAGGTTCCATTATGATGAGACTACTGAAGCTTTTTTCGCTGCCACCTCTCGCGATGTAGTGCGTGAATCTCCTCATCCAACCCAGGAATTGGCCCTTCAACCGGTACATGTGGACCTACGGTGTTTATTGGAAGACCTGCAACAGCGCCCCGCTTGACGTTTGCCTCGTCCATCCACCTCTCGTACTGTTCTGTGGAAGAAATGTACACAATGCGGCCCAAGCCGACGTACGCATGCGCCGCCGCACACATGGCGCAGTGTTCTCCCGATGTATACACGGTAGCAGATGCTCGACCCTCTGGCGTCAAATTTTGCTGTGCCCATCGCGCGATAGTAAACTCAGGGTGCAGTGTCGCATCGGCCTTTAGATCTCCCTTTTCGCCTGTGACGGTGCGATTGCGATCTTGGTGGATAATCTTGTCGTTTCGATCTACTAGGACGGACCCGAATGGAGAATCGCCCGCCTCAAGAGCTTCGCGAGCGAGACTGACGCAAAGTCGAAGCGCTTCTTGGTTATGTGACTGTGCCATTTCTTGTTATATGGGAATGTATGTTGGATGCGAAATTTGGAAGCTAGGAAGCTGAAAATGAAGTTGGAGTTGAAGGCAAAACTTTAAGTTGATGGAAAAAGGCTCAGACGTTGTAGTCGCTGTGGGCCCAATATCTAGGTTTAAGATGTTTGTGGCGTTTGCAAAATATCTTAATCTCATCTCAATTATTTTAATGGTAATTATCATCCAAGTAGACACACCAACCGAACTCAGAGCATAGAGGGAATTAGCTATGGCGGCCATCGTGGACTAGCAATTGTCTTTTTGTTTTGATAGAGCAATGTCGCCGATATTAATTGTAATGCCCCGTGATAAGAGAGCAAGTTGAATGAAGCAGTGTTGGTAGCACATGCTTCTCGATAGTTTAAATTTTAGGCTCCCTTATAGTACAAGGCCGGACTGATGCCTACGGTACTGAACTGCAAATTACTGCGCCACGCTGTATAACCCTGTAGCTCCTGTAGTTGCCCTACATTTCCCTGAGAGTTGAGCGCATTATGAACAATGAATTGCCTCTACTTTGGACTCTAAGAAAGAAGGCATTTCTGCTTGCTGCGCAATTTAAGCTATTTTTTTGTTCCAAACATACTACAGGATTGCATTATCGTCACACAAGTTATGCGGTTGGAGTTTAAGTGGGCGGTTGATCTAATTGTGTGCGTAACTACCACGACGAAGCAATTGTGTACCAGCTATATAGCGAGTCTAATATTCTTGCCCTGCAACATGAGTGTCACTATATACAATAAGCAACATGGGAAGATGCTTTAAATTGAACCACGCTGATGATAAAAAGATGAGCAAACTGATGGTGTTTCTGCTATACTTTCCTCTTCGGGCAACAGAGACTAAAAGGGTAACCCGGATATAGTGGTTCCCCCGCTGCGGGGTTGTAGCGCCCTGATTAGTGCATATAAGCTTCCCCTTGATTCGAAGAGATCTGGAGAGGGCAGGCCACGACGAAGCTGGCTGACTACCCAACTTACGTCAGTCCTCTCGTAAAGCGTGGCTTCACACGGACGCCATCGTTATTGGCCGTCATCGGAAGCCTCCCCACAGTTTGCCAGCGCCCTCCGATAGCATGAATGTCTTCGAATCAGATGTTGTTTGTGGCGTCAGTGCCTGACCTGGCCGTAAAGCAGTATAAAAGCCCATTAGAAACGAAATCCGAGATCTGGGAGTCGAAAAGCTTCCATCCACTTACACTGCGAATGTTACAATCCAGCTGCCTCACTCGCTATATAATTGTCACAAGACTCTAGAGCATCATCGCTTCTTTGTTATTCTACTCGTGCAACCCGTTACAATGGCGCCTCCCACTGCCACTGCCACTTTGGAAGAAGAACAGCACCAGACTATCATCAAGATGAACGCTGCCGCTGTCGCCCCGGAAGAAGAAGAAATGGAATCGCAGCTATCCAGCCTGAGCCGCGGCCCCAATCCTCTACAAGGTACTATTTTCTGAATTTGTATCAATCTGTTCCCATCAGCTAAAAAGTCTCGACCTAATTGTGTTCCATTGATATCCACCTTCCTCCCATTCATAAATAATGTAACTGCTATCAACTTTTCGGCCCAAGCGTCCATCTACTCATCATTACTTAGCCTATCATCCCAGTATAGGACAGGGAGACCTCTGCTAACCGCCGGTGTGCTAGGCATTCCTACTTTCCCCTCCTTTCACGAGCACCGTAAGCACATTGTGCTGCATATGGCCGCCGTTTTCCGCAACTGGGCTCGCCATGGTTACACGGAGGGTATTTCTGGCCACATTTCTGTCCGTGATCCAGAGTTTCCCGGTCTCATCTGGATGAATCCTATTGGCAAACACTTTGCTCTCATGAATGGCAGTGATATGCTCTGCCTAAGAATCAGTGATGGTGAAATCGTTGGCGGTAATAGAGTATGTCTTGGATCAGCGTATCATTCGTGTTCGTTGGCTTAAAGTATCAAGGCTAATCTGACTCCCAGTCCCGTCCTGTTAACAACCCAGGCTTCTATATTCACTCTGAGGTACACAAAGCACGTCATAATATCCATGCCATCTGCCATGCCCACACCATTGCCGGACGTGCTTGGTGTGCCTTTGGCAAGCCACTCGAAATGATTACTCAAGATATTTGCGACCTCTATGGAGTACTTGCTGTGGATACTGAATATGCAGGAATCGTTACTGCTGAGCAAGAGGGCAGGCAGATTGCCAAGGCTCTTGGACCCAAGGGCAAAGCTGCGCTGCTGATCAACCACGGTATCATCACTGTTGGACAGACTGTTGACGAAGCTTCTTTCTTGCTGGGCTTAGTGGAGCGCAGCTGCGAAATCCAGCTCAAGGTCGAAGCTGCTTGTGCCGGCAACCCCAACTTGAAGAAGAGTATTATCCCACATGAGCTGGCAATGAGCAATTATAACATGGCGGGCGAAAAGCACTGGCTTTACGAGGAAGCACAGCCCGACATCCAGCTCGAGATTGAGCTTGCGGGAGAGGTCATCTCGCGGGGCTTGGATGATGTGAAAATTGATACCCCGTAAAGAGAGCAGAGAAATAATTCGACTTCTTTTTCATTTACATGCGAATCAGATACAGTTTGCTTTTATCTATCTTGTAAAGCTTGTGGACAGATATTAAAGCATGTACGAGAACTTTACATACAACAGATGCGATTGTTAGCCACTATCTAACGTGTACTTTGTCCAAGGCCTCTCTTTAGGCGACAGAAATAAATCGTGGTCCAACAAATGGGCTCTTTCCGGCCACACCCTTGTCTCTGCAGATCGATTGAGTAGTAGATTCTAATTTGTGTTGGATATTGCCCCCCTTGCATGACAACGCATGGATCATAGGTGACAGGAGAGACGCGACATTTGGTGGGGCACTCTAGATCAGCAGCAATCTCAAGGGATGCGCTTGGTTATCTTTAGGAGCTCGTCAGCCTTTTTTATAGCACAAATCTCGTAATTTGTCTGAGATGTAGAAGTGCTATTAGTCGCAGGAATAGCGTGTCTTTGTTAGCTATGCTGGAGTAGTCGTATACATTTGGGATAGCCAGACACAGAAATGCGAACGGAGCGATCAATGAATGCATGGTGCTTTGTACTTCTCTTTTTATTCTTTTCGGGTACCTGTAATGTTCGCAATTGTTGACTGCTAAACTCTGACCTCTTTTTTTGCCTTGGAAGATTTTGTACTCGTTCTCGCTTGTATTGTCCATCGACTATTGTCTGCTGTTTCGCCAATATGCCATTCACAACTCCGTCGTACATTCCCAAGCTTCCTTTCGATCCCCCGGACTCTGTACCAATCCATGAATTTCTGTTCAGTGATGGAAACAAGTATGGGCGTTATCCAATTGCGGACTCATTACCGCCATTTACTTGTGGCATCACCGGAAAATCTCACTCTGCCGCCAATGTGAAGGATCGTATAGGATGGCTTTCGGCTGCTCTCGCGTCAGAATTGGGCTTTGATGTTAATAATGGGAGCGAGTTCGATAAGGTCATAGGGCTGTTTAGCTTCAATACGGCATGTACTTGGAGTTTGGATCGCTCGTTCACCGACTGACGTCTATGCGCATCAAATAGATCGATACTATGCTCGTCTCATGGGCAGCACATCGCTTCTCAGGGATTTCATCGCCGATCAGCCCCTCATATTCGACAGCAGAGCTCACGAGACAGCTCAAAGCGGTCAAATGCAAAGCGCTTTTCACATGTGCTACACTATTTCCTACAGCCTTCGAAGCGGCTCTTGCAGCGGGCATTCCCAAGGCGCGTGTATACCTACTGGAAATCCCCGAAAAAGCACTGAGAGGCGCCAACGTGCCCACAGATATCAAGTCGGTTGACGAACTCATTGCTGAAGGAAAGAAGCTGGATCCTCTTCCCCAACTGAAATGGTCACAGGGTCAAGGTGCCCGCCAGACGGCCTTCTTATGTTCCTCAAGTGGAACGTCTGGGCTGCCAGTAAGTTTCTTGTCCCTGCCGTCGGCGCTATTTCGTATCAAGTTTTGGTAAATCTGACATATATCGTCAAGAAAAATGTTATGATTTCACATAAAAACATTATAGCAAATACCCTGCAACTCAGCACATACGAATCAAATTACAAAAGTGGAAAGCCAGAGGCCTTACTTGCTGTACTCCCCATGAGCCACAGTTACGCCCTGATTGTCACTGGGCATGCTGGAGTGTATAGAGGCTACAATGCCGTTGTGCTACCCGGATTTGACCTTATTGATGTGCTCGAAGCAGTACAGAAGCAGCATATAGAAACTCTGTGGATGGTAAGAACGGGCCCATCTCTGTCGTTATTCACTTGGAGTGAAAAATTGCTATAAAATGGGCTAACATGTGAACAACAAGGTTCCCCCAATGATCGTGGCCTTGATTAAGAACTCAGAGACTGCCGGGAAGTATAATCTCAAACACGTCAAAAGCACTGTAGTTGGCGCCTCAAATCTCACAAAGGAGGTCAATGAACAGTTTACTCGCCTTTTCCCCAACTGCCAACTTATCCAAGGGTATGGCCTCACCGAAACTTCAGTAGTAGTCTCTATGCAAAACAGAGCAGATATCATGTTTGGCTCTTGCGGCCATTTTATTCCTGGGTACGAGGGTCGACTGGTGGATCGAGATGGCGAGGAAGTGACGGAGCTAGACACGCCTGGAGAACTTCTTTTGCGATCGCCAACAATAATGCTGGGATACCTCGATAATGAGAAAGAAACAAAAGAAGCATTTACGAGCGACAAGTGGTTACGAACGGGTGACTTGATGGAAATTCGTAAAAGCGACGATGGCCACGAACATCTTTTCATCGTCGATCGAGTCAAAGAGCTGATCAAGGTCAGAGTAAGTGAAATGCTGCTATTAGAATCTGTTTCGAAACCAATCTATATTTTGGTGCGCACACTGACTATTGCCTAGGGCATGCAAGTTTCTCCGACTGAGATCGAAGCTCTTCTGTCTAGTCATCCAAGTGTCGCAGATGTCTGTGTCGTTCCACTTCCTCACGACATCGCCGGCGAACTGCCACTCGCATTTATTGTGCGGACGCCAGCCGGCAAAGAAGAGGACGAGCGCGCACTGAAACAGAAAGTTCATGAATTTGTCAATGCAGAGTTGGCAGAGTACAAGCACTTAGCCGGAGGTATCGAATTCCTCGAAGTACTTCCCAAGTCTGCGAGTGGAAAGACAAAGAGGGGAGAAATGAAGGAACGAGCTAGAAAGATGGCTGATTTGAGCAAAGCGAAGGCTATACCGAGAGTGCTACAGGTATATGTGTATGAGACGTCTTCTGATGATGAGAGTGAAGTGGACGAGTGAATATCTTACGATTTACGGTTTACTACATGACGGGCTAAAACAAAGAGGTAGAGCAGCTACTCCTAAAACAATTGCTTCTTCTGAAAAGCTCACTCTTTACAAATTTTCATCTTGGACAGCTCTCATAGATGAGTTTCGGAGTGTTGTAAGTTTCATGCTAACATGATCTCATAACTGGGAGGGGCGATGACATTAACGTAAAATTTTCACATATTGTGTTGAGACATGAGATATTTCAACGGCATTGCTATTAGCAGTATTACCTCTAGATGGATCGTGTGTTCCAGTCTTGATACCCCCAAGAGACAGCTGTAGGAAGACCTAGACATGCGGTGGACAAATTTCACCGCCGCCAATCGCATACAATTTTATAGCAGCAGACCGGTGATATTTTTTGAACCCCCTCACCCCCTTTGCGAAACCACCTTTACCTAAGACACAATTCAGATGAGGCAACCTAGAAGCCAAGCAATATTCTAGAGAGGTGACCAGAGATTCCTTATTGCTAGACACAGCCCATGATCTATGAGGATCTGCAGAGCCAACAGTTTAGAGAATGTTTAGTTATTAGTTGCGCTACCACCATTCATAGCAATAATTTTGGGGGTTTCCCTTTTTTTTCTCTTTTATTTCTCTTTTTTTTTTCCGCCGCACCGAAAAGAAAACAAAGTTTCCTCCAGAGCATAGTCTAATGCCACGATGAAAAGTATTTCAATAAATAGATACGTAAGCGTAATAAGCATGAAACTGAACGATTAATGATTTTTTTTCTCTCTCTTCATTTCATTTCGCGAGAAGTTGCTGTTGCATGTGCAGCTCTCTCCCTTGCATCATATAGGTCTGTGCATGTACTTCAAATGACCTGCTGATCCTCTGCCCCAGTCTGCTCACAACTCTTCGCACATTTATACTTTGATTCACAGGTGGTCTTTATGAGATGATTCAGGACGTCTCTAGGTATCCAAAATGCTTGGATGAGAAGCATTGTGGCGTTGATGGCGCATTCTCCTGGTGTCCTCTCAGACAGAATGATGTAATGCAACATTCATCAAGCGAATCATTATCATCATCGGTGAATTTGTATCATGCTTGGCTTTCCCCTCTCACTTCTGTCATATTTTGATTGATGCACGTGCGAACACAACTTGGCCGGTTATGGGAGCGGGTTTCTGCCATCGGTGATGAACGAAGCGCTTCAGACAACAGCCGAGCTATCACATCGATGGGTTGATGGCCCATACGTAGTTTGGATGGCCTGGGTTATTAAAGTTGCTTGTAGATATATATTTGAGACCTACAAAAACACTAAGTCGATCGTAAGTGTATACAACATTAAAGCCAGATGGAGCCTTTTGTATAACAGTACAACCTTATGCTGTCTACTAGGGAGGACATCCGGTGTTATCCGCCGTAGGCGGGCTGCGTTGGCCAGGAAGAAGTGAGACGCGAAATCAAGTGTCTCAGACTATTGACCGGCCAATCACTTGAATGGGGTAATAATGCTAGCATGGAAACGGAGAAAGCATCTCCAGCAAGAAGCAAATCGAAGGGATGTACGGCCGAATTACGCTTTCTCGCTAGTGCATTCCTTTTATTGTTCAAATTGCGATCCGAACTCCTCGCATGATTATATCTGGGGCAGCAGAGAAAGGAAAAACAGGCATCTAATATCTGAGTTTCTAAGAACAAATCTATCTCTGTCTGTCCTCGCTTGCTACCTTTGGGGCTGAATACATCCTCTGCAACGGCTCTTTATCGAATGGAAGAATAACGATTATGATCGTGTGTTAAAAGATCAAGTATATCAACGTCGACAGCACACGAAGTCGTAATAAAGATACTCGCAATGGAGCCTTTCGATGGTGCACCGCCGCCAATCGCCATTGTCGGAATAGGATTGAAACTCCCAGGTGGTATCACAACAACAGAACAATATTGGGATCTCCTCATAAACAAAAAGAGTACGCAGACACAGGTCCCGGATAACCGATACGGCGCGCACGCCTTCGAAAGCAAATTAGGGACACCGGGTACTTTGAAAAGCACATACGGACACTATCTGGAAGGCGATCTAGAGAAATGGGATGCATCATTCTTCTCTATGAGTAAGAATGAGGTCGAGAAGCTTGATCCGCAGCATAGGCTGTTGCTTGAGGTTATATGGGAGTGCATGGAGGTTGGTGGACAGAAGCGTTGGCGTGGTCGCAACATCGGTTGCTATGTTGGCGTATTTGGCGAAGATTGGCTGGATCTATATGCCAAAGACCCTCAGCATTTAGGAACGCACCGAATCTTGACTGGAGGTGATTTTGCCTTGTCAAACCGGGCTTCTTACGAATATGATCTGAAAGGCCCTAGGTATGTATAGAATAAGACGCTCCGACAAGGATTGCTCCAACAATTAACATGGTAATAGCATGACTATCCGCACTGCGTGCTCGTCTTCACTTGTCGCCCTTCATGAAGCATGCCAAGCCATTTATACTGGGGAGTGTGAATCTGCTATTGTTGCTGGAACCAGCCTTTTTCTTTCGCCGACCATGACTATCGCCTTGTCTGAACAAGGAGTCCTCTCACCAACTGGATCATGCAAGACTTTTGATGCCAAAGCAGACGGCTATGCTCGCGGTGAGGCAATCAATGCCATCTTCATCAAAAAGCTGGAAGACGCTATTCGTGATGGAGATCCGATCCGTGGTGTTATCAGAGGCACAGCTACCAATTTTGACGGCAAGACTATTGGGATTACTAACCCCAATCAAGAGGCTCACGTAGCTCTCATGCGTCGGGCCTATGAAGTGGCCAAGATATCCAATATTAACGACACTGCGTTTGTTGAATGCCATGGGACAGGGACACAAGTTGGTGATCCCATGGAGACCGGAGCCGTGGGCCGAGTTTTTGGGAATCGAGGCACATATATTGGATCTGTACGTGTTTCCAACTGTAAAGCTACTAATTACATTCTTATAAACCGCAGACTAACAGAAGCTTTTATAGGTGAAACCAAATATTGGTCATGGAGAAGGTGCTTCCGGCTTGAGTAGTTTGATCAAGGCTGTATTATCTCTGGAACATGAGACTATTCCGCCACAAGTAAACTTCTCCAATCCGAATCCAAGAAGTAAGGACATGCATAAGATGATGTCTTATTTCAAAAATGCTAATGATTTGTACAGTCAAATGGGACAAATACAATTTGAGAGTTCCAACGGAGCCCACGTCATGGCCAAAGGACCGCTTGAAGCGTGTATCGGTAAACTGCTTCGGCGTGGGAGGCGCCAATGCTCATGTAAGTCCTACGCATTTGCTTTCTTTATGTGTATCAACTAACAGCATGGCAGGTAATTATTGATTCGGCAAAGTCCTACATCTCACAGAAACAGGCGGTGCTGGACACTAGCCCTCACTTGCTCGTGTTCTCTGCCCACCAAGGTGTCTCCTTGAAAGAGAGAGCCGCCGCTGTATTTAATTACGCAAAACAGCATCATGCCCAATTGCCAAATATCGCATATACTCTAGGATGCAGAAGAGACAACTTGGCTCAGCGTGCCTTTGCTGTCTATGATGGTGTTAATACTCCTGAGCTCTCCCCTATTGTCAAACCTAAAGATCCCCCTCGGGTGAATTTTGTCTTTACCGGACAAGGCGCACAATGGGCGGAAATGGGAGCTGATCTTCTCCCTCAGTATCCCATATTCCGTGACACCATTCATGCGATGGATGCTGCTCTTAAGAAACTGCCTCATCCCCCCAAGTGGACAATAGAAGAGGAGCTCATGCGCCCTGCGGAAGAAAGCAAGATTCAGCAGCCGGAATTTTCACAGCCAATATGCACTGCGCTTCAGATAGGCCTTGTGAGCCTGCTAAAAGGCTGGGGCATTACTCCTGCGGCTGTGGTTGGCCACTCCAGTGGCGAGATGGGAGCTGCATATGCAGCTGGCGCGCTGACTCTAGAGGAAGCGATCATTATCGCTTACTATCGCGGTCAAGTCACTCAAAACTACGGTCGAGTTGGTGCTATGGCAGCCGTTGGCCTTGGCCGCGAAGCCGTTGTCACTTATCTTCGAGAAGGCGTTGTTGTTGCTTGCGAGAATAGTCCCAAAAGCGTCACATTATCAGGAGACGTTGAACTTCTGGATAAGGTCATTGCTCATATAAAGAAAGATTTACCAGAAACCTTTGCTCGCAAGCTGAAAGTTGAAAGAGCCTACCATTCGCACCACATGTGTGAAATTGGCGGCATGTACGAGAAGCTGTTAGATGGCTTTGTGAAAGATACAAAGCCTTCTGTTCCTTTCTTTTCTAGCGTTACCCAAAAACAAATCAAGAGATCCGGTCAGCTGGGGCCATCTTATTGGAGGCAAAATTTGGAAAATCCAGTATTATTTTCTCCAGCAGTGCAGCTCATGGTGCATTCCGCCGTGGAAGATGCAGTATATCTAGAGATTGGTCCTCACGCCGCTCTGTCTGGTCCCCTACGAGATATCTTCAAGTCAGTACAGACGTCAACTGCATCTACCTATGTTGCTACTCTCATTCGAAATGAAAATGGCCCCAAATCAATACTCAGCTCCCTTGGAAGACTATACCAGGAGGCCGTCCCTGTTAATCTTGCTGCCGCAACAGCAGGTCGCACCGTTCTAACAAATCTTCCCAACTACGCATGGCAACATGACACTACATATTGGTACGAGAGCCGAGTTTCACGCGATTGGCGCCTTCGCAAGTTCCATCCTCATGAACTTCTTGGAAACCGCATCTTGGAATCTGACGATTTGGAACCTACTTGGAGGAACATGCTCCGCTTAGACGATGTTCCTTGGGCTCGAGATCATAAGATTCAAGACGATATCGTTCTACCTGCTGCAGCTTATATCGCAATGGCTATAGAGGCTCTTAGACAGCTCAATGGCGGCGGCGAGATAGATGCATCTCTAAAGCAAGTGGAGATCCAAAATGCTTTAATTCTGAAAGAACAGCAAGCACACGAAATTATAACGCACTTTCGTCCTGTCCGCCTAACTTCTAAACTCAATTCTATCTGGTACGAGTTTTCTATCTCATCATTCAATGGCGCCTCTTGGACGAAGCACTGTGTGGGCAAAGTGAGGTCGGGCAAAGAAATCAGCGCTGGTAGCGAGGATGTTGGAGAACAACCGCGTCAGGTTTCTACTGCCGGATGGTATCGTGTCATGAAGAAAGTAGGGCTAAACTATGGACCCGAGTTCCAGGGCTTGTCCGACATTTCAGTCTATCCTGGACGCTGTGCTGCTGCTGCCACCGTCAAAAATCGCGATTTAACGCTTGATCCTTACTATCCCCTGCATCCCAGCATCATAGACCTTGTGCTACAAGCGTTTACTGTTGCAATTGCCGATGGGCTAACTCGACAACTCGGTCAGCTCTGTGTGCCAACATACATTGATGAGCTATACATCAGCAATGGCCAGCCTGAGATGCGACTCGGCACTGCCGCTATATCAAGCGCGACGGGGGCAATTCGCGGCTCAGCGACTATCATGGCCGATAATAAAATGGTTTTGAGCTTACGAAATGGAGAGTTCAGTCCTTTGGAAAACGGTGATGAAGAAAAGACCGGTTCCATGACAGCTGCTCATCTACACTGGAAGCCACATATCGATTTCATTTCGCCAAATAACCTCATCTACACAGTCCAACCTTCGCCAGATGTAGATGAAGTAGCAAACATTGAAAAGCTAGCGCTTTTATGCCAATTATCGATACTTCAAAACAGGGAACAAACTCAGATTCCTAAGACTTATGCGTACTTCAACAGGTGGCTCATTAAACAACGAGCAAAGGCTCTTGAAGGCAAATATGAAAATGTGCCAGACAGCGCGTATCTCGCTCAACTTAGTCCGATAAAGGTCAAAGCAGAGATTGAACATACGAAAGAGCGTCTTTTGCGAACTGGCTGTGCTAAAGTTGCTACTGTTCTTCATCAACTTGCCATGAGCGCAGAGGCTATCTTCAGGGGCGAGCAGAGCATGAATGATGTGCTCAAAGACGATGATGGCTTGCATAGCTTATACAGCTTCATTGATAGCAGAAGTGACTTCTCACCTCTCTTTAGCACGCTTGCTCATGTCAATCCAACAATGAGAGTGCTAGAGCTTGGCATTGGAGCCTCCGATATTTCCGCAAAGGCCTTGGAAGCCCTCGTCAACTCAACCGGTGAGAATTGTTACAGCACGTATATTTACACAGCTCGCGATGAGGGGTCTCTCGACTTTGCCCGACAGAAGCTTAAAGGATATGAGAATGTAGAGTTCAAAAGTCTCGATCTCGCTAAAGATCTGATATCGCAAGATTTTGAGCTTGCATCTTTCGACCTCATCATTGCCACCAAAGCCTTTTACCGCTGTTCTAGTATTGAGAGTTCTCTTACAAATATTCGCAAACTAATTAGGCCAAATGGTCGACTACTTATCCAAGAGGTATTGCCCAATGCAAACTTTTACAACTTCATAATGGGCTTCTATCCCGAACAGTGGGAGGGAAAGGAAGACGACCGTGAGGATAAGAACTTGTTCGAGGCAAATCAGTGGGATAATCTCCTACTAGAAGCTGGATTCACTGGCAGCGAAGGCTTGACTCTAGACAAAGACAATATCGCAATGAGTGTTCTTACCACGGCAGCTGTCCAACCAAGGGATTACAAGAAGGTCACTCTTCTTGGCCATAGTGAATCCGAAGATCATACACAATGCCTTTCTAAACTACTTAGTTCACAAGGGTATGAAGTTGAGTTTCGCACGCTTACTCAAGAGCCGGATCCGGATGCGGATGCCATATCTCTACTAGATCTGCATGACACAATCTTCTTTGAGATGAGTAAAAGCACATTTAGTGCATGGCAGCGCTACATCGGCAAGTTTCCCGCTGACAAAGGATTATTATGGGTGACTGGTCACGCTCAAGTGGGATCACAAGATCCTCGATATGCAACTACGATTGGGGCGACTCGCAATATTAGATCTGAGCTTTCATTGGATTTTGCAACACTTGAGTTAGACTTGGAGAATTTTGGTGCAGAAGCAGTTCTAAATGTCTTCGAAAAATTCCGCAATAGGATCAAAGACGATGAGTTTGACCCTGAATGGGAATATGCCATTGTCAATGGTAGAGTCATGGTCCCGAGATATCAGTGGATAGATATCGCAGAGCACAGCGGAGAAGAAGCGCATATTGAGTTCGACTCTCCGAAGAAACTCGAGATTGCACGCATGGGCCAACTTCAGACTTTACAGTGGATAGAGGATGAAGTTATCCCGTTGCAAGATGATCAAGTGGAGATTGAGCCTCGTGCTGTCGGTATGAACTTCAAAGATATTCTTGTGGCTATGGGTATTGTTGAGGGCTACAAACCGGGTCTCGGTATTGAGTGTTCTGGCATCGTTCGCAAAACCGGTAGTAACGTCAAAGGCTTGTTACCTGGAGATCGAGTCATGGCTATCGGCCACGGATGTTTTACAACAAACTTTCTTTCCGACGCAAGCCTAGTTGTTAAGATACCCCATAATCTTAGCTTTGAAGAGGCGGCTACAGTTCCGTGTGTTTATGCTACAGCAATTCATGCTCTTATCAACCTTGGTGGGCTGCGTGAAGGCATGTCAGTTCTCGTCCACTCAGCTTGTGGCGGCGTTGGAATAGCAGCACTTAACATCTGTAAAATGATGGGCGCTGAGATTTACGCCACTGTTGGAAATGCTGAAAAGGTCCAATATCTAGTAGATAACTTTGACATCCCGCGCGAAAACATCTTCAACTCCCGTGATTCTTCGTTCTACGAGAATCTAATGGAAGCTACTAATGGCAGAGGTGCTGACCTGGTGCTGAATTCTTTGTCGGGAGAACTCCTCCACACATCATGGAAATGCGTTGCTCCCTTCGGCAAAATGCTTGAAATTGGTAAACGCGATTTCATCGGCCGAGGACAGCTCGGCATGGAGACATTTGAGTCAAACCGGTCGTTCCATGGCATCGATATGTCCCAAATGGCTGTGGAAAGACCTGATATGTGCAAAGCAATTCTGGAGCAATTCAACAAATACTACGAACAGGGTGCTATCAAGCCTATCTCACCTATGAAGCACTTCGAGGCTACTAATATTATCGAGGCGTTTCGATACATGCAGAAGGGGCAGCATGTTGGCAAAATTGTAGTCTTTATGCCATCAGATGGATCGAAATTACAAGTTGCGGCAAAACCTCATATTGCAAAGTTCAAAAGCGATAAAACCTACTTGTTGGTCGGTGGCCTCGGGGGTATAGGCAAATCTGTCTCTAATTGGATGGTACAAAATGGCGCCCGATATATCATGTATCTGTCTCGATCAGCTGGAGCTTCCGAGCAAGATAAGAGATTTATTCAGGAAATTGAAGCGCAAGGGTGCACGGTACAGGCTATCAAGGGAAGCGTTACGAGCTTGCAAGATGTTTGTCAAGCAGTGAAGCAAGCATTAAAGCCGATTGCGGGCGTCTTTCTAATGACGATGGTTCTACGGGTAAGTCATATTCATATAGCTCTCGCGAATGACCTCACTTATTAACTTATTTGCATAGGATCGTGGTATCTTACAACTTTCTCACAATGACTGGTTCACAGCGGCTGCGCCCAAAGTTGATGGCGCGATCAATCTTCACCAGGCTCTAGAACATTGCGATTTGGACTTCTTCACCTTGTTCAGTTCCATATCTTACGTTGTAGGACAAGTGGGCCAAGCAAACTACTCAGCAGCCAACGCGTATCTGACAGCATTCACTCAATTCCGTCACGAACAAGGACTACCAGCTGGTGTTCTAAACGTCGGTGTTGTAGATGACGTAGGATATGTCGTTGAGAATCCGGCTCTGCTTGAACAATTTCGCGCCCTGAGCTTCTACACTCTTGGAGAAAATGAGCTACTCGCAGCCCTTACGTATACGTTAACTCATCAGTACTCTGCAGCCTCCTCTTCGGACGATGGCTTCTACAACCCATCCGAGCTGGCCATTGGTCTCAAGAGCACAAAGTCACTCTCTGATCCTGCTAATCGCTGTATTTGGAAGCGTGACCGACGCATGGCCCAAGCACATCTTCACGATGCTGGCACATCTTCTAGCAATGGAGGTTCCGAAGACTTTGGCCAATTCATAAAGAGCGTCCACGCCACTCCGTCGCTACTCGACACGCCGAGTAATGCTGACTTTCTGACAAGTCAAATCGGCTTATGCATTTACAACCTCATGTCACGAGATGTAAAAGATCTGGACTTGAGCCTTAGCCTCATCCAGCTGGGCGTTGATTCGCTCGTCTCCATTGAGATTCGCAACTGGTGGCGCCGCACGCTGGGCGTTAGCATCAGTGCGCTTGAGTTTATGGGTGCTGGAAGCATTACCAACTTGGGCAAGTTGGCTGCCAAGGCCATAAAGGAGGCGAACGGAGCCGCTTAAAGTTCCCATGACACGAGCTTTTTTGGCGGCTCTTGATAGTTCTGGTCTACGTCGGATCGGGCCGGTCCTTGGGAGGTTTCCGGAAAGCTAATTGGGATTGTACTTTGTCGGGGAGCATTGACGGTGCTGTTAGGAGCTCTCAGCTCCAGCAACTTTCTTTTGTCTTACTTCTATTCTCATAACATGCTGTCTACTATCCAGTACCTCTATTACGAATATCATTTTCATCATTATCTATTGAGCATGGTCCTAATCTAGTCAATTATGTTCACATGCGTTCGGATAGATTATAGTCTTCACTCCTCTTCTCACAGCCGATACAACTCTGCACAATCACAAGCCTGTCTTAAAACAAGCGGTGAAGCCATCACTCTCCTCTCTAAATCATGCCTTGCATACTTCATAATGCGCCACAGCAATTGCGTGGACGAATCCCAAGCTGAAGCCGCAAATAGCTTGCAGCAAGCTTCTTTGCCACGTCGTCTGGAGGTGGCGTTGAAGCGAAATCTCTCGGTTTCACTTACATGGATGCAATGTCATGCAAAGCGGGTGGCACTAGTATAGAGGACATGTTTAGATACTACGAATATGCTTATAGTAGAAACAACCCATGCCTGTAAACCGTGCTACATATTGCTTGCATACAAGCGCTGCAAAGAATGCAAAGCACTACGAAGCTCAAACACGCTCTGTCCGAGGCCATACATAAATTGATAAATGTATTTGAATGCAGCCAAGACTTGCAATCCGAGAGACGGTATATGGTAATGGGCTTGTCACCAATCTTATCTAATCGTTCAGGGTTTTTGCGATGCCCCAGACGTGAAGCCTGCTCAAACCCTTCTGCTCTCTCTTCTCTGTCCCAAAACGAGCAATTAGTTAAAAATTTGAGTGAAATGCGCATACAATCAGACATGTTTTTAAGAGGAAATGTTGTTTCTCTTTTGCTATAAAGCCTACTGTTGTCATGCTTACTGATTTCATATTCCGTGATATAGTGCTGTGCAATAATCTTGCCATGCCCCTCTCAGATTTGATGCGAAGAGCTACTGGGAACGTGGACTCCGTGATAAAAATAATGATTAGACAAACAAAATGCATTCAACTATTCTAGTCAATAGCTAAAACGATTTAAAAAAAAGTATTTTCAGAGTTCATCAACTTGAAGGTATGTCTCAAAGGCTAAAGGCAGTTGAAACCAATCCAACCTTGCCAACCCATCGCCACTCGCCTACGAGCTAATATCAGCCCCAACAAGGGACATGAGAGATCCCTTTTCTGTACCTATTCAATTTGCCTATCCAAAGATCTTCCTTCAAGTCCCCGGTAAGCAATGTAGGCCACAATTTAGAGAACTAAAGGGGCCAATAAGCTATGCAGAGCCCACATAGCCTAAGACTCGTTGGCCGATGCGACTAATGAGATCGAAGGTGATCACCTGCTTCCCTGTTTAAGCACTACCCCCTTAGTGCGTGTATTCTTCTGGCCAATCCCCGATACGTATAGCATCTATCTTTACTGGTTGGAACCAGGGAGATAAAGAGGGACCTCCATGGGGAGGTCTTTGTGTGGTATGAGAGAGTCGATGGACCCAGACACATGAGTTCTCTCCACAGGCTTGCGGGTGAAAAACACAAGCATGTCGCGATGAGCCTCCTTGGTCTCGTCGACGGGATAAACTGCAGACAGGCTGTGTTTACGCTCATGGTCGACAATCATGAGAGTATCAAGCAATTTCTTGTGCTGGACCCGTGCAAGCAAGTGCTTGGGCTTAATCTCTTCCAAGGGAATGCCTGTCTTCTCATCCATGTCGTGCATAAAGGTGGCGGCACTGTTGTCCGACATGTTGTAGCTCCCCAAAAAGGTTGTCATGGTGTGGTCGACACCATCAGAGTGCACACCCTCCAGTGCCGGCTCTCCCAAAATGTGGGGAGTGGTGACAGTGCGGAGGTTAAACAGGGTGCACACCCACTTGTTGATGCCATACTCCAGCTTGGGACGGTGGGCAATCTGCATGCCGTGGATAATCATAGCCTTGAAGGCGAACAGCGCTTGGAAGACGGAGTTGAGCTGCAGTTCGTTTTCGACCTCGTCAAAGCGGCGAATGGCTCCAGAGTCGTAGCGGTTGAAGTCCTCCTCAACGGTCAGGACAAAGGGCTGGAATTCCAGGCGGCGTATGGTGTGAGTATCAAAATCAAGGCAGAAGCGGCTGTTGCGAGACAAGCGGAAAGGCAGAGTAGGGTCGTGATACAGATGGTCTGAGACCTTCTCCATCTTAGGGAGGTCGGCCTCCTTGGCGCCAAGGCCCAGCACAATATCGATCATATCATCAGACTCGACGAAGATGCAGCGATCACGGAGGTATTTCTCGCGAAGCTTCATGATCTTGCTGACGGTCTCGTAGAACCGCGGGTTATATGCCTGCTCTCTGACGTTAAGCTGGGTGTAGCCCTCCGGCTGGGGGAAAGGCTCTGCGAGAAGCTCTTGAGGTTGCTGTAACAATTGGGCCATCATGGGGGGAGGAGGCGGGCTATTATTCAGAGGCGTCTGTGTAGCTATGGCTTCGACGGCCTTTGCCTTGCTAGACTCGTGAAACAACCGTTGACTGCCGCGGTTGGCGATGGTAGGCGAAGAACGAAGCAGTGGTGCCGAAGCACGGACTGCACGTTGCGCATACTTGAATGTAGACATGATGGTGATGAGTCAAGGCTGATGAGTAACAACAGAAAAGAGTCTTTAAGAGTTTGGTTTTGCTTCTTTAGCTTTGTAAAGCAAGTTCAATTTTTGATTTCAAAAATCTTTATGTTCAGGAGTCAGTTCAGGAGTGGCTCAGGATAGCCCCCTATCAGGATTTGTAAGAGTAGCTCAGGATAGCTCTCTGTCAGGAGTAAACGAGTAGCTCAGGATAGCTCTCTGTAACAAAAAGAAATCAGGATTTTTGAGTTTGTTATGGCTCAGGATAGCCCTCAACAGCAAATAAGTAAACAGAAAGAAAAGAAGTGAAAAGTGTTTGTCTGTTTGTTAAAAGTGCTTCCACAAGAGAAGCGGAAACGAAAAGGAAGCTAGGATAACTCCCTTCTTAAGATGTTGACCTTGAAAAATATTAGGTGAAGAAGAAGAAGGAGGATCAGAATAAGATGAAAAGAACACAAACGTATAAACTTGTCTTGTGTCTCTCTTCGATAAGATCTTTCGAGATGAGATAGACTAAAAGAAGGTGGGAAACACCTCCCTCTTATTCTTGATGGGACACACTCAGCAGTGAGGAGGTTGAGACAAACGGCTTATGGTGGGAAGACGAAAGCAAGGGAGAGATGGCGTCGATCAATTTCATCAACCACCATGATCCTCGGCTTGAATCCTTGCCTCTAGTCCTACCGTATTAGTAGTTGTAGTGGTATCACCGCTTCATAGGCTCCGCAAAGCTTCTGAGCAAGACACGCTGCAAGTAACTCTGGCTTTTACTTTCAGCCAGCCCCAGGACATGCTAGTGTCGTATTTTGATGTGAACTAGGATTAGTTTAAGAGGGGTTACTTGTTTACGCGAGACATTTTTACAACTTCGTGGTCTGTTAGTACTGCAGCTTATACAAGCACACACCAGGGGCAAGAGTTGGACAGCTATAGCGTAGTAATTCTAGCTACATTGGCTTCTATACTTTGACATCTTAGGCCCTTCAGTTCTTTCCGGTAGTTATATATGAAAAGCGTGATTAATCCAGACTTTATGGTATATCCTACTGTGACCATGTTGAAGTTCTACCGAGACAGTCTCTCTCTTGAATACGCAATGTGTTCCACCTCCGCCAAGAGTGAGCCAATAAGCTGTACTCTGCATGTCGATAAAGTAACTCTAACAAACTAGATACTGCAAATGTTCACGTATACTACAGTAAATGAATGCGGTACCAGGATTTAAGCACATCATACACTTCACATGCTACACCGCGCACCCCGGTATAGCGATATTGATGCGAGGGAGTAGGTATGCAGCCCATGCAGGCCTGTCTCACAGTAGCTTCGAAAGCAAGCCAATAGACTTCCTTGTCGACACCTCAGCCGGTATACAGGCAGCCGGTGAACGTTGCTAAGTTACCGCGTGCATTAGCCTCTACTGTATGTAGCTCTCAATGGAGGCATGAGCGCGTCTGAAGCTGAAGGCCTCTTATGCCCGCGGTTACACTAGACTAGTACGCCGGCCAGATCACCAAGCGGCACACCTAGAATATGCTATTTCCAAATGGAGATGAGACGCGGGTAATTTCAACTCTTCTTCCCGAGTTACACAGCGCAGCTGTATGCCCGTTAACACGTCCTGCAGTAGCTCAGCGGCACGTAGCGGCTACCTCACCGACTAGGAGAGAGCCCGAGACACAGTACAAGCGAATCAGTCTGCTACAGCGTTTTCACCATTGCCTGGTTCTCTATACCATGTAAGACCCGATACGCCAACATGGCATTCTGGCAAGGCATTTGGGAGATGTAAGGGCGGTGTAACGTCTTAATGCCGAGGAGAAGCGATTCCAAGTGGGTGTCTGAGAAAAGATGTCGTTTCTATCGATCAATGTGATGTAACCGGATGGATGCATTCCAAAGTTCCAGGTTGGCACATAATTTGGGGGCTGGGATTAAATTAGATGAACTTGCTTTTTGCTGTTTTCTCCTGATTGGAGGGCCTATGTCTTTACCTGTAGGCTTCATACATATTTACTGGATTGACAGCATAATTTTACAGGTCTATGACGACGCTGCGAATTGCGCTTTTGCAGCCGAGGCATATGGAGAAGTTATTCTCAAATACACCAAATGCTGTTTTAGGACTGCTTTGCTTCAGTTATTGCATCAAGGGTGGAATACAGCATCTTGTACTAGACAATGAAGCTATTACGAAGTGTGGTGTAGTCATCTCAGTCATATTACTATAAGCTCATATACTAGTATTACATATGCAAATGCCCTCATCCATTGAGAACCTAGCCAGGTCACTATCCGTTCCCGCCCATCCATTCCATTACTCCATTTAGGATTCGCGCCCTCGCCTGCGTGCTACACCATCACCACCTGCATGTATCTCTGCCATACCCTCACAAACGTAATCACCGCCATCAGGGCCCACGCCTCTCCTAGCTCACCGGTCGCTCCACTGTTAAGGAACTGGAACTTGGCAGCCTTCCTCATGCTCATCGTAGAGTCGGCCCAAACAGCCAATATCTCCCCGGCTGGGATCTCATTCGCAGCTTCACGCTCGTCTTCATCCGCGCCACTCGCAACGACTCGCCTTAATTTCCACCCGTGCTTCCATTCGTGCAAATCCTTCACCTCCTTGCGTCCTGAGGACACCCACTCGAATCTTTCGACACGTCGCGTTGTTTTCTCCCCCTCTCTGGATTGCACAACAGCTGCAAAGGAAAACACGTCCATCAGGCCCTTGCTTCGACGCGACATCTTCTCCTCGAGGACTTCTTGGCCCGGCCCTAGAGGAGGCAGTGTGACGGCGTTTCCCATTCCCGATTTGCCAGTGTTGCGCACAGCGGCCAGCGGCGGGTGTTCCAGAGTAGGGCCGTTGTACATGATGAGGTCCCCCCACCAGCCTTCTGGTAGGTTGAAGGTGTAGAGTGGCTCGGAAGAGGCCTCGCCCAGAGACAGCTTGAGCTTCTTCCAGGAGGGCTCGTAGTAGAGCTCAAAGGTGTTGGGGAATGTAACTCCCGCAAGGGTGGTTTTGTGGATTTTCTGGTGAGCTTCTTTTGACTCGGCACCACCCATGATTGCTAGTGACAGTAGTGATGCTAGTAAGAGTAGTAGTTTGTGGTGTCGGCGTGAATGAGAAACACAATTGTAGCATCAATCAAGTCGTATTTTTTCTACGATTTCTTTGAGAGAGAGAATGAATGATCAATAAACGTTGTTTCCATGAGTCTCGCTCTAAGATCGTTACTTTATATATTCGTTACTTTCCATCCTCAATAGCAAGAAACTGCTCAAGTTCAGCTGAGCCCCGTCATGGCTACCGAATACGGTAATACGCAGCGCTGGTGAGGCGTTGGGCCAGGCAGGATCACCGCACAGCCACGCTAGATGGCCAAGCGCGTCACAAATTTGGCATCATCACAAGAATATCAAAAAAATAAGGTTAGGCAGAGTTGGTAGAATCATCAGTAAGCTTGTGTATGATAAAACGATCAAACGATTCTACTTCGCTAAGATCTTATGGGGATTGCTGGGGTTACACGACCAACGGAATGGCCTGATGCTTATTCAAGATCAAGTTTTGGGTTGTCGACACCATTCTATCATAAACAAAAATAGCTAAAATAAATCTATTCGACTCTCCTATCTTTACCAGCGCAAAATCTATGTACGGGATGTTTCTAGGCGCTCTTCGCAGCTGCAGCATCAACTGCATCCGCCATCTCCTTCATGTTTTTGAACTTCCACGAATATGCCACTCTCTCTTCATACTCTTTCGGATCCCCACCCATGACGCTCTCAACTTCTTCTCCTCGTTCGATCCAGGCGCTCACCAGTCCAACCAGCTTCGCCGGTACATGATCGTGGTGCAAGCTTTGTGCTGTATGCAATATATCTTCCTTCTTCACCCCCAGATCCTTGTCGCAGTGCTCAATGAGATACTGGAAGTTTCTCAAGTCGGGTTTATACGAGCCAATTTCCTGCGCCGTGTACACAGCGTCAAAGGGAAAGCCCAGAAACTGCTTCTCAAGTGTGCGCTTGAACGAATCGGGATCTACGTTGGAGATGATGACCAGCTTGAAGTGCTTGTGCAGCCGCTTCAAGGCATCGAGCGTGTCTGGATAGATGGGCCAGCGGCCAACGCTGTATCCAAATTCGGCTTTGGCCTCTTCGTCGGCTTTGACGCCTAGCTCAGCGGCAAGATTGCCATAAGCTTCAGCCAGTACTTTATGGTAGAGGTAGGCCGGGTTGGCAGTCTGAACGAGGCCCTCGTGCCGGACTATGGCACGAAGCAATCCGAGACGGTCATTCTTAAGAGGGTGCGAGTCGTCAAGCTGCTGATTCAAGGGCTGGAGGTGGTTGTAAATGCCCGACTCCCAGTCCACAAGGGTGCCGTAGCAATCGAAAGTGAGAGCCTTGAAAGAATCAATTGATCGTGTTGTCGTCATTTTCTCTCTCTCCTAGCTTTGAGTACTGCTTTTTTTTTTCGTCTTGCTTGATCTTCGCTTCAGATGATGTTGGAAAAGGAGTCTGTGGCCTGCCTTAAATAATCGTGCTGAGAATGCCGAGTCTCCTGCTGGTACTTGCCTGTAATTAGTGCCAACGACCCATCGACGCGGGGTGTTGTGCGGGGCAGCTTCAAAAGGCGCTTCATGACAATAGCTGTCTAGCTGGAACTTCAGGCACAAACATTGGCCCTCTATAGAGATGATTGATATTGGGTTATAAAGAGCCTAAGGAGGGGAAAAATCTTGGATAAAAATCTGCAGGTTTCTCCTTGCTTAACTTTTGCTGATTGCATGTAGTTTGAGTGAAGGCAGAATATCCGTGACAAACAGTCGTATCGTCAATCGCAGCTTTCTTTACCATTACCAAGAAATATTCCATACGAACGAAACACCATGTTACAAGCCAAAACTTTCAAGGATCATATTCGACCTTCACTTATCAAAAATCAATGGCAATGCATGTTCCCTGGCATGACATGATATGAACCGAATCAACACGAAGAAATGTATACTAGTCTATGCAATCTATTCAGTATGAAATGGCCTATGCTGCCTTTCCCTGCTTGCGCTTTTATATGTTTACCATTCAAATCGACTCATATTTCGTGATCCACGACTCTACTACACACTGGGCATCTGTTTAAAAATAGTCCAACGTAGGTTTGCTCCCGGAAGCTGGCTTGGTAGAGGCACTAATGCTGTCTAAAATCTCTAGAGCCAGGTTAAGGCGTGTTGTCACATCCTTAATCTATACACGGCGTTAGCCACATGCGAACCGCTTTATTCTTCAGAGAGTCAATATCCTTACCCGCGTGTCGTGTGACTTTTCAAACATTTCGTAGTGGTTTGACTGTACATCAACTACTGCTCTGATGAACTCTGGTGTATTACCTGCCCAGCCTAGGGTTCGATCGTTGCGATACTTGTCTATGATGAACGGCTGAGTCCTGCCTTCAGGAAAAGGCATAGGCTCAGTGCATCGAAGCAAGACTGTCGGCGGCGTCATTAGTGATGCATTCTGAGATTGTGATTCCTCCAGCGGCTTATACTGTGGCACTTCGATGGGTGACCATATTCCATTGAAGGGTTTATAAAGCACTTTCCCGGGTGGAACAGAATAACGTCTTCCATCGACACCAAAGAAGACAATTTTGCCATCGCATGCAGGTCTGTCCCATTTGGGCGCCTCCCAGTTCTCCAGCATCTCATCGCAGCGGTCAAAGCATTTTTGCACAGCCTCTGGGACATTCTCAATGACTGGATCGTCAGTAGGTCCCTCTTCCTGGCTGTACGGAGAGTGATATGGCGTATCCATCATGACGATACCCAAAACCTTGATCTTGGCTTGGGGGTCCTCAGCCAAGAAGCGCGCGATAGCCAGAGACAGATATCCACCCAGAGACCAGCCTGTGCCATTGAACAACATGGAGACGTTAGTCTGACGGAGTCTTATATGATGAATTACAACGCGTATCAGGACCAATCACTCGGCAGGAATCCCGCTGGATAACGAGTATAGGTTTGGAATAGTACGCGCCGCTGATTCTGCACGTACCGCCTAGCAAGATGTTGCCCTTGATGCCCGCATCGTTCATAAAGCCGATATACAGCCGCGCCATCTCGTCCATGCCGCCTTCAAAGGCACCTCCATCGAAGAAATGCGGATTGTGAATCGCCCACACGTCGCGATACAGGTTCCCTAGCATGAAATAACCAAATGTTGTGCCGCCTCCATCATGGATTAAGACCAACGGTGGTGACGGATTTGCCCGTTTATAAGCCGGCGATATTTGGACTTTGATGGGATTGGGGCCACCTTCGTACATTGTAAAGAGTTGGGGGGTTCAAAGATATGCTATTAAAGAGCAGCGCATAGAAATTCAACAATGGCAATGAGTGAGCGAACCGGCGAACGCACAATACGTATGCTCTAAGCACGTATGCCACCAAATTCATCAGGCTCTCCGCAGCTGCAGCCCAAAGCGCTTCTTCTCTGTCTTACGTCCCACATCGTTGCTCGGACGAAAGCTATTCCATCCCGTGAAATTCTCTCTACTACTAGGGAACTGTCGTCCCGTACGGAGGTATAACAGCGAAAGTTATGTAAGCCCGTGCTCTCTAGATTACAGACTCCGTGATCAGATACAGGGATGTTGTTGCGGATGCGCTATCACAATTGAGCAGTTTGGGGCCCGGCGATGCGGATGCGGTGATCGGATGGACGGGAGCTCCGCTATAAATGGGCTGGAATCAAGCCTATTGCATCCACAGGGGAGACGTCCCATTCTGAGTCTAATTACGATTTAGTGACAGAGCAACTAGAGAAGCCTTGGGACCGACAAAGCACGCTGCGTGGCTGCCGAAGAAAGACTGAAAGTTAATAAAATACTGCTTTGCTCATGCCATCGACGATAGTAAACGTGTTTTGTTTGCCCAAATGATTAGCTGTGGTAGCAGTGGTTAGTACTTTTAATCCGTCACCGCCAGCCACCTCGCAGGCTTGATAGACAACATTGAACACGAAACTTTGCACATCGTCCTAAGGCCCATACTGCAACATACGTGACCGCTATCCGCCTTGGCAATTTGCCCAACACGGGTTGAGCTAAACTAACCACTCTCCCTTGCTGCTGTTTTGTCTCAGAGCGGCGTTAAAGTGCATTTTTCGCTCGGGGCCGCTCTTGGTGGCCATTAGTAACTTGAGAATTGAGGCGCTCTCCCCCTGCCTAACAAGTGAGCCATCTCGGACGAATAATACTTTGCATTGGCGCCCTCTCACTTGTTCCACATCCACTACTTGCATTTGCGTGTACCTAGCGGCAAGCGAGATTGCTTGCGCTTTTGCCACGTTCTTAGTGTTATGCAGGGAGAAAGAGCACGAGCACAAGGAAAAAGCCGTCGCCACGCTCCTCGTGCATATACGAGGTTGCATTGCATCTCATTCCGAACTGCTTCCGCCAGAGGCAAATCTCGGCGGTCGGAAGCTGGACAAGATATGGAGCAAACCATAAGATTGAGCGGTAGGAAATAGCCCGTAGAATGATGAGCATGCGATATATCAACATAGCAGTGCCAAGTAGCAGATGATCCGAGAGCACAAAACAGGTCGTTTTATTACCCTAGGCGATCTCAAACTGAGCAAGATCCAGGTCAAAGCGATCACTGCCTGAGCTAGATCAAAGTACAGGGACGGAGATAGACGTGAATAGCATGCCATCCATCCCTCTTCATTCCTCGCCCAAGCCGTATTGACCGGATATTACTCAGTTTGCATGTCGCCATCTGAGTAATACAGCATGATGCTTAGTCCGCGGCTGCGCCTAATATTGAGCATAGGCCGAAGGGGAGCAACATTATACATCAAAGAGTGAAATGCTAGTGCTCATCAGCAACAGTGTATATAGGATGTTATATGCAGCTATGTCTCAGTGATAATCGCGCTGCTTGTCTGCCAGAACCCAAGGCAAAGTGTTATGTTTGTCTGTGCGGAATGATTCATGTCAGGTTACAATAGGAAGCATAAGAATGGTACATCTTTTGCAAGACGCATGGCTGCGTCTCAACTTCTCCTTGTGTGTATCCCTTTCTCTCTTTAATACAATTATATGGCTCAATTTTTGTTTTGCATCAATATGACAATACCCACAAAGTATTACTTTCATTACCTTGCGGCACCCATACGACCCCTGATGTAGTAAAAATAAACACCATCAATCATAGCTAATACTAAGTAGTCATAGAAATAAAGAAAGGCGATAGGGTCGGGTACTATGAAGAAATAAGTTTGCTCATATCTGAAAGCAACTTCTTGATACAATGTAAGTTGTCTCTAGTGCCGCTTTATTTATACATTTTGTTTGCATAGCTACTTTCTTCATACCTTTATACGCAATATCATGTCCGAGATCTACGCCTCTTCCAGTAAATGGCGGAATGACTCGATGGAGATGTTTTTCTCTTGTGTGCATAATGAGGCTGTCGATACACCCACGATCAATTATACAATGCACGGCCTTGTACTTGTCCATATTGCTAAGTATGTTAGCCACAATGATATGTCAAAAACTGTTAACATAACTAGGCAGTTTGCCAAGATCAAACAATTACTGACTTCTAGAAATCATGAGTCAATCACATCGGGGGGCAGCAGTGGGACTATGTATCTAGCCTTGAGATGCGATTTCAGCTAAAATCCATCATGACCCAACTCTTGCAGTCATAAATATCTAAACTGAGATATAATAAATTTGCTAGTTCACGTCTCCAAAGCCAAACATATCAAACACATCATCAGATCTCTATGAGCGCTGCTTGGTTTGAGGCTTAGATCTATGCCCTGGGTTGTTCTATATCTTCTCATGTAAACAGCGGTTCATGCCACTATTCGTCAAATCAGCCTCATCGGTCAACAATTATTGGGGACTTACCATTTACATGACATCAACTCTAAGCTGCAGAAAATGTTTTTAAAGATGAAGAGAAGAAGAAAAGCATGTTTAATGCCAGCCAAAATTCTTCCTATCGGTGGATACATTCTACTCATCCATGCCCTGGGGCTCCAGGTGTCCAATTAATTAGCTTATAGCCAAGATTACGTTCACCATTCTGAAAAGAATTGAATTTATATGCAGAACCTTATACTACTGTTTTTGGATGTCGCCGACATAGAACGATTTCTCCTGTGCGTTCGCAGACCGATCAACTGTGTTATTTTCTAGCCTACGCGCTACATATAAATATTTCAATGAGTTTCTAGATAAGCTAATACTTAAGGAATCCTATTGAGGTCGATATCTAATCTAAGCTGTCATTGCAGTTTACAGTATTGGTATAATGGCGCGGCGCCGCCTAAGATCCTTTTTATTCTCTGCGCCCATCTTAAAAGCAGAAACCTTCTCAAATGCTGTGAGACAAATAGTCGATATAAACAACAAATACTCATATGAAGAACTATAAAGGTGGCTCTTGATTTGCAAAGACTAAAACCTCACAACATCCTCAAACTGCACGTTGGCGGGCTGAATGAATGGATATCACATGGCCCAGCTCATAGAGCTCAATACGCTCAGTAGAACAGTGAACTGCTTCATCAGAAATAATTAAACTGAATTCATCATGATTAATAGTTTAAAGGTATTTGGCTTTCGCTTTTTCTTCCGCTCCATGCTGGTAATCAGAAACTCCCATTGCGCCGCAAGCCTACCTGTAAGCGCTTTACAGCGATGTCCATGCCCGCATAATGGCTCGGTGAAAAGGGAGGGGAAAAAACAGAATCTCCCCTAATACTATCAGACTATCAACCTTTGTCATAGAATTGACTTGATAGGATGTTCATAAGACATCTTGTATGTGCGTATCCACAATCAGACAAATGGTGGGAGAACAGCGTTTTACTTAGACGCAAACAAAGAACAGCTTGCGGAAAAGAAAACTCGCTATTATCAAGTGTTTATTGCTTGAGGGAGCTTTCTAGAATACATCTAAAGGCTGGACATAGCCATATGATGAAATCATTGGGTATGGGATTGGGAATGGGTGTATGAAAGACCTCATGAATCGCCTCAGGCAAATGGCATGAGATACTGAGGGTTGCTTTTGGCTAGTAAGTCCAACTGTGCGCATTATCAACTTAGAGGCATGCTCCAATGATTTGCAAAAGTTGGTGGTTGGGTATTCGTCCTGAGAAGTTGATGAGAAGAGTTGTTGCCAGGGCCGTATTCGAACGATCTCTCGGCCACGAATTACGGCTGTTAGATGACAGGGCCATCCCTAGAGCCCAAGAGTTAGGTAGCTTTATGATGTTAGACTTTCTTCATAGAGTTTGATAGGACCATTTGAGTTTACTCACCTCATCTTGGATAGACCGCTTCAACTCAACAAGGGCTTCAGCTGTGGAAGCCGGATTAATGATGTCGTGTAAGTCCAGAAGAGGGTTGATCTTGGCCATTAGAGGACTGTGGGCATTAACAGCCTCAGACTTGAGCATAGACTCGGCAGTTTTGAAAATCTCTTCTTGGAAGCCACGGCGCTCCCATGCGCTCCACTGAGTGGTTGCTTGAAAGACGGCGTCGATAACTTTAGGCAGACGCCTGTTACGGCTCAGTCGCTGCTCGTTGGCTAGTGGAGAAGCCTCTCTAAAGCTGCCACAGTAATACGCAGATACAAGGGCATCAAAGCTTTCAAAGCCAGCCGCTCGAACCTTGTCCATGATGCCCTCCATGCGCTCGTCTAGAGGCATAGTTTCCGTAGCTGGCTGAGGTATCGGGGTTATAGTGCTGGAGTCAGGACCGGTAGAGCCAGGACAGTCCAAAACTGCACTGGGAGTGGCGGGTGCCGAGTAGGGGATTGTGTGGTTGTTGTTGTTCTGGTTGTTGTCGTTGTTGGGTGTAGATGGTGGTAGCGACCGCACTTTCGATATCGCACCTGTTTTCCATTCTTCGGCATTGGTATCAAAGGAATACTCCATAGCCTCTGCGTGAGTAGGCGAGAAGGCGTCGACACAGGAAGCTTGCTCAGCCTGGGTGATGTTTTCCAAGGCTATATCCGAGTCAGCCCCCGTCGCCCTTCTCGCCAGCAGAGGGCCAGAGGTATCAGGCTTAAACCCACATTGGGATGGTACGCCACTGCTAGAAGGGTATGGAGGGGCGAAATTGAGTTGCTGTTGAAGACTATTCACGCGATCCAGCAGGTGAGTCTGAAAACGCAAACAGTCGAGAATAAACTCATGAGGTACTCCAGAACTCCGGTCTAGTATTGGTTGGCTTGGCGGAGATAGTAAAGCCATGGCTTCTGGGGAAGTCTGTGTTTCCGGGCTTGGACTGCTCAGGTTATTGCTAGCCATTTGTGGGAACATGGGCTCTGTTCCATCAGCAGCGGGCTCTTCATACCCAGCCTGTTGCACCGAAGAAGGCATTTGACTTGAAGAGTTCTTGTCCTGAGATACAGGAGAGAGAGGTGACTCGATACCGGGCAGTTGATTGATGGCTGTAAATCCACGAATTGCTCCTGGAGAAGCGGATGAGTCGCTACTTTCTGGGAGCGGCAGCTGGACTTTTCCCTGCTCCTGGCTATCTAGACGGGCCTGTAGCTCACCCAGGCGTGCTTTCATACGGTGACCTGAAATTTTGACATGTCGGTCGTCAGTAAAGAGTATTTCATATCCAAGCTGGCACCTTGGCTTATGCAGCAGCCAATGGCCGTAAAAGAGAGTGAAATCGAGGAGCATTGAGGGATGGATAAACATACGGTATGTTCGCTGAGCAACGCGATTCTGTATCTTTTTCTTCTCCTTGGGGTCTTGTACTTTCGTCCAGTCGTCCTCTTCTCGCATATATACCGGATACTTTGGCAATATTACCTGCTTTTTCTTTTTGGCTGGTGGTGAATGAACCGGCGTTGTCGTAATGTCTGCAGGATCAACTGTTTCTGGAGGCGTAGAGTATTTTGCGACGACTTCTGAAGGAATAGGCTCTGGCTGGACCTGGTAGCTCGAGTCGCATGGTGAAGTTGAAGGAGATGTTGCCGAGGTAGAGGGAGCTGAAACTGAAGCTGAAGCGACTGGGGGAGATGCTGAAGAAGATGAGGAGTAGTCCCAAACGAGGGTTGAGAAGGACATGTTGTCCGCCATTGGAGCTATTTGGTAGAGTAGATGCTGTGATGGAGTCGGACGAGATGAGATGTTATGGATATTTCGTGGAATTCCAGAAGAATGATGTCAATGAGGTCAGATTCCAAGTGAAAAACGACTATGGCTGATATAAGTACGGGATCTTCAAGCTGGGATTCAGAGCTGTGATGCATCTTGTACCATGTCAACGGGGCGATAATTCTAGCAGCCGTTCATCCCACCAAACATATCGAGGCTTCCGCCACGCTGCCGTCTGGCGTCTCAGGCTTTGTAGCCTATCAGAACCATCCAAGCACATGTACCCAGGCTTTCTGTACGCAGTGTAGTGACAAGACCCTGTTACTTCTCTTTTCCTGAGCACACAGCAGTGCCAGCATCAGGCATAGATCCGCGGCCCACGATTCTCAGCCGGCGAACGTACGCTGTATCTTGCGGCCAGGGGAAATCCAGGGGGCGTACATATAGCGATATGCCTCTCATCCCTCCCTACATAGAAAGGTGTGTGTGTTCGTCGTCGTAGTATCCGCACGGAGAGGACTACTTGTACTTGCAAGATTGATTGCTACTAGTAGATCTACTAGAAGCATGAACCCACACCCTCTTCTTCTCATAGCCAAGCAGGCACAACATATCCTTGTCCAGAAGGAGCCCTGTTTCCCAACCATCAGGTATGGGGAATTCATTCATACAAAAGATGTCTTGCTGTAGGTACGCAGTGGATATACGACCAAGATCTACTTTGAGTATGGTTGGTAGTACATGTGCCCTACCTCGGCATCTAGTCTAGTTCCCATATTAAGTGTATACTGCTCATGCAGCGGAACAAGAGAGCACTTTTTCTCGTTTCTTGCTCCAAACACCTCGTTGGGCATCGATCTTTGCTGGCAATGGAGTGGCGGGCAGGCATGAGCACAGGCACAGAGCTAGAGCCTGCAGGGATCATGGCTATAGGGAATAGAGTGGCCTAAACAGCTCGGACAAGGCCCCGACCTGTAGCTGTCCGTGCTGTAAACCTGCATATGCACTTACATCCTGCGCATCAGCGCCTCTGGTGAGGTGTCCGAACTAGCAACTTCAACGTATGCCAGCGGACGTAGCCATGCGCGAATGCATCTAGAAGAAGAGAATACTAAGAATATTTGAGAGCGATGTAAGTTAGCATTAGCAATGGGCTTTATTTGTCATACAAATTTTTAGGGGATTGCACTACTGAGCAAGATAGAGTCTTATATAGCATCCAACCACGACTTCATCAGACAAAATATAACGAAGCAGAGCAAAGCAAAGCAAAGCAAACTAGAAACTGGCTCTAATTCTACTTCGTCATTCCCCTTATTTCTTCTCTGTAATCTCTCCCTTAAGCCCTTTGGAAGTTGTACATGCTTTTAGACATCTAGCTCTCTATTTAGTACAGTAAAAGCTGGGCATCTAGTCCAATCTGTTTCGTACGACATCCCGTTTGCCGGGCCATTGGATCAGCTGTCACCGGGATGGAAAAGAAGCATGTTCTGGTCCAGCTAGCCACTGGCACCACTCAATTTCCACTTACATGCTGCTGTCTCATATCGAATCTCTTCCCGCCTTCCCAAGTTGCCAACCACGGAGACACTTCCGATTCAACCACACCGCCCCATAGTCCTTACATTTACTCCTTAGTATTATCCCTTGATGTCTTATAGTGATTGGGTGACGCCGCAGCCGCCCGAAGACGCTCTTTTACGGTGGCCAAGCAGCAAGCTGGCATTTACCGGGCACCATGTTTTGCCACCTGCATGTCGCAGCACTAGCGATCTCTTCGTGTGAGATGGCGACTCATCCCCAAACCTCATCGTACATATCCAAGTTTATGGCGTAGCCAACATGGGATGACTCCAATCATTTCTTTTTCCCTATGCCATTCTACCGTGACGCAAACTACACACTACAATAAGTTGAATCATCTAGCGGCCAATGGGGAGGCTGTATTACCACTTAATCTGCCATTTCAGCGCGTTTGGCTCTCCGGCTTATTAGGGTGGCTTTTTTCGGATATTGCGCAACCTCAGGCAGTGCCGCTGTCAGCCACCGGCTGTCCATGATGACTCCCGGTTACACAGCAGAAGACGAAGGATGAGCATTTACAGGAAGCTATAGGGGCCCTCTTTCCGCGCAATATGTTCCGTCCCCGAAGTCGTGACGGAGAATGCAAGGTGGTGTGGGCGGAGTGGGGACTTTTGTGCTCTGAGGGCTTTCAGTCACTTCTCACCAGGTTGGTGGCTTTGAGACACACCAAAGTAGGTCATTACAGAGGAAACCTGGGACAGAAGAAAGGAAGGAATACGAAGAAAGAAAGAAAAAAAGCGTTCTAATCTCAACTCTTGTACCTCCCAAGTCCGCTTGCCTCTATGCTTCTCTACCTCTCCCCTCACCAGTATCAAAGGCACATCCTTGTCGTGCTCTGGATGGTGCCTGGAGATTTGCGGTTGGTATCACAGGTACGAGTAAAAGGTAACAGCACAGCTCCTCATTAAAAGCAGGCGTTTCCTGATTGATACTAGAGCCAGGGTTACGGCATGAGAAGCTCCGAGGGCTGGGATTAGCATCTGGCATAGAGCCCACGGGAGCATCAATGTTTGTCCTACTGGTGCTCAGGTTCCCCTACTGTTTTTTATGGCTGGATCAAGCGAGGTGGGGAGTATGGTAGTTGTCTAAGAAGAGTGAGACAGCCAAGAAAAGCGGCCTCGGGGTCGACATCAAGGTATTGCTGCCTTCAAATTACTGTCAGTGGCCAGCTGAGATGATGTGACGCTCGAATCCTAGCTTGGTTGTAGCTGACATGCCGGCTTGAGAAACCTCTACACATATATTCCCATTGATTGAAAGTAATGTGGGATAATGAAAGGAGGGAAAGCAGAAAGAAGAAAGGAGAGAGGGTTGTCTACCGTAAGGACAACAACAACCCAAGAAAAGCGAATTAGACTTGAATCACCAAGTGAAGTGCCACCACGCCCAGCCTCACAGAAAACAAGCATAGCTAGGTTCCGATGCGCGCCCGCACTTCGCGAGCATCGGGTGCGCTGCTCGTAGCCCAACAGGGATGATCTAGATAGAGCTTCCAAGAAATGCTGGGCGAGGCCCACCACAGTCGGCGGATCTCCCCTATAGCAATCGAGATCGCTTAGATGCGGCCGAGCCGCCTACTCTCACCGGCTGCTAGACAGGATGCCCCGGCCCTCCACTCTGCTTGCTCCTCTGCGGGCTTGATCTCAATATCTTTCGTTCACAACTAATAGCCGTGCCCCAGTCGTAAGTATATTGTCTTGTACAGCTTGTATGTATCTATTCATGTGTAAAGCGAGTGGGTCGAGGATGCAACGTTGTGGAAACAGGGGCAAAGAGGCTGCGTGCCAAAGAGCCACTGACGATCCAGAACGCCGCTCGTGCTTTGATGCTGCTGTCGCCGTTGCTCTTTTCCATTTCTTGCTACTAGCCCTCGGCAGCAGTATCACTTTGCACAACACTACGATTACCGTCATTATAGTGTAATTACGAGCCCGTATTTGGGGCACTAGCTTTCGAGTTTATGCCCATGATCCATGCTCTGGGGTGAGAGAGATCAACACACCACAATGGTACCCCAAGGGAAAGGGAGATTCCTGATCCCCGCTAAGAAGCCGCTACGGCTACGGCATCAGCCGCTTCTCTATTTAAGTTGGCCCCGTAGTGACAGTAACACCGAATCCACCAACAAGCAGCTAAGCCCTTTCTAAGACGATTGTCTGTGATAGCAGGGCCAGCTCAGCCAGCCCCAGCTGGCCATCGGTTCTGGCAAAGACAACCTAAAATGCTACCCCTCAGGTCGCGGAGCGAACCTTATCAACCCTGGATGTGGTGGACAAGTAAAATTATGGCCATATTTGGAGAATCCTCTCGGCACCCTTGGCCGCTTTCTGAAAGTCCCGACTTACATGGCAACCCACGTTACAGATGGGCGAGCGATATAGGGCTACCAGTACTTATTGAGAACAGCTTTTGCTTACAAGCATATATAGGGATATACTTTCTCAACTTACAACCTGTTATTTTTTAATTCAGGTAGCCAACCATAGAGGGAAATCCGACCTGTCAATCCTTGGTTTCACTTTGCTGCCAAAAAGCATCTCTGTGATACAGAATTGACTGTAACCACAGCGTTAGATGATTGTATTAGTCGAAAGCTAGCATACTAGTAACACCTTTAAATTAGGCGCTTATGCCGTCGTTCTCTTATCCTTGCACGGCCACGGGCAAGCTAGAAGATGGCTGGCGTGGTGACGACAGAAGATCTAAGCATCGCTCATTCGTAGTCAGGGACGCAGTGCCATACGCCACAACTCATAAACGAGAGACATTCAACAACGTCGACGGGCGGTAATGCGTGGCGCTCTGACGAAAGAATCCTGGGCGTCTTCTTTGTGTTTTTCTTCTTATGCAATCGGCGCGTAGAATCGGCCGACAAAGCCTACTAATTAATTAGTACTCAGGTGCTCAGATTGAACTATCGGGCCCCCTTTCTGTGTAGTTACTGAGAATATTTGGATTTACTTGTATCTCTATTTCATGGAGAATTCGATTTGCCATTATAACGAGTAATGGGAAAGAAGAAAGGCCTTCTAGGGTAAATGCTACCATATAAGTTGGCATCAGCTGAAATTTATCCTTGGCTTCACCACTATAGTGAAAGATTCTATCCCTTGCATTAAGCTATCACGCTACAGAAAGAATTTCTACCAAGAGATTAGCTCAAAAGTTGCTAAGGCGGTAGAGTATCTGGAGGTGATACCTCTCATTTATAAGTTAGAAGATTGTTTAACAGGTGGTTTGGTGCAATTTAGCCCCCAGCGCCAAGAAATACAACGATGTAACTAGGGATCCTCCATTACTGAACTGCTCATGATCATTAAAGGATCACATCACATTACTCGCGTTTCTCTGACTGATCTTTCTAGCTAATATAGCAATTTGCCACT